GGGTGGGGGGGGGCGGGGGGGGGTGGGGGGGGGGGGGGGGGGGGGGGGGGGGGGGGGGGGGGGGGGGGGGATATGGGTGAATGTATGTGCCGTGAGATATTGTGTGAGCGGTGGTTTTTTTTTGCTTCTTCTTTGTTGTGGTTTGATTGAGGATGTTTTTTGGTTTCTTGTCTGTCTTGGTGGGGGATGGTAAGTTGCTTTGGTGCTGTCTCTCCTTATACTGTTTATGTTGGTCTTTAAGCACATCTCATCGTCATACGTCTTAAACATGGATCCTCTAGCTAAAAGGGGGACGAACACCTTGCCCCTGAGTCGAACATATATACCAACAGAGACACCAAACAATTGCGAAGGGCAAAAATAACACGTACAACAGTAGGTATTCGCTGCTGCCCACCCATTCAACTACTAATCCAGCGATGTCAAGCTTCCAGTAGATTAATACTCAGAGTGGTGCCATCTGGACTGCGGGTGAGCGTCGCCCCCTTTTGAATTTGATACCCTCACAATGTTCCATCCCCCAATGGAGTGATGACGACCACCTGAACTAAACCCCAACCAAATTAACCAAATTATGGCCTCTATTCGCTCAATTATAACGCGTCTCCATAGGGGACGGTGTTGACGTATTGAAATGAGACCCGAGTCGTCGTGGAAATTAGAAATCCGTAACAAGAACGCCCTTTCTTTGCAATGCCGGAAGGCTAACAGAAAAGACACACAGAGCACCCCAAACCTACGTCTTAATATCCCCCCCCCGTTCACCCAGCTCATCCACCACCGCCTCCCTCCCAACCCCAGCACCAACACCATCCCTCCTCCTCCTCGCCTCATCCTCAGCCCTCCATTTCTTCTTCGAACTCCTATAACAATACACACACCACGAAGCCACAAACACCACCACAATAACCGGAACCCCCACCATAATGAACACCATCCAACCCGCCCTCCCCGCTCCCCCCCCATCACTGCGATTATTACACTCCATCGCCCCGACCGGTTCCCCTGGAACCCATTTACTCAGCGTCGCACTGCACCCGGAACTGAAGTCGGGGGGAGTGGGGGAGAGGGTCGGCTTGTCGCTGCTGGCCCAGGTTATTTGGTAGGCGTTGTGGATTTGGATACCGTAAGGGTAGGGGGTGGCGTGAGGTGTTTGGCCGGTTGAGAGGGTGGATGATGTGGATGTGGTGGAGGGGGATGTGACGCCGATGGCGCTGACGCAGGCAGCTGCGTTATCAAGGCTCTGGAGGGTGACGCCGGGGTTGCCTAGGGTGTAGCCGCTGGTGGGGAGGGGTGTTAGTGATGCGGCATGGGGATGCTGGGAAGTGAGATCTGAGAATTGGAAATTGGAAATGGGAAAAATGAATATTCCTACCTTGCGCAACAGTAAGCTGTAGTAACTAGACTCGAGAGCGAGGACGTATCGATGTCCACATCTAAATCTCTGACTGCGTACGCGGTCCATTGGTCAGGGCAAACGGCGGGACTGAAGTGGAAGCGGCTTGAGGGGGCGATCTGGTCCCAGCCTGGGGGTTGGCATTGTGTAAACCGCGCGTTGGCGGGGTCAGAGTAGACGACTATGAGGGTGGTGGCGGTGAAGTTGTTCCAGTGGTAGCTTGTTATTGTGCTGGTTGTTGTGAAGATGTTGGTGCAGCTTGGGGGGAGGATGAAGGGCGTGGTGAGGGCGAGGAGGGTTCTGGGTATTGTTGTGTTTGTGGATGGCGGCGGGGAGGTGGTGGTGGTTGTCATTGTGTGGGTTTGTCGGCGTTGGTTTTGCCCGTTGGGGCTGTTATGAGGGTGTGAGGTTAGAAGAGAGGCCCCAGAGATCTATATACCCGGCACGTGCGTTGGAAGGATTATTCACTCAAGGGTTGTTATTAATAGGGTTTTTGTTGGTTGCTCGTCGTTGATAGCTCACCGTCGCTATCTATGACCTCGATATAGCCGTACTGGGATTATTTTAAGAGTATGGCGAATTAGAAGTACTTTATATGGGGTAATATAGTCGCTAATAAACTCTCACTTGGAAATTATACGGTTGTACTATGTAGCGTAGTATTCAGAATCGATTAAATTATAAGCGCCCATAAATCTTCCTGTATTTAAATACTCGAATAAAAAATAGTCTATATTATAACTTAGTTATATTTACTTTTATAAAGATATTTATGTAGGTAATATCTATCTATCATACGCTAAAGCTAAAAAAAATGTCTCTACATACACCGGCTCCCTGTTAACGACTAACTATATACGCCTACATTTCTTTAGTCGTAGAGTTGTCACCGTGTAAGAGAAAAAGAAGTGTTCCTACATTATGGTTGCACAACATACTCCCACGGCAGATTTATATCCGTCAAGAACGTAGTCTTTGCTTGCAAACCTTCAGCTGCCAAACTCTGCTCAGCGCCACTTGCCTTTGCACCAAAGCAATTCTCAACAAACGAGCCCGAATCCTTCTGCTTCTTAGCCACAATCTTCTCATACTGCTTCAACGGACACGAGCGGCCAGGCCCAGAATCGCATCCGACAACAGGGTAAACCGCATCGTTGAGCAGGATCCGAACGTAGGGGTCTCCCTTGCCACCACAGGTCAGTCTCTCAAACGTAATTGTCCCACGCATAGTCACGAAATTCGAGGCGATATACTTCTGGTCACGAGGGATGTGGGTAGGCGGTAGAGGCGCCTGATCGTCGAAGACGCCAATGTTAGAGGCGAGCTGGTTAATCTGACCGTCATTCGAGAACGTAGCGATAAGGGGAGGTAGCTTGTACGGCGCCGACGACTTCGATGATGTGTATTCCTTGTCTGGGCCGTCGACGAAGCGCGATACCACAGCCGAGAGGAAGGGCAACATGAATGTGCTGTTCTTGACGGCGCCGGGCCCCGCGCCGTAGTAGTACCTGATATCCTGAGCGTACTCGAAGTCACGGAGCTCATCCTTGGTGAACACATCACAGAAGGGACTCCTTGTGCCTGTGATCTGCGACTCAAAGCCACAGAGAACCGGGAACTGCGAGACCTCAGAGGTTGTGAAGTTCAGCGCGCTGTGGGGCCCGATGAGCTTGTTGAGACGCGCGGTAACCTTTGGCAGGTAGATGTCGTTCCATGTTGTCGCATTGATGCCGCCAGAGGTGTCTTTATACATGGGGCAGAGGTCCGAGGGCGCGAGCGAGTTGGCGACGCCACGGGGATCAGTGTTGTTGAGCACGTAGACGGAGCCCCGTGTTGTGGAATCCGGGCCTACGTATCCGCGCACGAAGAGACGGGCAGAGTCGACTACGCGCGGCTGGTTCGCCTGATACATGTTCGCCCACGCCAGGAACGTCTGGTTCTCAGAATAGAGTTGGGGATACCGCGTGCGGTACGTGTAGCCCATGTCATACAGCTCCTTATAGCCACCGAGAGAAACCAGGGACAGTTCCAGCTCGGGGTTCCGCAACACGGGCTTCCATGTTGAGATAAACTTCAGCGATCCCTGGGCTTGGAATTTTGGCGCGCTCTGGATTTTTGTCTGCAGGGCCACCCACCCATTGTAGGACCCGGGGTCTGGGTAGCGCGATCCGTGCCGGCTCGTGAATGCTGCCATGTCAACGGAGCACCCGGCCGGTGGCTGATTCGGGATGTTGTTGACATCAGGGCCTAAAACGTGGTCGGTTAGTATTAGGATTCTGGGCCCTAATGGGCAAACTTGCCTGGAAACCATGGGGAGTTCCCTCCGAGATATGGCGGAAACTGAGCGCCAATTGTTCCTGGGCCTGCTCCGACATCGACGCCACCATGTGCATTGCTGCCGCCACCATGTGCCGCTGCCAGCCCACTGGCTCCAATGAGCAAGAAAAGAGTAGCGAAAGTCGGTGCCATTTTGAGAAGGAGCAGGAATATCAACAAAACCGTTTACACAGAGTAGTGATGTTTCTGCTGCCCGGATTGTGCCACGGGGCAGAAATGACACTTATAAAGCATCATCACTATGAAGCATGAAGTCCATCAATTTTCCGGCTTATGTTAGAAGTAAACATAATAAAATTCGCTGGAATCAATATGTAAATGTAGGGTTGCAGCACGTGCCTACTAGGATTATGACGCGGTCGCAGCCCAATGGATGGCGGATGAGAGTGCACGTTTGGAGGGCCGATGAAGTTTCCTTATCGAAGACTAGGATCAAGTTACCGCGGTGATTTTATTCTCAATGGAGATTGACTTGGATAGGAACACGTGCATACTAGGGTTATGACAGCAGTTGCGGTCTAACGGGCGGAGCTTGAGGGTGGCTCCTCGCATGTGTGGTTGTGACAGGGGTAAGGCATTGGATGGGGCTCGTATGTGAATTAATACCCATGTTGCTAAGTATGGTGATGGCGACGACACCGACAATTGATATGCGGAAAAATTGGTGTCTAGGCCAGCCTATCCTATGGAGGGGCTAGTTGACGGAATTCAGACTGTGACATCGCTTCTCTCGTGCGACCATGTGACCATGTGCCCATCTCCTGGAACTCCGGATAAGGCTAAGCACGACGAAGGAAAAAATATGAAGGTTAGTGTCTCGTTGGTTTGTGGATTGGCCATGCAAAATCTGAAGGGCGACATGTGCTGCATGTGGAGAGTGGATGGAGCGCTTTCTCGATGATGACTTGTAGGCGTTGATCACAAAACGTATCTTCTAATTTGACAGAGTAAAACTCGTGATCTGGGTCTTCTTGCACAATGGCGCATTCTGTCACATAACTCCACTCCGGTCTAAATGCTGCCCTATTCGACCATCCTTCCAATCATTATATGAAGACGATATGCTAGGTCATGGAGGATGTAGGTTGTACGAGTTTTTCCATTTAGCATTGATGTGTTGTTTGTATCATGGGAATGCTTACAATAACTCCCGGAAGGTCTGTTGGCGGATCTGAGCCGCGAGTTGGAGGTTTGGGAAACTGTTCAGCCTCCTTCATCGCCTCTTTATAGGCATTAGTCTCCCAATCCTAGTATAACCCATCTATTATTGACGACTGAAGATATTCTGGCTCCTATGTAAGACCATATGTTCCAGTCTGTATTGACCAACGCTTTCTCTCCTTTAACAAGGCACTCATTCCACGGCTTGATGCCTAATGAAATAAGCCACTCAATGCTGTTTAACGTGGACTTGTGTCAGAGAGGTGCAAATTATTAATGTATGAAGTGGGGTGGGCATCTATCCCCGAGTCGTGGAATTCCACCTCGCATGGGAATTGCTGGAAATTAGAAGATCAGTAGAACCGTTTGAATTCATTAAACTCATTAGTACCAGATACTACGATATCGCCTTCTTTTATTCTCGGCTCAACATCAGAGGTATCTATGCGCTCATCTAGCTGCTTTCGAGCGGGATTTCCACTTCCAATCAACTTGACGCCATCTTGTAGACCTACTCAGCCCTCCGTTAATGCCAACGTCTTTCCGAATACTAAGGGGAACAGCGAAGGGTTCAACAGCGTTTGATCTTGATCCGAATGCAACTTCTTGATCATCTGGGCAATGCCATTCTTCAGTGCAAGACGGAGAGAGTCAGAAACGAGCGCAATCTGATTTACACACCGCAGATCCGGCGTCAAAAAGGCGATTGAGATTTTCTTCCTCAAACATGGCCGATTTGTCTTGATGCTCCATGATACACCAACTATATGCCCTTTCGCTGATCAATTGCATTCTCAGCGCCTCGCACTTCGGCGCCGTCTTGGGCCTTAAATGCCTCTTCGCGCCACTTTGCAACAATCTCATCGTTGAATACGTCGATATTCCAGTCACGCTTGTCAGTCAAGTTTCTCATGAGTTGTAACATGGTCATCTCAAGTGCGGTTACGGCAGGCCTTAGTTCCAATCCGGTTACGGTGTCAGAAAAGCGATCGTCGAGGCTAAGTTCTCATGGGGAGATCTCCCGCCAAAGCCAAGGGATTGAAAGTGGCATTTGGCCGCCGCTATTATTCATCCCATATTCAGCAATCATTACTTAATTAGAAGGTAGAATGTCGGATTGTCAGCAAGAAATCTGCTCTGGTAGTATGTTGGGAGTGAACTCAGGAGCGAAGTTTGGGGTCTACAACCGCCTGAATCTTTTCAAGGGCAGGTCCTAAACTCGGGGATACGGGGATACGGTGATACGGTGAAGCGACCGTGAGGGTGAAGGTTAGGGTTGGCAGTAAATTAGTTAGAGCAATAAAATTAATCCCTAGGCGATACCGCTATGTCAATAGGCAGTGTTATAAAGTCATCTGTTTTCTATAACTTATTTAATTTTCCCTGGCCTCAAACTTAACTATTTTTACAAGCAACCAGGTACACTTCCAAAGTTTAGCTTGCCTGGGTTTAGCGCTGTTGTCGGGAATTCGGGGATTATTTTGGTCGAGTCTTAGCGTGCTTATAGTCCGGTTTTCAACAAGGAATTTGTGGGCAAACCCCTCCCCTCCACATGTCACATAACGTCGATCTTGGCTTGCTTTTCATTTATTCGTAGATCTCTCAGATCTCTCGGATCTGTTAGTTCTCTTGGCTCCTTTGGAAAAAAAAACTTTAGCACCCTTGATCACTGATGGCTCAATTGAGCTCTATTGATCACTGATGGCTCTTGTCAATTCGCTTTCTTAATGTTCCGGTTAACTCATTCCCTCCTTCCCATCAACTGCCGTGTGTTATGGTGCAATCAGGCAACAGCGCTGACATTCCGCGCGGGCTACTTCATGCTGCGCCCCGCCCCCCACCCCACCTCGTAAAAACCAACACGGGTAACTGAGAGTGACCAATCCTTCAGAGGATAAATGTCGCATTGATCATCGGTATGGTATATTGGAGCAGACACCCCCGTCAACCCAATTGCCTCTCCTTTCTTTCACGTTACGCTCATTTTCACCTAACTCAACTTAAAACGATGGAATCCATCTTATAGCATGGCGGACAGGTTATCTACGCCGGAGCCGTGCTACGGTATCCTTCCAACGGGCCGGGAAGTCAATACAACAGTTTTTTGTCGGGATCGCAATTGCTCCTCGGCAAATCACAGAATCCCGCGGCCTGATTATAAGACCCAGTTATCGTCTTCCAGCGACATCACCCAGTCACCTTACAATTCTCCATCTGAAGCAGAATTTCAAAAGCTCAAGGTTGACCCTGAAGATCCCCAATCATACGGCACCAACCGGCGGCTATCAAAAAGCTCTCTCCCTGCTGGCTCGGCGAGATGGAATCCTCGTCATCTAATCACCCAAGCTCGTGCCGGAAAGCTCAAGAGGAAACAATGCATCCTCTTCATCTTGGCTCCTATCACGATCATTTTGGTAATCATTATCGCAGTCGTTACATTTGTCACAGTCAGAGCCAAGAAACACCCAAACTTAACGGTAGACCTGGGCTACACTCAATACAAAGGCTTCAGAACGCCAGACGGCATTGACAAGTGGTTTGGCATGAGGTACGCAGCACCGCCACTGGGTGATCTCAGATTCAGGGCTCCCCAAGACCCATTGGCTGCTTCAAAACAAGATGCATTTCAAGTAAGTCTGCCTCCACTTCTCTCTAACATTGGCTAACCCACCACAGCAAGGAAAGCTGTGCCATGGCACTCCCTCTACCTACCTCAACCCCACAAAATCGGAGGATTGTCTTTTCATTAATGTTTACTCTCCTACTAATAGAACCGCTCTCCACCCGGTCTATTTCTTCATCCAAGGAGGTGGATTCAATGATCTGGCTAATCCTTATCTGACCGGAGACGAATTGATTAAGGCCGCCGGCAATGATATTGTGGTTGTTACCTCTAATTATCGAGTGGGACCGTGGGGTTTTCTAGCCAGTAAGGAAATCAAAGAGGATGGGGATTTGAATGTTGGACTGCTTGACCAGAGGAAGGCGTTGGCCTGGGTTCAGAAGTATATCCACTTGGTAAGTTCATCATTTTCCGCTCTAGATAGAAACTAACAAAGTCAACAGTTTGGAGGTGATCCCAACCACGTTACAATTGATGGAGCTTCTGCTGGCGCAGCGTCGGTTGATCTTCACCTTACCGCATACGGAGGCCGCGACGACAAGCTTTTCCATGCTGCTGTCGGACAGAGTAATTCCTTTGGAGCCCAGCTGACAGTCAACGAGTCACAATACCAATACGATGGCCTTGTTAACCGCACAGAGTGTCGCAAGTCGACAGACACCTTAAAGTGTCTCCGTGGGCTTGCTGTGGAAGTTATCGCTAGCAATAACATGATCATGCGCACTCCCGGCGCCAAGGGGACTCCTCTCTTTATGTACTCGAATGTTATCGAGGGGCCTGGGGGATTCACAGAGGATTACACGTATAATATGTACGCCGATGGCAAATTCATCAAAGTACCAGTCATATTCGGGTACGTCTCTCCACTGCTCATTTTTGAAACTCTACTAAAATTGTGAAGTTCTGTTGCTAATGAAGGCACTCTCTTCACACCATCGAAGACAGATAATGTGACAGACATGACCAACTTCCTAAAAAACAACTTCGGCAAGCTTACAACCGACCAACTAGACCATATCGTCAGCCTCTACCCACATGATGAAACCAAGTACCCAGGCAGAGGAGCTTGGTGGAGGACAGCCGCTGACGCATACGGTGAGCTTCGGTACAACTGTCCTGGCCAATTCATGAGCCGCATGTTTGAAAACCACACCGATGGAACATCCAACTGGCACTACAGGTAGGCCCACCCCTCCTTCCGCTGCACACCACCTCTAACAAGAAGTAGCTGGGATGTCAGCCCACCCATCAACACAAAGTCTGGAATGGGGGCCATGCACGCTGCGACCATGTATTCCATTTGGGACATCGCGACCGGAATTGGCGCCGAATTAAACCCCACGATCCAGGCATACTGGACGTCGTTCATCCGGACCAAGAACCCGAACCACTACCGGCTTCCGGGGACCGTGGAATGGGGCACGTTTGGGACTGGGATGGAGCGGCTCGATTTCCCAAATGATCCGCAGAATGTCTCCATGGAGGCGGTGGGGGCGAGCGAGAAGGCGAGGTGCCAATATTATAGTACTATCGGGAACCTTATTGGGAACTGAAAGGTTATGAGAAGGGAGAGAGCATTTAACTAGACACATCAGGCATTAGAAATGGTTTATAATGGTTTAGAATAGAAGCGAAATGGGAATTTATCTGCGAGGCGTTTCATATCAACGAGAAGTAGTTCATCGAGACCGTGCCATTCAGCCAGCTGCCAAAGGATCTGGTGGGGGTCTCGTCCCTGAAAAAAATCATAAGGAAGCTCTTATTCGGGCTCGTCCAAAAAATTGGAAAGCTCGCCATACATCCCGCGATGAGCTCAACGTACTAGCGCGTTCTTGACAGACATTTATGGAATAGGGGCAGTTCATGATCCAATTAGCAGCCACATATCAGAGAACAGCTATTTACAGCCTGTTCGGGTATTACTAACCTGAGTTAGAGCCCGAGCGTCATCTCAAGCTCAGAATGCATATCCAAAATCCCAACGAGTCTTTTAGTAGGTCGATAGAGGACATGCAGACATTCTAGACTATTTAATGTGGTCGATGGTACGTACCGTCGATAAGTCTTTTAACAGTTATCCATAATTAATACTGCTTAGTCATCCTTATACCTCACCAGTTCGCCAGCTTGAAGTCCCATCAGACACGCAAACTCGCAACTCTCATTCTCTATAAAAATGTACCTAGTCAGATCGGTTTTGTTAGATTGTAACTAGCGTTATGCTACGCTAGACGCCAAACACCACAATCCCATCTGTTGCCCAAACAAGCCACTACCCAGAGCGCAACTCCCAGCCAGCCAAATCGCCGAGAGGTCTACCAAGTCACAATGAACTTCCTCGGTCTCCCCAAAGGCATAAACTTCCCATTAACCTGGCGCATCCTGCGCATGGTATCCGCACACCCTTACTGGGACCTCCTACGCCTACTTTGGCCATTCCCCTGGTACCTGCCGCATCCCCTCCCCCTGCCTCGCCCCCAGGCTTTCACCCACGACCACACGCTCTTCGATACCCGCAACCCGCTCATCCCGCAGATCCGGCTCGTGCCACTGTTCCGCGCGCGTGACTCGCCGATTGCATCGTTCTACCGCATCTATGAAGCGATGTGCGCGCGCGATGGACCTGCCATAGGCTCGGAGACGCAGTATTTCTGGCGTCGCCCTGAGGCGCACTGGGCGTTGGAGGGAATCCCGGACCCGAGGGACCCGGATCCCGTGAGGTATGCGGTACTTGCTTCGTTGATGGAGGCGATGGTGGATGCGTTTAATTGGAGGCTTGAGTTGGGGCTGAGGAGAGGCGGCAAGCGGTGGGTTGAGAGGGAGGACGATGGGACACCGGCGCCATTTGTGCCAGAGGTTATGCCAGCATGGGCTGGGGGAGTACCAGCGCTGGAGGATGAGCTTATTATTGCAGAAGGTGGGACGGGACCGCGATTCGCAGCGAGGAATATCATTGCTTTCGAGGGGGATCTACGGACGGTCTGACAACATCGAAGCTATACGAGCGCTTAGAGCTTTGAAGTAGATAGGATCTAATTGAGTATCCAACACTACTCCCTGTTGAGCCCATCCTTGTTGTACGTTTGTTGGTATGTGCGAGCTATCGCATCTAAAGTGCCCTCAGTTGGCAGTACGTCAAAGCCATTCCAGTTCAACCCCCTGATAAACTCGCGGTCTAGCGGCTGGCCACCATTCCGCTCTACCAGCACATTGAGAATAGCCACAGCATCACTCATATCAATACTGTAGTTTCGTGGAGCCGAAGCGTAGGACAAACGTCTGAGCTTCGTCTCCAATGCCCACTCAAACTTTATAGCATAAATGATCAGCCTCTTTCCCTGCCATAATACTACGCCCTGATCTAACGACTCCTGGAATAGTTTTGGTCGGGTTGAACGTTTTGTGAATATAGTCATTTCATCGTTAAACCAATCGTCTGGGTAAGTAAGTTGGATTGCCACGGATTCGGCGGCGATGCGGATGTCCTCTTTGACGTCCTCATTGTCGTAGAGCTCTGGGTCAAGGCAATAATCCAAATCGACTGTGGACACTCGGCTCTTAAGATAGCTGACTGCGAGAAATCCACCAGTACATATAATCCTAATGGGCGCGACGACGCGCAAGAGTTCCGATTCGTCGAGTTTGGCATCTAGCAACTCGAGACCTACATGCTTGTTAATAAAGACAGGGATCAAGATTGCAAGCTTGTTGAGCTTGAACCCACAAAGTTGGTATCTATTTACCTTCCTGGAAGTTTTGAGCATTCAGTTGCTGTTTCTCTGGCGGCGCATTAGGTTGTTTAGAACCGCCCCCGGAGGGGGACGGTTTCTCGCGGAAGAAGCTCATGGTTCTAACCCCCAATAAGTGGATATAAAGTGAGGGGAAGGGGAACGTAGGAAGGACAAGGACACAGCGACATAGGATGTCCAAGGCTGATGGTCGGTCCGTCCGTGCAACGGGCTGTTGGTCCCCTGAAGCGGGGTGATATCACTTGGGGAATCCAAAGTCGTGAGAATGGGTTCAGAGACCGAGAAGGCGAGGAGGCAAGACGAAGGTCACCGGCGTAAAAATGTTGGAAAGAGACTAAAGCACCTATATAGTGTCACATCCAATAAATCGTCCGAAATGTAGAAATCTGCTTTAAAATCTAGGCTGCAATGGAGGGGCACCATCGAACTATAAAGTGGGCGAGTGGTACAGTGCCAAGCAGAAGGCATGGTCTAGACCGAACACTGTTTTACATTTACGAGGCTGTCAGTTGGCCCGTGCAAAGGATCTGGAACAAAACGCCAAAGTACGTACTCTTGCTGCCCAAAGACTAAGCCGCGTAACCCGAGGATTAACACCAACAATCTAAGCTGATGGAATTTATCTCTTCGGCTCTATTTATAAGTGATCAGCTTGCCTATTATAACCCTGAGCGATTAGGCACCTCTATTTTAATTTTAGTCGCTGTAAACTCTGACAGTTGTGCACAGTTCTTCGAGATTTTGGTAAAGAAAAGTCTCATATTTATTTATATATTGCGCATTTTTAATATCTACATAATTTATTCGGGGTATTAATACCATACGTGAGCAGTAAAGTTCGTCATTCATATCATCACTATCTCCCATTACTATCTGCCATTCATGTCCATATATACCCAGTCAAACGGAGACCAAGAGTCTGGCAGCTGGAAGTCAAGCCCTGGGTCTTGAATCTATATCCCGTTATCGTCAGCACCTGCTGTTAATTCCACTCTCGCAAAGCATTAGACCGGGTGAAACTCACACTAGCATCCCAATCAAATCCACCCAAGGGACTTTCATCGACCATATCCACCATACTACCTCCTTCGCTTCCCCCAGCCCTCCTCTCAAGAGCCTCCACGCAAAATTCAGTGCTCTCTTTCAGCGTCCTTGGGATCTCTTGGTCTATTGATGTTCCGTCCTCCATACATATGATTTGCGCAAGCAGGCACCTGCCAAACACATAGGCCTTCACGCTACGCTCTTCTGTTTCCAACCGCGCTCCACACATATCGATGAATCTTTGAATCGCGCCATGTGCCTCCGTGCGTGTGGCATCCTCTGTGGCACTGGGGAAAGGTGATGGCGGCGCACTAAGCCGCGTCGTTAGTTCAAAAGCAACGGCAACGGTGGCGTGAATGGGGATGTTGCGGAATAAGCCTCCGCCGCGAAGCTGGAGTGCTGTGTAGTCGTCGTGGTCTTGAGGATCCGGGATTACAGGAGCGAGTAGCGAGAGAGATGTCTCCAGGGTGGCTTGGCGGGAGAAGAAGTATGTTTGGTCGGTTTTGGCTTTCATGGCGTAGGGCAAGTGGAGAGAGAGGAGAAAGCGTTTCGTGAAAATTTCGAGGAGTTTTGATTGGAATGGGGAGGGCTCCGCTGGCATGGTGTTGGATGAAGAACCAGACTGCCAGAAATGAATGGCTGTGGAGTGTTGTTGGCAAGCTGCTGTGAGGTCGCCAGCGAGGCGGAGGGTCTCGCTATAAGAGTCGGAGGAGCGGAAACCGTTAATGAGCCTCGCGATAGCGATTCTAACGGGGAAGGTCTTCGCGAGAGCAATTTGGATGCTGCTCTCCGTAAATATAGTATCTGGTTTCGGAAGTACTGGAGCACTTGATTGTTCGTCGATTTGCGAATCGTTGACGTTGGACGGAGGCTCGCAGTCGAAATCGTCTGCGGAGAGTAAGAGTGGGCCGCCTGAGTCCATCGAGGACTGCAACAGGAGCTCGACCACTGTAGCCCATAGTCGGCGTCGATGTTCTGCGTGGAGTGTAGTCATTTGGAATAGCTGAGAGGGGTCACGGTGTAGGCCCATTTGCATAGCTATGCGAAGAAGGCTCCCGGCTGATACCCAAACGCTATCTCCATCAATGATATTTACCTGTTTGGCGACGAGCAGTAGGCATCTTATCTCTAAGTTCGCGAGAGTCGCTTTCGGTTTCTGATAGGGAGTATTAATCCATGCTTCTACTGTATGAATCCATTGCGTTGCTCCAGCACGTAGGCTTGCCAAGCTCGGATCTGAATTTGGAGTTTCTTGATGGAAACAAGTGCCAATTGCCATTACCAGCAAAAGTTTTATTACGTATAGATCTCGGGCAGCTTTGGGGTTGGCCCAGAAGTCTGCATACTCATTCATAAAGGAAGGGATATGAATGATGCGAAAGACGGATTCGAAAGTTCGAAAGTACCCCTGGATGAGAATATCGGACGATTCCCTTGGTGGAACATGGTCACGAAAATCCAGGGGGACAGATTGGGGGGCGAGATACCGGAGCTGAGCAGCATTGGCAAGACGCTTGCATTTGCGGACAATTGCTCGCATTTCTGCCTTCTCCTCTTCCCCGGTGGCACCTTTGAGTCTTCCCATGAAATCGAACTTGTAAACGTTAGTGTCTAGCTAAAAGGCTCTAGTGTGCAACATTGTAATCAAATCATACCTGTTTAATGTACTTCATCCAATGATTTTGGCCGCGGAACTTCATCTTTTCATAGTTGGATTTCTTCTTCCCCTTGTATCTCTTGCATACTTTGGGAGACACGGTCGGGGGGTTGGGCTGTGTTTGAGGGGCATTGCTCGATTCCCCATTTGATTCATTGCGTGAAGCATCTAGTAGCTTCTTCTCCAGAGTTTGGACTCTGTTGAGCAGCGCCTGCACGTGCTCTGTGGTTGCAGGCGAACCATTGTGCGACTGTACCAACGACGAGGAAGTCGACCCAGGGGCAGAAGGGACCGACGGGTAGCTGCTGGCACTGGTAGTTTGTTCATAGGTTTGTTGTCGACTCTGTCCCATAGAATCGGGTTGGGTGTGAGGCGGGATCTTCCTCACGATTGGAGCTGTGGTGGGAAAATCGTCCTGGAGATTTTGGTACGTGCATGTCTTGCTCCTGGAACGGCTACATGGCCCGCAAGGGGTAGAACGGTCACATTTTATCTTGCGGTGGCGGCATTCCTCGCAAGCCAATGCAGGACGTCTCCGTTTCCGAAAAGGGAATGCAGGGGGGGATACTGTCGTTGCAACTGGAGCAGGGAGATTATCCCCGGGCACGTTTGTATCCATTTTGCTTCCACAGCGTCACGGTCTTCCACGGTGTTTGTTCGGCGATGGCTTGATGGATATAATAAATATTTTGCAACGGGGTATAACGGACATATATGAAAGGAATTCAGAGATGACGAATCTGCCACATCAAGGGGGATATATTGAGGGGGCGGCGGACAATTACCGGGGATTTCGGAGGTATGGTGGTCGCTTATTGGTCCATTTAAGTACATTTTGTAAAATCACATGACTTTTAGTACAAGAAAGCTACATCGATACCTTTGAGGCCGATATATCCGCTTTGGTACCGCATTTAAATCCGACTCAGCAACTACCCCCAACGGCTTCTCGTAATACTCCAATGCCTTTCCATGCATCATTCGTTTAGATCGATCGTAGAATCCGATGAACACCGCAGGATCTGTTGTATGTAAGGTTACCCATGTTTAATTATCTCCGATTGTCTGTTGTACTCTCGTTGCGTATGACGTTCTCCCTTGCATCGAGAAGTCTCACTTTATATGACCATATAAGGAGGACCTTTTCAAATCCCCCTTCTTCGATTTTGCCATCTCTTAATACCCTTTTATCTTTTCCCCATCTTCAGGTATCTTTAGAGATAGTGCGGCACATAAAATGGGTTCCCAGGGAGAAATCAACGGACCCAGTGGTTCTAATTCGAAGTTGGATGATGTTCCCCTATCTCATTCAGCCACAACCCTAGCCGCTGTAGACTCCGAGGCGGGTGTAAAAGAAGGATCTTTCAATGTTACCGATAACGACAAGGGTGCAACTCCAGCCATAGCTTTTCCCGAAGGGGGCGCACGGGGCTGGGCCACAGCTGCTGGAGCCGCTGGTGTTTTGTTCTGCACTTTTGGTTATATCAATACATTTGGGTACATTTCCAATTCCAGTTCAGAATATCTTATTAAATATAAAAACTAATAGGATGTAGGTTTTATCAGGAGTATTATCAGAGACATCAGCTATCTGGCGAGACTCCGTCTGCCATTTCATGGATTGGCTCTGTGCAAGGCTTTTTTATTTTCTCTGGCTCTCTTGTTGGAGGGCCACTATTTGATCGCTATGGCGAAAAGGTATGTGGCTATTCCCTAATTAAGTTAATATCATTGAAATTATAGGGCAATAACTGACACAAATTTTAGGTCCTGTGGCCTCCTGCCTTCGTCTGCGTCCTGTCTGTCTTCATGACCTCCATCTCGACGAAATACTGGCATTTCATCCTTGCACAAGGCGTCCTCGGGGGGATCTCGATGGGAATGACAATGGCACCGGCTATGGCAGCCGTTCCTCAGTACTTCAATAAAAAGCGCAGTGCGGCGATGGGTGCGACCGTTGCTGGGTCATCCGTGGGCGGCATCATCCTTCCTATCATGCTCGGGAAAATGCTCAACGGCAATGGGCTATCATTCGGATGGGCCGTACGTGTTGTTGCCTTTCTCATGTTCGCCATTCTAAGCGTGTCGTGCTTATGTATCAAGGCACGTTTGCCACCTCGCAACGGAACTTTCTTACTCCCTAGTGCGTTTAAGGATCTACAATACGTGGCTGTAGTTGCGGCTGGTTTCCTGATGATCTTTGGCTTCTTCGGCCCATTCTTCTACCTCCCTGTCTACGCGGTCCAACAGGGAATGTCAAAGCTTCTTGCTTCGTATGTCTTATCTATTCTGAACGCCGCATCCTTCTTTGGCCGGGTGGTGCCTGGTATTATGGCCGATAGAGTCGGACGCTACAACACTCTATTTGTCGCAGCTATTGCATCGGGAGTTTTGATATTCTGCTGGCCGCTCATTACTACAAATGCGGGAATAATTGTTTTCGCTGCACTCTTTGGATTCTTTTCTGGCACCATTATTTCAGGGATAATGGTGTGTCTGGCATCGTGCGCCGGCGACCCGCGAGCAATTGGTACCTATATAGGAATGGGGCTGACACTGGGAGGAGTGGCAGTACTGATTGGACCCCCAATCAATGGTGCTCTTCTCACAGAGTATAGCGGCTTTCATGAAATAAGCTGGCTTATGGGGACGGTGACAATGGCTGGCGCCATGTCCGTAGTTTTGGCAAAGTGGTTGAGTGGGGGGGGGCATTTTTGCAAAGCTGTGAGCGAATTTCTTGTGGGTTATATGTAGCATTGAAATACTAGCTCTAGGCGTCAATATAGAGATCGGTTAGAACTTGGTATTATAATCAGACTCCCGATGCATAATGTTTTATTGTGGCCGTTTAATATTTACTTCGGAAGATCATGCAACGTTTTGGGTGTTACCAGGATGGGAATCCATCGCTTAAGTTTCCTGCATCTCTACAGTTCCATCGAGTTCTCGGCGTTTTATCGAATCTGCCGTTAATATTGGATCTTTCATACACAACTCCGCCCTAACAATAAATATGGATGAAAACCCATCTCTCGTCCAGGAAGCCCGCAATAGGCGTGCCTCGTCAATACCCGTCGTTCTCATTCACGATGGCGGCGGCACTGCCTTCGGATACTATATCCTCGGCGAGCTGCACCCTGCGCGCGAGCTATGGGCGATCCGTAACCCCGACTACAACCGTAGTAAGCCGTATTCAATGACTATGGAGGAGATGGCACGAAATTATATTCGAATGATTGAATCAAGCGGGATCCGTGGCCCCATCTATCTCGGTGGTGAGCACTGCGACAGGACCCCTCCATCTCACCTCGTACTTTCGGTCATTATACAACCAACAGATACTAATTCCGTACAGGATGGTCACTCGGCGGCCTTCTCTCCGTTGTCATGGCCAATGAAATCTCCAAATCCACCACCCCCGTCTCCTTCTCCCTCGCCGGCATCCTCCTCATTGAGTCTCCATTCTATAGTCCCAAAAGCGAGTGTCCCCCAGTGCGCACTGTGGACTTTTCGCACCTCCCAGAGCATATCAGGAACTGTTTAAGCAGTTGTATGGTCATGCTGGAGGAGTGGTCGATGCCGACCACCGGCCCGGAAGGGTGGCTTCCGCCTGCGGTGCTCATTCGTTCGACTCAGCGCATGGTGGCAGGGCCTGGTGAGTCGAATGAGTTGCCTGCGAGAGTGGATTTGCGCCGAGATGATAAGATCCTGGGGTGGGGCCTCATAGGTCAGGAATTTATCATTGGAACTCTTGATGTGGAGTCAAATCACTACAATATTTTTGATATGAACAAAGTAAGTTAGCACGTACCTTGATTAGAATATTTTGGGCTTTGCTGATTACACTTTGATAGATCGAAGAGGTAACATGGGCTATAAACCGGGCATTGCAGATGCTGGATGCCAGTAGAGGCATAGGCATACTTACCTGATGATATGGGTATTAGATTGCGCTCAAGTTCTAGTTCTATCTTAGATCATCTCAATAGATTATTCACGGTCAATGCAAAGAAAATATAGAAATTGGTACTAATAGTCCTGTATGTGTGGTGAATATGTAAATTATATTATACCGTAATTATGCCATGCCGAGGAAGCACAAATGCAACAATTGTCACTACTTAGACCCTCTAGCTCATCTGGCTGGTTCTTGACTTATTACAACCCATGCAATTTCTATTGAGCGTGCGGTGCCTTCTGGATATCTCCAACGGTTTCGGGGATCTTCTCACTCGCTCCTAAGCTCCCGTCACTACCATGTCCTGTGTTTTCACCACTTTCCGCTCGTGCCAGAGGCACTACCTTGGGGCCTCTATTAAATCGTTTCTCCTTAGCATCAATGATAGCCTGTTGTTTGACTTCCCGTCTTTCATCTCGTGCCTTATTTCGTGCTATTTTTTCCTCATTCTTGTTGAAGAACGGATAGGTAGCTGCGGCCCAGCCAGCTTTGGTGAAACAGTACCCCGGATGCAGAAGAGTAAATGCGCCACACGCAATCATAATCATGGCGCCATCTAGTATCATGAATGATACTTCGTTGTTCGCAAGATGGCCGGCGAAGCCGCCAGAAAGCTCGGCGGCACGGAATACCGACCGCGTGAAGACACATACAGTAGCGAGAGTGAGGCCTATATTGGAAGTTTGTGAGCTGATGTTATAGATAGCAAACGGAAAAGGGAACTGGGCTGTAAATAAAAATAATTATATGACGTGACTCACCTCCAAGGAAGAGCTTAAATCTCTGGGAGTTGTAGACGTCGGCATGGGTAGGGTTCAGATGATTTCGGTTCTTGTACACCCGCAATGCAAACTCAACACCAATGATTGTAAAAGCTGTGAGACTTGCAACTTGGATGGCAAGACCAGCAACCATGATGTGAGTGCCGAGATCAATCTATTGTAAATTTAGCATCGATACTGTGAAGTTATCGTACGTATTGGGAAACAAACCATGGTCGGGTTGGTCAATGGGAAAATCGACGCGATGACCCCCCCAACGGCCTGGATCAACAAGCTTAAAACATCGCATGCCACAAATACGAACGTGTACGTCCGAGGCTTCAGCCAGCTAATCTCTTCCCCAACAATAACCACAATTCTACCCAGGCAGAGATAGATAGCTGCTGCAAAGAAGACGGGCCCCAGCGTAAGACAGACCAAGTACAGCAAAAAATAAGGCCGATAGAAAGGGTTGCTGTGAAGAAGGATACGGCCGATGTAGCCCGCACTCTCAAGTACAAGGCCCGCAAGCATACACATACAGACTGAAGATGTACGGTATTTGATACCCAGCCATATCTGGGCAAATATAAAGGCGCATATGAGAATAAGAAAGAACAGGTTCCCCCCCAACGACGGGATGTATTTCACAAACCCCCATTGGTGGACATCGCAAGTGGCGAGAGTACAGACGAAGCCCTCAATATATCCTTCAGGAACAACGCGGCCGACAAGAGACATTTTGGCGCCTCGATTCTGTGTCTGAGGAAAGGAGACGGTTGCGTTACTAAAGGGGTTCAAGGCTCCCAAAGAGACGTAGTATGGCGGGGTCAGCAAGCGTAAAATCACACGTCTTGCTTTGCATCAAGGAAAGGGTGGCGGGGATTGTATTTAAAGGAGTCGGGATGCGAAGGATTTGCTTGTAATGGGGAGAATCAGTTCAACCATGCAGCTGCATCTTTTGACAGGCGGCGGAATAGTAGTTCCATTCTCCCATGTCATGAAATATCAATAAATGACGACGACCCGAGCCTAGTAGTAGCTGGGATACTTGTATTTTGGATACCCATGCCCCATGTCGAGTAGCGCCCCCTCCCATGCGTTTGATGAGTGTGGTTGTACTTGCATCCGATAATTCGCTAGGGGGTGCGCGAGGCTACGAGCAAGACTGGTAACGGCTATATACCCCCGCAATTAGCAATGCCTAACGACTGACATGTGTGGGGTATTGATGTGGTCTTGATGCAGGGTCGTTCAAGGTTCAGGTAGCGACCGGGCCTGCTTCCGAAATATATTTGGATTGTGGGGTCCAAGAGTGGTGAAGCACCGTTGACGGGCAGGGGTGGCATGTTCCATTGTTCGAATGTAGACATAATGAAGTGTAGCCCTGCCGCGTTGTCTGTGGGGGCCAACAGAGTATAGGCAGCTAAAAGGCTCGGATCCTTCATGGGCCCATGTACACCCGCACAACTATTCAGCCGCGCAGGTTTATTGATTCCTTCTAGAAGGATTTTGCAATTCAGGCCGGGCAAAGCTGATGCGCTTGGCTCATTGGCGTCTCTCTGCAGCTATCAACATCGACTTCGGCGGTTCTATTTCAGCCACATTGTTTCGAGGCATTTAGCCACGAGCCGAACCCTTGACTCATTTGAATATGTTGGTCCGATCTATTAATTTCTTTCCTAGGGCGGCAGGGGTGGCTCAAGCCACAGCTGGGAAGGATTGGGGAAGCAACAACAGATGGCGCACGGAGATGGATGCTCCTGCTGGATATTTCCTTGCTTCGTACTAAAATTGACTGTCTTATATCGCCCAATGACAATTCCGTTGGCTGAACAAAGCTTCAATGCAACGGAGCTCCCCATATATCCAACCACTTCATCCTACGGTCATGCAGACGATGGCCATTACAGAATGGAACATATGTTTCTGGGAAGGGACTCGCTGTAAACTCGGAGTCGCATTTACACGCGGCAAAGAGAGCGACCCGAAATAAAGAAGAGATGGGGGCGAAAGTGTCGAGAGAGCGATCGAAATGGTGTAAACCAAGGAAGTGGCATGCATCAATAATACGTATCTTGTATCCCCGATACCGCTCTTCTGTGTCACAGTTTCAGCTCCTGTGCGCCGTATAAAGCACGATTTAACAGCTACCGTAATTATAGTTTTAAATCAAACAACCGTTATGAAACTGATTCACTCAGACTGGCTTATTTCTGGCGCGTAAACCTCCCGTTGTAGCCATCCAGCAGCGTTTTCATACATTTCGCGCCCCCGTTTCCTCATTCTCACTTTAGCGGCTCCAAATGCAACCCACTGATCAAAAGCTGGGTGACAGAGTTAGCTAATTCATTCATAGTTTCAAGGCTATCCGTACCATGGTCTTCACCAGGTATCTTCTCCCACTTCACCCCGTTCCTCTCCCATGCAAGGTCGGATCCGACTCTTTGACCGGGGCCGCAGTTTGCCATTTTCTCAGCCATAATTTCTGCTTGCCTGCAAAGAAGATCAAGCTCGCATCCAAAAATGCAAATCTTCGGCGGCAGGCTCTCTCTTGGGGCGAAGACGGGGCTGAGCATCGGATCCCTCAAATCCTGCCCTGCTTTAACATACCCCCAGCCAAACATCCAGAGTTGGTCTTGTGGCAAGGTAGTACCAGCACCGTTTGGGTTTTCCCTCAACTCATCTGTGGTCGTGGGTAAGAAATTTGCTGGAGGATAAAATGCCACGAGCCCCCCAATTCTTCCCTGTAGAGTCTTATTTTGAGAGACCGCGCAGGCTAGGTTTCCACCAGCGCTGAAGCCTCCGATGGCAACTTTTGACTTATCTATCGGTAGGGAATCATCATCTAAGACGGCGTTTACGAGGTCGGTCAACGCCTGAACGGCGGTGGGAAATCGATATGAAGGCGATTTGGGATAGTCGAGGCTTACAACAAGTATATTGTTGTTGTTTGAAAAATTAGAACAGAAACCGTCGTCTGCCACAGGGTTTGTCCATGAAAACCCGCCGCCATGCATATGAATGTAGACAGGGAGTGACGAGCCGCCGGGTTTGTAAGACCGCGGTATGTAGATACGATTCGTTAGTGATCGGTGACAGGAATACCTCTTCTTGAAGGTGGGTTGTATAGATCTATCGCAGATACCAGGGATACTCAGTAAACCCAATACGAGGTCGAAAAGTAATTTGACCAGATGAAGCGTGACGAGGTATCTCAGTCTTTGGAGAATGGGAAGGCTTCCGGCGTGAGTTTTTGAGCCTATCAACGGGGTCGTAGTGGACGAGACTGGTGCGTCGGGATCTGCCATGGCTAAGCTTGGGAGACTATGGAAAACGAACGGACTTATCACAGATTTCGGGAGCTTCAAATGGGAGCTAGGAGGGGCTTTTTGCTCGTATCTCGTAAACACCGCTAGGCCCCTCCATTGATCTGTCCTCCATCTTGTTTGTGTCCAACTGCCGACAATGCGGTGTGGTCTGTGCACCATCGGAAATGCCATATCCAGATCACCGACTTCCCCGGTTGACATCGTATTCGGCCCATCGAGGGATCAGCAATATCGCCAAGGGAGTCTTTGAGACACTTCGATCACCCATATCCGTCTTTCCGCGCGATATTTGGACATTTGGAACTTGCTCAGCCAGTATTCTCACCTGTCCTGTCTGCAGCTTCAAGAGATCGGCGCAGGCAAGCTTGGACATGTCGGAGACCTTTTTACAGTTTCCACCAATACCAACAGTGCTTGCCACTACCCGATTGCGGATTCACATAAGCCCGTGAAAGCTTAACTCGATTTAGATGTGATGGCGCTTGCCACCTTCCCCATTGCGGGTGGCGCATAAGCTTATTTAATGACTATGCCTGCATGATTAGAATGAACTTCATGCAGTATGTTTGGTAAGAAGTAGATCCAATTTCCATGTTTGGGCATTGAGAGATGTCCGGGTTCGCCGAGAATATGGCTATATAAGAGTTCTTAAATGCCAGAGGTAAAGTTAAATATCACATCTACTCATTTCCCATTCCAATTCTCATTCAAACAACCACAAACCACCGCCATCATGTCTCTCCGTACAACTATTTCTATCGTTTCGGTCCTGTTGGCGATGCAATCAGGCGTCATGGCTGCGCTTAACCCAAATTGTGCTCCAGGAGGAAACTTCGATATGAAGCCCTGGAAGCTGCAGCTTCCCATCGGCAACCCAGGACAGCCACAGACCATCTCTAGCTCGCAATTGCAAGGCTGTGGTGGCTACCAGGACCCTGGGCACAAATATTTCTTCACTGAGAGTGGGGATGGTGCTCTTGTGATGAAAGTCCCTGGATCTCCAGACTCGGCGGGCTGCGTCACGACCCCAAACAGCAAGCACTGCCGGACTGAGCTTCGAGAGGCCAACCCTTCGGACGGGTCTGCTGCGAGCTGGAGCCCAAACGCAGCTAAAAATAGACTGTATGCGTCTCTATCTGTTGCGTATGCCGACGAATCCAGCCATGGCAGTGTTATCGGTCAGATTCACATCGATGACAGTATCTCAACGAAGCCAGTTTGCGAGCTCTTCTACAACTCCAAGGGTGATATTTCGATGGGAGTCGAGCAGACGAGAGCAGGCAACAATTTACTTTTCACGCCCATTGGGAATATTCCTGTTGGCCAACAGTTCTCGTACGAAATTCGATACGAGAGCAATGTCTTGTCGGTCGGGATCAATGGCGGTGCCCAAAAAGTGCTCGACACTTATCAGTTGAATGCCCCCAACAGCTACTTCAAGGTTGGAAATTATAACCAAGGGAACAATCCGTCCGACATGCACTTTCTTGCTATTGTTGTTACTCATTAGATCTGTGGAGGCCTTTATAAGCCGACATAGGCACCTAACGGGCTATTCACCGGGAATCTGTTCGTCAACACTGTAACGAGTTTCCCTTGGAGCTGTCGTAATAAGTCGTCAATCAGAGATAAATAAGACCAAGAATTCTCACACCTGTTCAAAGTATGTGATTAATGAGTGACTTTGCACTGATTCATTAATTGTAATCCCAGGGCTCCCATGTCACAGAGGAGTCTCAGTAGCAATGTTCGGGCGTAGAAACCTTGAATCGAACCCCTGTTCAACCTGCCAAGTGCTCGCTGGAGCAATAGAGTTTGCGAAGAACTCAAGGAGACCCTGATCATTGTCCGTTGACCCCGACGTATTTGACACAGGTGGCTGGTTCATACCCACCGTCGTAGATTGCATGTTATTGCCAGCAGACTGCCACCACTGGAAATCCCCTGGTTGCCATGGAGGGAACAATTGCATTGAGGTATCACCCATATAGCCCATGTCTCCTGTTCCGTTTTGATTCTGTCTTTCTTGGCTAGAGCTGGCAGCTAAATTGCTCAGGCGTCTTGTTACAGAAGGCGGTGGTTGGCCGCTCTCTGGCGATGGATGGCGTGTCGCGGGGGTGGACACACTAGTTGCATTGAAGAGATTATTCCAACTTTCCGTCTCCGATGGTGGTGGTGATATAAGGAAAGGATATCGACAGAGCAAGTCGATGGTGTGGTTCGTAGGCGTTTCCCTGGCTACAGAACCGTCCGTTCTAGAATATGTAAGTGACGTACTCTTGGGTATAGAGCACTACATACCTTTGATTTCCATCGTCATTCCCACACACAAGCTCCCATAGCCCAGCTTGCTGTATGAGATCGCAGCATTCTTGATGCTATTCAATTGTTAAGACGTAATAGCCAGGAATCAATTGTTAGGACAACTTACAACTTTGTCAGCCAAAATAATAGTTTCTTTGGTGTTTGCTAGAGCTTTAATATTAATCTTTAAAAGCTGTGACATCTCTCTACATGACTCTGCACTTGTCGGTTGTTGCTGGATTGTCTCATTTGCAAGCTGAATCGTCACCGAGTCGAGAATACAAAAACTAAGCCATGGATCGCGGAATAGGTGGTCCGGTTCTACTCTGAGCACCTTCTCAAGGAGGCGGCTTATCTGTTGAGCATGATAGAGACATCTATCGCGGCATTTTTGAAAGAATTCAGCTAGCGCTGGCGCGTTGGGATCATCATCACTAGTTGCGCCACGGTCCTGTATCCAGCTTCCAAACAAATCGCATCCACATTGATGGTACCAGACATGGACCATAAGAAACATGTCGAGATGTCGGCTTGTACGGAAGGTGTACATATGGCGCTCTTCGAATGTCATATTAGGCGGTAACTTCTTACGCCAGTCCTCAAGCTCTTTTACAACTCGGTAAAACTGGGATGTTTCCATCCACGGGGGTTCCATGTTATATTCTCGCTGGTCCCGAATAAAACTACGTGCCTGTGAGTACGTGGATTTCGGTTTGTTGTGTAGACTCACTTTGTGATCCGCCTCTTTAGGGCAAGAATCCTTATAAAATACCCGTTTGGATTTGTTGCATGATAGGCTGCCGCGTCATTTGACTCGTCATGGAGGAGAAGCGTTGTACATGGAGTACCTTGGGTAAAATTCCACAGATTGCAAGGTAATCCCAAGTTACACACTGCTTCATCACTTACGTGCATCTCGTCGGAAGCAAGCAAAATATCTGCTCCAAAAACAGACCACATCAAACGACGACTGCATTCGTCTTTGAGAAACGTCCCAGAGTCGCTCATAGGTGAGTCTGGTTGCTGGGCTGTCGGGTGGTTTAGTTTTAACTGAAGTGCCATTCGGATAGATATTCCTACATCAATATGGTCAGCAAATTTCAGGGGTAGGGCGCCAAGTATGACAAGAGGAGGAATACTACCCGTCAAATTCCATGCAGAGGTAATATCAGCTTCATGGATATCGTGCATTGCCAGAGTCTGTAGGGCCAATATGGGAAGTGTGGAAATTTGGTCCAAGCTCTCCATCACCATGGATTTTGCTTCAGCGACCCAACTTCTACCTTTAGCCTTGCTCTCTGGATCCTCGAGAAACTTTGCAGAAACTCCACAAATCGCTAATAAAAGCAGCCTCGGCGACTTCTCAAACGCTTCGCAAAGAACTCCTGGGTGCAAGACATTGTTGAGACATATGGGATGAACATTGGATAGGTATGAGTCAAGATATGGCAACAGAGCAGGGCCAGCAGGTAGCCGGGGCGAGCTAGGTCTATGTTGTTATTAGCTGAGTATCCATATGACAGAGTGATGCTATTACAGCCTCGAACTTCCACGAGAGCTTATTCCCATATCGATATCTTGCCTGGTAGATGCAACACTCCCGCTTTGGTGACAGTCATGGTTGTAATCTACCTCCATGGTTTCCATCGGAATATTACCTTGGCTGTCTGGAATATTTAATAGCTGTGATACTGGGACGGATCTCTCGGGTTGTGATTGGCGCCCTTGCTCATAGATGCAACTGATACCACGGCGGACGCATACTGAACATGATGGCTTGCCAGCATCACATTTAAGCTTCTTTTTGCGGCATGTTTCACACGCCACGGACGTTCTAAGACGTTTATGGCCCGCACGAGTAACTTCCCCAGACACGAGCTCCTCGCTGTTGGGGCGAGAGGCTATCATATACATCAGCACCAAACAAGTAGGGGATATACTACTCCTGTCATACCTTGCCATCTGCATTCAAGCCCAAGTTTCTCACACCGCAAACATAAACCTAGACGGCCATCACATTTTACCTGTCAATCTTAGCAACGACCAAGAACATCCGCATCGTTGGGTATCTTACTTTTCGAAAGCGACAAGTTGAGCATCCTACATTTCTCGCATCAGTACTGTAGCATTTTGTTAGAGCTAGACATACCAGTCATTATTAGACTAATTTATGAGGATCCTCATAGCAAATATCTTCCAACAGTAGCAGAGAAGTCATCCAGAGGAGTCCGGTAACTCGGTGTCAAGGCTAGCTTTCGCTGGTCACCAACTAACCCCTGTGGCATGGCGCCACCGCGGTTACCCCGCAAATACGCATCGATTCCACGTTTATTGAATTTAAGTCAGGTGATATGGAAATTTTCCATCATAAATACTGTGCTTTCTATTTCACTGAGGGAATCGGTGTCATAGTATAATAGTAGCTATATTTTCATGGCGAAGCCGTGGACTCCTCTGGTCATTGTAGGGGTTCTTCGATAGCGCAGAGTTATTTACATCCCACGTGATAGTACAGGTGAACATATGCCTGTCCTTATACTCCTATCAGTCTGTACGGCGTCTTTGTATCCGGTTCTTCTACGGCGTTTACTTTCCTCCAGAGGGCATAGTGGTGAAGCAGCAGTGTCACGCCATGGCGGCTAACTTGACGTCAATTGGAAATGTGGGTCAGCTTCGGATGTCGCGATGGTGGACGGATATCGGCGGACGGAAGTCGCAAAAATGGTAATTGCAACCTGGGTGGGTGATGAAAATAAAGATATTAATTGCAAATAAGACAAAATAAACAAGAGTATTCGCTTCTAATATACTTTAATAATACGTGAATCTTCAATCGCTATTTAGCTCCCCAGAAAGGCTTCTCATGTCCCAAATATCAATTCTTTGTGATATCTCGGCCTGGCTCATTGGAGGACTGAGTATCGATGTCAACATTGTCACCCTTGAGGGTTTTGTCTCCTCGGAAAAACACCTCTTCCATCTCTTCTAGGCTCTTTCCGGCGGTCTTAATAAGTTTGTTAGTATTCTCCTTGGGTAGATAGTAGGGCCTCAAACATACCTCTCTCAGCACGAAGAAAGAATAAACAATAATCGCATAATTGAAGATAGCGAACATGAGAAATGTTCTCCACCCAATGTTTGAGACTGCGTATGGCGTGATCTGGGAAAGTGCAAAGTTGAACAGCCATTGCGACGCAGCTCCGACAGCAATTCCAATCTCTCGGATCCGAGTGGGGAATATTTCTCCAAGATATATCCTAATAATACATTAGCTTCGTCCGGAAAGCTAGAGTGGGGCACATACCATGCAACAGGCCCCCAAGACAGATTGTATGATGCAGACTCGCAGTACACCATGAGAACTGCCGCGATAGCAGAATGTGATATGCTGTCTCCAGGCTTCCCTGGGGGGAACTTCGCGACAATGATGGCGATAATAAGCATGAACGTTCCCATAGCTGCAGCGCCGCCCATAAAAGCAGTCTTTCTGCCAATTCTACCAACGACGAAAAGCTAAACCACGGTCAGATCATGGCTAGGAATTAGATAAGTTGACTTACACAAAAGGTTGAAACTGCTACAACTTTGACGACTCCGAAGAAGCCAGTGATTAAGGCCGTTGAGTTACCAGCACCGACGCTTGTAAAGATCTGGGGGGCATAATACGCAAGTGAAGTGTTGCCCGTTAATTGGGCAGCTATATATAAAGTCAGCCTATACTTCAGTAACAAGTTCAAACGGGAGAAACGTACAGAGTTGCATGGTGATGGCAATAAAAAGTCGGTATCGGTTGGAAGGGAGCAACAGTTCCTTGTAAGTGACGCCCTCTGAAATGCGGCTCTCCTCTTCAATTCCAGCAACGATCTCTGCAAATTCATCTTGTACCTCTTCAGAGTCGCCGCCACGAACCCAGATTAAATTTTCGAGGGCCTGTTCATTTCTCCCTCTCTTTACTAGCCAGCGTGGGCTTTCCTTGACAAGAATCATGCCCAAGCCTAAAATGCCACCGGGAACTGGATTTCAACAGTTAGTATGTGACACTCACAGACTCTGAACAATGGGGGAGCTCACGTAACTGAAGCCCAATTGGGATTTGCCATTGCTTCGTACTCGGTTCTACATGCTTTTGCACAGCGTAGTTTACCCAGTAGCTTACACAGACGCCGATTGCAAAGAATAGCTGGAATCCAGACCCGAGTTGTCCACGGATGTTTTTCGGGGCCATTTCTGCGGAGTACATGGGAACAAGGACGGTGGCTGCACCTACGCCAAAACCGGATATGACTCTGCCAGCGTAAAAACAGGCAATGGAGCCCGTATTGACCACTTGAAGAATTCCGCCCACGATGAACACGGCAGAGCTGATAACCATGGACCAGCGTCGGCCTAGGCGCGCAGTGATGGGCCATATCACGAAACATCCGAAAAATGCACCGGCTTGCAGAATACTAACAGCATTGGCGTTGATGGACTTGGATTGTGCCTTAGTATAGTTGAAGTCTTTCTGGAATGCTGCGAGGGTGAGAACTCCACCAACGATTCCGGTGTCGTAGGCAAACAGAAATGATCTGAGGACATATCAGTATCAGTATAAATCGTAGGGATGTTTGATAAAGATGTCAGCTTACCCAACACAGCAAAGAACCGCAACATAAGTGGCGCGAAAGTTACCCAGCGCAGTACCCATTGTGATATATTTCCTGAGGGTCCAAGATTATTTGATTGACGAATATTTGGGAGCAAGTGAAGGGAATTACTGCAACTTATGTATCGCTCGGAGATGTCACAAACCAAAGACGCCATGGCGTGCTCTCCATCCAGGCAACGTCGAGGATATCCGCCAACAAGGGAGCCATGCCTTCAACACGCGTTGACCTTCGTTCTAGTAATAATTTGGCGTTGCTGTCAGCGACCCATTTCATGCGGGGGCCTCCGTGCCAGGGGTAGCTGCAATCGGTAGTCTCTCTTTAGGGGCGGGCTAAGCTAGCGCGAGCGACATCCACGTCGTCGTTCGACGAGTTCCGAGATTCTCCACAGCGACTTCCGACGACGCTCGGCCGCGGTAGGTGCTGAAAATGGTGGTGGAGGCCGACTTCCATTTGGCTTCGGATGATAAGGGCTCCTTGAGTTACCCCTCAGGGTATCGGCAGTTTTATTGTGAGAGGGGTAAATATATATACTTTGGAGAAATCCTTCTCAACCTATAATTGTCAATTCTATGTAATTAAACTGTAATTGACAGTGCAAAAATCACAATCATGTCTAGAATTCCTACCAAAAAACCCAACTTTCTCATAATTCTTGCCGACGATCTCGGTTTTTCAGACCCAGGCTGTTTCGGTGGGGAGATCAGAACTCCGAATATTGATCGCCTGGCCAAAGATGGAGTTCGATTCACGAATTTCCACGCTGCAGCGGCGTGCTCTCCAACTAGAGCGATGATTATGACAGGGACAGACCATCATATTGCGGGTTTGGGAAACCTAATTGAGTGGTCAAAGGCTTCAGCTCAAGCTGCTGGGAAGGGAAAAGTTGTTTCTACCGCTCCACAGAGAGGTGCGTAATTAATTATCCCATTGTTTTTTCGAGCATATCTGATAATTTTCTTAGGTATGCCTGGTTATGAGGGTTATCTCAACGAGAAAGTAGTTGCCCTGCCTGAAATCCTGAAAGAGGGCGGTTACGAAACTTTCATGGCTGGGAAGTGGCATCTCGGAAGCACCAAAGAGAGGTCGCCAACGACTCGTGGCTTTGAAAAGTCCGTGGGCATGCTCGCGGGATGCTGTAACCATTACGCATACCAACCTCCGGGATCGTGAGTTTAATTACTGCTGTCTTTTTCATGACTGACATATTTCCAAACAGTGAGAACGACATGCCTGGATTCATGCAGACGAGCCACATCGCCGTGCACTTGGAAGATAACGAATACCTAAAGGAGCTGCCGAGCGATTGGTACTCATCCGATTACTATGCAGACAGAATGGTTACTTACCTCAAAGACCGCGATACGGAGCGCCCATTCTTTGGATACCTTCCATTCACGGCTCCCCACTGGCCGCTTCAAGCTCCCCCGGAGCTCGTTGCGAATTACCGCGATGTTTACAAGGACGGACCGGAAGCGCTGCGCCAATCTCGTCTTGCTAAAATGATTGAGCTGGGCCTTATGGATCCCAAGACAGTTCCACATCCAGTTATTGCCGACGAAAATGAGGAGTGGGAAGAAATGAGTGATGAGTCTAAGGCAAAGTCGAGCCGCGCCATGGAGGCATTCTCGGGAATGGTTGAGGTGAGACGTTTGACTTGTTCGGGCTGGATATCATCGGCTAACCCCCAATTAGTCCATGGATATCAACATTGGCAAAGTTCTTGACGAGCTGGAGAAGCAAGGCGAGCTTGACAATACATTTGTTATGTTCCTCAGCGACAATGGAGCCGAAGGTGCAGCATATGAGGCGTATCCGGTATGATTCTAATAAAGTCCGGTAAACAGCGCATCTAATAAAAATTTAGATGATCCGAGGACCACTGTTAGAGCATCTTGACAAGTACTACGACAACAGCCTAGAGAACATCGGAAACGCCAACTCATTCGTTTGGTACGGGCCCCGCTGGGCACAGGCGTCCACCGCACCCTCAAGGTTGTACAAGGCGTACCCAACAGAAGGAGGTGTCCGTGTACCCTGCGTTGCGCGCTACCCTGGATTCAAGAACGGCGAGACAGTAGATGCATTTGCAACTGTTATGGATATTGCGCCCACGATCCTTGAGATGGCCGGGTTATCGCATCCTGCCCCGGAATGGTTAGGCCGAGAAGTCGTGCCGATGCGAGGCGCATCTATGAGTGCCTGGGGAACGGTATGATATATTTATCGCATGATGCGTATTCACGAAAGATCCACTGACGTAAACAGGGAACCGCTGAGAGGATCCACGAGGAAGAGTTCGTCCAGGGTTGGGAACTCCTCGGACGCGGCGCCATCCGCAGAGGAGACTGGAAGGCAGTCTTCATCCCTAAGCCGAAGGGAACCGAGAAGTGGCAGTTATACAATCTCAAAACTGACCCTGGAGAGGTAAACGATCTCGCGGACGAGAACCCGAAGTTATTACAGGAGCTGCTCGTGCTTTGGGACAACTATGTGCTTGAAAATGGGGTTATTCCATTGCAGCCTGAGCTGGGTGAGTATATTGAGGCATTGGATGAGCAGATGACTGTAAGTTTTGCGTATTCCTCATAAATTTACCACTGTACTGACACTTTGTAGGAGAAGGGATGGATGGAGTACGAATTCTGGCAACCGGGGGCGATCCAGAACCCAGATAAATTTATCACGAACCCACCACGGTTCCCAAGGGTAGACAGAAAGGCGACTGTAGCAGCTACATTCGCATCTCAGCTTGCCACATAATTTATATATGCTGTGGTAGTCATATTACTATATTATAGCATGTATATTTTCAATTGTCCAACAACGCTGGTGACGTCTGGAAAGCATCCCTTGTATTATCACGTATTCCCCGTATAATGACCTTGCGGCCCGGTCGTGAAATCTCCCCTCTGCTCCAAACTGCTCACTCTACCCAGTAAGAACTCCAACTGCCGATATGCAGCTCCTGGCACATATTGAGGGATCATGTGCCCCGCCAAATTGACCGTGACGAACGTCAGACCTCTCTCTGTGTGCGTCACACCCTGGAAACCACCACCTGCCGTATCAGTGAACACATGTGTCTCAATACCGTTGGCGTACTGGAGGATCTCGCCGTTGGTTTGGTGGTACGGCACATAGAAGTTCTGCTCCTTGAAGGGCGACGTCTGGAAACCCTGGGCGCCGTTCCAGGTCATGTTCTGGATGGAGATAAGGGACCCGTTGGCGAAGAGGAGGAAGTCGAGCATGCCGTGGCCGATGATTGTGTTGTTCGTGCGCTCAATGACGCTTGGGAGTGGGCCGAGACTGGACTCGATTGACTTGTCACCGTGAGGGAAGAGGTTGTCGCCACCTCCACAGACCATGTAGTTTGTTGGTGGCGCGTTGATGGCTTTCTGTACGTCAGTGCGGTTGAAGTAGTTATTTGGTCCTCCGGCCATAGATGGGAAACCGAGCAAGTTCCACTGATATGGGCAGTAATCTGTCAAGTGGTATATGTTGAAGCAGGGATTTTCATAGTATGCCGCGTTGTAGACCTCATCGAAGATATCACAGCCGGGCTCCTTCCAGCTGGGAGCGGCGGGGATTTTGCTAGATGGCGGGAACTCCGTGGTCCACTTGTTGAAGAAATCAGTGTATCCACAGCTATCTGCGCGAGCTGTGATGTTTGCAATGAAGCTCTCGTTCAAGTTGATCACATTGTTGAAGTAATTCAGCGCAGGCACAATAGGTGCTGCAATTGTTAGTTTGGTACTCTTTTGCTATGGATTGGAGAGTGCTTACCGTGGAGCAGGACGTCGTCTGTGTTGATGGAAGGGTCATTAATCTGAACACCCTTCACATTGAAGTACTTCTCGTCCTTCGTATCCAGCATACCGCTCGCAATATATGGGATATACTGCCCAGCGTAACTTTCTCCCGTGATATATATTTTGTATCCTTGCATAGAAAAGGTATCAATGAAGTTCTTCCAGAAACCCATGAATTGCTCTGCAACATCGTTCTCGTCGTCAACGAGAATACTGCCGGGTGAGAAACCCGTGCTGACTGGCTGATCGATGTATATCATATTGGTAAGGTTAACCCATGAGTATGGGTTTGCGAATGGCGCATAGGTTCCGGGCTGCCATAGGAAAGGCCCATTTTCCTGGAACAGGCCGTCCAAGGAGCTGCAGCCTGGACCACCGTTGAGCCAAATTGTGATCTCCTTCTTCGCCGCTGGGTTCGAAGACGGAAAGAACCAGAACCACAATCTGTTTTCGTCATCTTTCTTGCTGGAAATCGGCAGGGTGCCCGCATACGACTCCCCAATATTGAAGTCCACCTCTGGCAATGCAGAGCCATTGACGGCGAATTCTAGACGTGATCAGCCACGGAATACTGGGAGCCAAGGGGCAAATGGTCATACTGGCAGTTTTCTTGTTCAGGAAGTGAGCAGAGTTCGCCGCACGCGATGCATGTTTTGATACCATGGGTTCCGCTGATCTCTTCTGCACATACTTTGCAGCCTTCTCGTGCGGGTTCTGGGCGGCTGTCACCACCGACGCAGCGAGGAGCAGCAAGAGAGCACGGATAGTCTGCATGATTGCCAGCACAGAATAGCCAAAGTATCACAACAGATGCAATTGGGATACAGAAATGATTTTGGAGATCGTCGACGTATATAAATGCATATAGGTGAACGGAAGCTCACATGTATATTGCCCTATCAACAACATGCAGCACGTTTTCGTGTCTCTCTCATGATGATCATGGGCCACAGTTGCGGATCTCGCACCCCTTCTAGGCATTGATCGCCGAGGCATCTTTGCTGGCTCCGTTGCGGCTAAGCTGTATGCGGCAGCTACTGAGACATAAACCATGGGTAAATGCTATCGTTGCCTGGTGACAAGCAAAGGAAGTGGGGGATCTCGGTGTGTTGACGATGGGGAATCTCAAACGCAGGGATTAGTTCTGCGTTTGTTTCTTCGCTGTCCCCGCATCCCGTGTTTAACCTGCCTCATTCCGACAAGTGGGTGTAACGGGTAGCGGCACGCCAACGAATTGGCTTTCTCAAGCGGCATTGGCAAAGGCTTGAATTAGGGAGGCGGTAACTAATTGTCTGTGCATGCGGACATCCAACGCCTGCGTTGACTTTTGCGCTGAATATTGCGCCTTCGTGGCTGTACAGCGATCATCGTCGTTCGCTACATCGGGAAAGTCGCTGGTTGGCGGGAGTCTCGGTCTTTCCGCGCAATAGGACGGGATGACGAAATGATGCATTCCCACCCACTAATTATACAACGAATCGGCCAATAGGTTGAAAAGACAAACCGACCTTCCTAATTAGTCCAAAAATTGAAGGTATTCGGAAGCTTGTCTATGGCAGCGTCACGACCATGAATGCTTGGTGAATGCCTAGTCTTTGGTATAATACTGCAAAGTTACCCCGGTTTACTACCATCTCAGCCCAAGTAGGGCTGTCAGACTTGCTGGCCGCAAATAGCCATGAAGGACATTGAGAATTTCCAAAGAGATGCTGTGCTGCAAAGTGCCAAGCTGGCTGAGTAACGATGCGAGTGACTCACAATATATGAAGTTATTTTTTCCAATTTGTTCGTTATAATGCAAGTCAACATCCATAACATCAGTGCAATGCAATCTGTCTGCACTTTAAATCCCCCATGCCGATAATGAGACTGAGAGGCATTTGCTTTACGAAAGCTTGACAAGAAGTCAAGAACCGACCGACTCCTTACACCATCCCCCGCACGATATCAACATGAGCAAAATATCGGAAGAGTGGGTATCATCGGCGCCAGGTGCCTCCGGGCGCAAGCTAATCCAGGTCCCGCTTCCCGTGTTGGAAGCCCTCGCAAACGGGGACCTTGAGTCTGCTAACAGCCTCTCCCCGCACCACCTAACGCCGTATCTCATCTCCAGCGAGTGCCGCGGCGTGTGGGGCATGCGGCGTGACCAGGTCACTGCTGACCCTGGGGATGGCGTTTGGGTGACTCGGCTTCTCGTGGACATGGCGACTGGCGCTGTGGTAGGTCGTGCGGGGTTCCATGGGCCGCCGGACCAGGTGGGGATGGTTGAGATAGGCTATGCCATTGATCATTTGTGTCGACGGCAGGGACATGCGCGGGCTGCACTTGAGATCCTCCTCGATATTGCTGCGGGAGACTCGCGCGTGAATGTCGTTCGTGCGTCAGTTCGGCCAGACAATCTGCCATCGAGGGCGCTGATTGATCAGTATGGGTTTACTGTGGTGGGCGAGCAATGGGACGATGAAGATGGACTTGAAGTGGTTCTGGAACTCTTGTTGTGATGAAGGGATCATCATGGAGTTGGAGAGCGACATGGAATCTCGGCGAGTCATTGACCGGCTCGGTGCCTCATCAGAGCCGTTCCACTTTCGGAAACAGATGGCATTATCGATTCTCGGGGCATCTGAGTGGACCCTAGGCGGTATCTCGACGATGAAAGCGAGTAGTTTACCTTCTAAATGGAACTGATTACCACAAAAATACTCTTTCGGTAACTCCATGTTCACGAGAATCTTCCTTAGCTTGTCGGACCCTAAAGGTCCAGACATCGCGAAAGCTCCATTGATCTTTGTTTTCTGCAGTGGGTGAACAACAAAGGCAAATTCATCTTTATTTACAAACAGTGAAGAAATCCGTTCCTGGGAGGGATGCAACATGTGGCAACCGGATGCAAAGGTAGATCTTACAATACTGACAAGTCAAGCAATCCAACACAATGTCATCCCGACGAGAGATATCGGAGGTGTTCCCTCGAACAATCGCTAATCTTACACGGCGGGAAGAGATTATCCTGCGGCACCATGACCGAGCACGGAGACGACTCCAGGCACGAGCAAGAAGCGGGAGAGATTCTGTGGAAACTGGCAATAGAGCTCGAACAGCCAATAACAGGGGCGTTCGATTTGGTCAGAGCAGGATTCCAGGAGACTAGAGGCAAGGTATGAAGAGAATTCACAGTCCCCAGAGCCCGTAGTCTCGCACAGGATCGTGGGAGGAGACGTGGATGTTAACGAGGATCTGATGTTCGATCGATTGCCTGCCCATTTAAAGGCCACGCGTTCTCGTCGTGAACGCTCCCTCGCACAGGCTGGGGTCGCTGGGGCTCGCCATCGCCGAGAACTTCTATTTGAAACTCCTGTGGCGCTGACTGCCAGTAAAACGGATTTTTCGGGCCCTCCACATTGCCTCGATTGAAAAATGTGTTCTGCATACCTAGGAGGGAGGTGAATTCTGCTACCAGTTGATCGAGGGGCCGGTTTGTTATTCTCTCGAGTATAACCATCAAGGACATGAAGTTCAGGTCGGAGTACCGGAACTTGCTTCCCGGTGGATTTGTCAGCCCTTGGGTGACAATGGCCTTTATCTTCTCTTCATATGTCGGGTATATCTCAGAAAACAAAGAGGGCACAGGATCGGAAGCGAAGCCGCTCGTGTGGGTAAGCAGCATTAGGATGGTAATGTTTGACTTGCCATTTACGGCGAACTCAGGCACGTATCTCGTCACCGTCTCATTCAATTGCAACGTTCCTGAGTCTATCTCTCGTAAAGTCGCAACGGTGATGTACATCTTAGTCAGGCTGGCCAGGTCGTAAATGGTATCGAGGTCGGCCGCCTCCTGTAGATGAGGCGGCAGCAACGTGCCATTGGCGTCCGCATACAGATTCTTCTTGCCGAACGCAAAGGCGCTGACAATGGTATTCTTGTGGCCGACAAGAACAGTTCCACCGGGCTCGATTGGATTAATCGCATCGAAAGAGAACCTGCCGTAGTCGGCCGGGGTGGTGTATGCTGTCAAATTGGCGATCATCTGCTGCAGAGGCAGAGGATCCATACCTACGGACTCTGGGGTACTGTAGCTAAGTATATTGCCATGATTAGCGCTCTTGGCAGCGGTAGGGTTTGCCGTCGTTTGGATAAGCACGAGGCTCGTAGAAGCAACTATGCTGAACAATCTCATGTTGGTTTGGAGCCTAAAGCGTTTGTGATCGGTCGCTCAAACGTATGGGACTAAGCCTATGAGATAGGATTGAGACTCACGCAGTGGCAGCGGCCAGATATAAATATTCAAAGCTGGGAAGAACGATTCCTCTATTTTTACCTACATTAAGCGTCCCATTGGCACGACCTATCTATCTCCCTGCAGGACCCCTCATTTCACTATCATAATTGAATATCATTAATACGAAGTAAGCTACAACTATGGCGTTCCTTGAACACTCTGCTCCGAAACTACGAAACTCCAATGAGTGCTCGAGTTTCATTGGCCTGTTAACATTGTCTACCCCACTTCCTTCTACATTCTCCGCTAGTTCATTCTCCGATGTCGTTCTTTGATTGTTTGCTCAGACTCCGAATATACTAGACTAGCCACAATCTAGTCTAGCCTAGTTTTTTTAGTATGAAGTTTTGTATGTAGCGAACTGCGAGCTCCGAACTGCGACGTAGTATGCACTAAAGCTACAAAAGGTAAAGCAGTACGTACTAAAACTGCGAACTGTAAACTTGTGGTTGGCAGGTTTAGGCAATACGAATATTTGAGATTAACTCAAGTTACCATCCACTGAGTAACCAACTTGCACTTGCTGAGTAGTTGATTAAGGGAATATACTTCACCAAGATGCCTCAGCCCGAAACCATTGTAGTTGTCGGGTACGTGTTCCGCTATACTCTTCACTTACTCCCTCCCTTTCGTTCCCAGCCTTGATCTTGTCAAGAACTGTGCTGACTAATCTCTCCGTTAGAGCTGGAGTGATCGGCCTTAGCACTGCTCTGTGTATTCAGCAGCATTTGACGCCCTTGCAATCGGTCGTCATCGTTGCTCGGGATTTTCCCAATACCACTTCAATCAATTATGCCACTCCTTGGGCAGGTGCCCATTATCGCCCTGTACCTGGCCAAACTCCCCAAATAGTCCAGGAGGCAGCCTGGGCAAAACGAACGTACGACGTATTCCAACACATCGCCGCTGAAGAGCCCGCTGCGAGTGGTGTGCAGTTTTTGCCTGGAGAGGAGTATTTGCAGAAGCCGCCACCGGAGTATCTGGATGCGGTGGCGGATGTTTCGAAGAGCGCTTATGGGCATCTTCAGGGGGGGTTCGAGCGACTCAGCCTCGATGAGATTCAAAATTCTGCTGTGCGTCTAGGCATTCGGTACTGGACGTACTGCGTTAACTCGCCCGTGTACGCAGCATATTTGTTACGGAAGTTTGTCCTCAAAGGCGGCCGGACTAGAGGATATACGCTGGCTGCGCTAGACGAAGCCTTTTTGTTAGAGCCGAATGTGACTACAGTGGTTAATTGTTCTGGTATGGGCTTTGGAGATCCGAAGTCGTTCATCATTAGAGGTATGTTCCGTCCCTTAACTTGCCTGGTTGGTGTATCTGCAAGCGTCATCAGTGGAAACTAATTTTGCTCGCAGGTCAAACTTGTCTTGTCCGCAACAGCTGCTCGAAGACCATCACCCATCAAAATTCCGATGGATCCTGGTCATTCGCGATCCCTCGGCCGCTCGAGGGTGGTACTATCATTGGTGGCACCAAACAGCCCCATGATTGGAATCCGAACCCCATGCCGGAAATCCGACAGACTTTATTGTCAAACGCAGCAAAGTGGTTTCCTTTTGCCTCTAGTACGCCACAGACCTTTGATGTAGTTAGGGACATTGTGGGACGCCGGCCAGCGCGGGAGGGCGGGTTTAGGCTCGAAGCTGAAACTATTGGTGTGGTAGGTGCAGATGGATGTAATAGAACTCGTAATGTTATCCATGCGTATGGCATTGGAGGCAGAGGAGTCGAATTATCTTGGGGGATTGCTGAGGATGTCGCAGGATTATTGCTGGGGAAGGGAATAATAACGGAGAAGGCATTGTTGTAGTCTATTGAAAGCATTGAGCAAGAGGTTTTGGATTGCAACTCGATGCTACTGTTATGGATTTAAACTCATGAGATCTAGTGCCTAATTCCTTCTCTAATTGTCTGGCAAAGGGTTACAGTTATCAAAAGCTATTCTGTTTGCCGTTGTGGAGTGGATCTACGGCTTGTGGTGTACCTCTAGGATAGAAATAAATACGGCACCTTACTTACGTCTTATTTTAATAACAATTTAAACCATAAATGACAGTGTATGATTACATTGAAATTATACAAATGGAAACTGAATCCGATTGCTAGTACAATCCACGTATGGACATGCTATTATCTAAATCTTTGGGGAGATGCCAAGTTTCTCATCCTCGGTGACAGCCAGAAGAGAACCCTTAGACTTTTCCAGCACCGTATCTGTGACGATATTACCCGATACTTCTGTCGTCAGATGATAGTCACCGCTCTTACTGAGTGTGTACTCTTCCTTGTCAATGTGGCGGAACGTAAAGTAGAATACAACAGTAAGGATTCCTCCTGCGATACATGGTCCACCAAAATCCCAGGTTAAGTAGGGGTCCTTTATCACTGACGAGCAAGCCAGGCCAATAATATATGCGATTGAAGTGTTGAAGAGATTGAGGGCCATGACCAAGCCTCTCATATTCTTTGGGGCACGAGAGTAAGCTATACCATAGGCCGGAATATTGATAAATAGCTCAGAGATACCACCAATGGCATATGGCAGTGCTATCCACTAATATTTTGTCAGCAGGGCATTCTGTAGTGCACTATGATTCCTGATAAAACAAGGATACATACCCAGATAGTAATAGGAGCAACCAAAGAGACGCCATTCGCATCAACGCAGGTATTGCTCGTACCAAACTCTTTGCACGGTCCCAACTTGTATGCATAGTAGTTAAGCAAAGTGTATCCCATGCCGCCTATTGTGGACATAGCGAGGCCAGTAGTGATACGAGCGACTGGGCCATAATGGATATTCTGGCGGCGTAACAGTGGGTAGAGTCCATAGTTAATAATTGGAGCAAATAAGATAATACTCAATGAATTAAAGTTGCTGATAACATCGTTGGGTACCCCATTAGTCGTCAACATTGTCGACAAAAAGCTCGCAGCCTGGCCAATACCATTATCATTAAGATACTGGATCGGGAAGAAACTGAAAATGCCCGCAGCTTGGAATGTACGGCGAACATCGTCAACAAATTCATCATTCCACCTAGTAGGGATATTGAGTCCACGGGTCGCAATAACGGACGGCTTAGCAGATTCCCAAAATCCGCGTCTTCCTATCTTCATGATACCACCGTGCCTTAGACAAATGCCCAGCACACGGAAGACATTAGGAAGGTCGCTGCCTCCTGGTGGGAAGAGAATGAGACGTTTGCGGATCCAAAACTGTAGGAAGATCAGTTTCAGTACATATAGCATCTAGACTAAAATTTAAAGATTTCAAAGTGACTAAATTTAAGCCATCGGGCAGACAAAGGAGAGAAGGGACGTACCATTAGAAAAGGAAGCGGAAGATACAAGAAAAGTGGCAGTACAAACGCCAACCACCATCCTACATACTTCTCTGAGTATGCAGTAGCCACTGCCATCATTCCGCCAATATTAATCATGAGGTAAAACCAGGTCATGGTTCTCTCCGTAGTTGCCTCAGGATCAATAATGACCCTTTCGCCGCTTTTTAAGACCTTTATCTTGGGTACCGTATGAGGGTTTTGATCAAGAAGTAGCGGCGCGATATTTGGTTTGAACATAGCTGCAGGGCCAAAGTCAATACTAGTGCATATATGGGGAAGAAGCTTCATACCAGTGCCGATAGACAGAATATATACAGAAATGAAGAATGGGATTTTAGCACCACCGCTAGCCAAAAGTGATGGCGCAGTAGAGCCGACCATTAACACATGGGCGATGCCAAAAACAAGAATGCCCCAGCAAATAAGCTTGAAGCGTCCGGTATACACATCCGATATGTAGCCAAAGATAAGCGGAAGACCATACGCCAACATGCTGAACGACTGATTTACAGCGTTCGCCTTGACTGTCCCTAGACCGAGTGCTCCGGCAGTTTGCTGAGTTCCGCGTGGGGGGGCGCCATAACCATTTCCACTTACAGGCATTGGCCGATTAATAAAATTGCTGATCAAAGATGAGATGCCGTAGTAGGATGCACGTTCAGCGAATTCGATAGCGCAAAGAAAGTAGGCCGCGACAGGAAGGCTTCCGGGCACACGGCGAAGGGTGGCCTTCTCCTCTTCCGTAGGAATGTCTCCGTGCTCGTCAATTGTCACATCAAAAACTTGGACATCGCCAGACGAAGATGTCCCCTTCTCATCAACAAATTGGTCAATATCTTTGGTAGCTGTGGATTGTCAGGAAATATTTCTCCGCGGGGACGTTTAAGTCACGAAAGCTCACCCATTACAACGTCTTCGATATGGAAGAGGATATGTCTAAAGATGCATGTTCTGAATGGCGACTAGAAGCTATATAAGTTGTCTGGTTGAGTGTATCCCCTGCTATAGATACAGATACGAAGGGACACCTGCCAGGACTCTCGCTGTATTAGGAAGGTGAACTGTATTTCGGAGACTGCGTAATCTATACCATAGTAAAAGAGTATGGTAAGGAGCTAAATAGTAACTATCTAGCTATCATTGTGCCTTTTCACTAGCGGTCAGACTATGGGTTTGGAATGACACCTCTAGTAGTCGGATCGGGTATCATTTACGGCCCTTGTTGTTTAAATTGGTGCTAAAAGGAGCTTGGGTCTAGATTTTGCCGGGGTAATATGCAAAAAGTTACACTTGTAACTCGTAGCACAAGAATTCCCCGAGTTATGAAACCTAGATGGGCGTTTAAGTCAGCAATCCTGGTCCGCCGGAGCTCATAATCCTGGTTCGGAGCTGCTTATCCTAGTGTCGGAGCTGACAATCCTGGCTCGGAGCTAGTAACTGGAATTCACACTTTGGCAACCAGATAAGGAATGACAAGATTATTCCAACTAACAATATCTTTAGTATCGGAGCTATATTCGACCTCTTAAAGTTGCAAGTGACAAGAACCAACAAGTAATAAATACCATCTAATGGTCGTCGTTTCTGATTTCATGTCCAGCACCTCAAGCCTAGTTCTAAACAAACAAAACAAAGATGATCAATATTATTTTCGCTCTCGCTTTGGTTAACCATGTGGTCACCGCACTCCCATCAATAGTTCTTGAGCGTGCGACAGCTGCCAAGCAGGTTGGGTACATCAGCGTCTCAGTTGCAACGCTATGGACCACTTCCAGCAAGCCGCGGCCATTGGTTGATGCACCCGCTCTCACAAACCCAGCCGATATCGACGGTTGGTTGAGCTCAATGAATGTCAGCCAGTACCTAGATCTCACCGACAAAAGCCGTACCCAGACACAAGCACTTTACGGCGCTCAGGTTGGCATTATCAGCGAACAGGACGGATGGTATGAGATTGAAGCTATAGGCCAGCCAACACCAAAGGATCCCATTGGCTACCCAGGCTGGGTTCCAACAGCTCAAGTGTCGCTCGACTCTAGCTACGGCAAGCTACAGTCGAAAAACCCCTTTGCAGCGATCAACAAGGTGGCCACCGCACCACTATACCGCGATGCTCTGATGAAAGAGAAATATCTCGAAATCTCCTACGACACGCGCCTACCAGTGATAGCACATATTGGTAGACTGATCCAAGTTGCAGTGCCCGGTGGAGGCTCAGCATACCTGTCTGCGAATCATGCTACTGTGTACGGCTCAGTTTCAAATATCCCATATCCTACTGGAAATGACCTCGTTAAAGCTGGAAAGCTGTTCCTCGGCCGCCCCTATCTCTGGGGTGGCGCATCAGGCTTTGCCTTTGACTGCTCTGGGTTAACGCATACTCTATACGATGCACATGGTATCACGATTGCTCGCGACGCAGGCTCCCAGGCGGACTTCACTGGCCATGGAACAAATGTTGCTCGGTCTGATTTGCAAGCTGGAGATCTTATGTACTATGCCAGCAACATTACCAGTTCAAGTAGCATCTATCATGTTACAATGTACATCGGGAATAATGAGATGATCGAAGCCCATGGTGCTGGAATACCAGTGAAAATCTCCCCGGTTCGCTTCGGCGACGATTATTGGGGTGCACAACGGTTCCTAACCCATTAGATGTGTTGATATTTCCGGGATTGAAGGGGATTAAGGAATATACTAGTCTTGGTCAGATAGTATATACCATAAATGATGTTGCTTGGAGAGTTGTTATATATTAGACAATAATATATTGATTCTATTTTTTACAATCTAATCATTCAGTTTTACATTGTCTGTCCCCTTTCGTAATACCTACTGCTTATATGACTGTGAGTTTTTCTGAATTAAACGTCACTTCTGGACCGTACCTTACGGAATAGCATATGAAGAAGCATTGTAGTTGTTTTTGGTTATGAGGAGAGGTGCGGAATAGCATATGACGGAAGTGTGCATAAGATCACACGTGCCAGACAAACTCCACAGATCCACAAAGGCCTCATTATAATCACTGGGCTAGTAGTCGACATCACTAAGGGGCATCCGTTTCTCGCTCGAGCAGAAATAGTCCCGCTCCAACTCTTCACACGCAATATTTTTCGTTGAGACATACACCAACCACACCTTCAACATCGTGGTCACACAGCTGATAGAGTCTGTCGCCAGTATCATTTTCATTGCTTCCGACACCCCTTAAAAAATCCAAGTGAAGGGATAGCTTTGAAGCAGGGGTGCACTCGTAGCTGCAAAAGGCCTCTAAAGTGAACAGCCTCTGATAGTAACTTCACAAATGGGTTGGCCCTAAGAGTTTGTGACACAGTGGGACTTTTAGCAGATACATCTAGACTAAATCGGAGCAATACTACCGCAATCACGAAAGGCTATGGAAGGCAGCGCAATATCAAGGGTCTCCCCCATTGTCCAAAGCGCACTAGTTCGTGCATCTTCATCGCATAATATAACTCAGTTAACATTGCGGGTTTTAGACAATGCTGAACACATCTTTCTGATGAAGATGCGCTGCCTCTGCTGTTAATTGGTTACCATGAAAATAAGTATTACAAGGGCTCACTATGATAAGGTCCTCACACCTGCTTCTTTGGCCTTGATTTGATGTGAATGTTCATTGCCCCTGAGTTGACGATTACATTCCGAACCAGGATTACGAGCTCCGAGCCGGGATTGTTAGCTCCGACACCAGAATTGGCAGCTCCGAACCAGGATTACGAGCTCCGGACCAGGTTTGCTGGAACCTAAACCCCCCAACTTTGACAGCAGCCTGGAAGATACTCATGCTGATAGCATGGCGTCGTTCCATCCTCTGGTTAACGATATTAGAGAGTTATATCCGCAAGCGAGTTCCATATCCAAGTCGATTTTTTTTTCTTCATTATATCTATCCTTTTTCGGTCTTGTTCCTATGTTAGACAGCATACCAATTCGAATTGCTAAATTTTACAATGGCTTCACCGAGATGCATTCCTGGATACGCCCATGAGGATGCTTTTGATGATGGCTTCCTTGATGTAAGCTCCATCCATACGTTATATTATTCACAGTATGGCAAGAAGGATGGCAAGCCAGGTAAGTGAACAACTCGTGATAATGTCGCTTTCTAAAACCTTAACAGTACTCTATCTACATGGTGGTCCTGGCGGACAAACCGGGAAAGCCAATACTGCTTATTTCGACCCTGCTGTCTATCGTGTCGTGCTCTTCGATCAGCGAGGCGCAGGCAAGTCCACTCCAAATGCAGAACTCCGCGAGAACACGACGGAGTTCATCCTCAGCGATATCGAGGTTCTTCGCAAGCACGTTGGCATTCCAAAATGGCACTCCGTATTTGGTGGTTCCTGGGGTTCTACGCTGTCGCTACTCTATGCACAAGAGCATCCTGAACTCGTTAGCTCTCTTATCGTCCAAGGCATTTTTACTGTGCGAAAGGAAGAGCTCGACTGGTCTCGACGTGCTGGGGCGGCGCGCATCTTCCCAGACCTGTTCGATAAGTTCATTGACCACTTACCTGAAGAGGACAGAGACACTCCATATACAGGGTATTACAAGCTGCTCACAGCCAGCGATAGGGAGACGCAGATCGCTGCTGCGAGATCGTGGAATACGTGGGACATGTCTATAGGAACAATAGAAGTGAACCAAGCTAGCCTCGAAAACATTAATGATGATAATTGGTCACTATCGCATGCATTGCTAGAATGCCACTATTTTATCAATGGAGCTTGGCTAGAAGATGGCCACATCTTAAAGAAGAGCAATTTGGATAAGATCCGCCACATTCCAAGTATATTATTGCGAAACAAAGCACTGATTAATGCACTTGCTAACTAAAATACAGTGACAATCATCCAAGGGAGATATGATATTATATGCCCTCCTCAGACTGCCTATGATTTGCATCAAGGATTACCTGAATCTCGGTTGTGTTGGGTTCCAGACGCAGGCCATTCAGCTAGTGTAAGTGACTTCCACCTTTAAACGACCCTTGTGCTGACATTGTAAGGAACCCGGAATACACCGCAAATTGATTGAAATTTGTGACGAATACGCCCAGATTTGATATCAGCCATGACGAATAGAGGAATTTTGCTATGCATCTACGATTTATGGCATTTTTACCATGGTGAAGGTTGCCATGTATAGTTTTGCTAGTCAAGAATCAAGTTTTGGTATTGGTAATATTACCATAATTGAACCCTACTGTGCAAGCTATGATTTGCTTCGGAGAACACCTTCTTACGTTTATGACGCAGCGTTGAAATCGTTCGAGCAGTCGCATGGATTATACTAGTGCAGTCATTATTAGGTACTAAGAATTGTGCTTAACACACGTTACATTATCTTGGACCTGGTTACCTGCCATTTGTCGCCCCACTAAAGCTGCCACTGCCCATCCCCCCGCTGCGGGGTTACATATCCCTATCCGGCTATGTTGTGCCTATCTCCTGTCTTTGGTTTGTGGAGGTTGTGCATAGGTGATCCTACATTTTCAGTCATTTCTTATATTAGAGACTGTAGTCTTGAGCTCGTTGAAGTACGTCGGTTTCTTGTTTTCCATCTCGCCGAGGTAGCCTCTGTCGATAAGGCAAGTTAGGGTGACTGTGTTGTCGTTATACACGATGTCCGAAGTCTCACATTTATCCCATGGCTCTGAATTAGAATATTCTAGGGGGTGCCATAATAAACATAGCGATGTGGAATTCTCCAATCCATAGTATCCACAGCTACGCTTGTATTTCTCCGTGCATCCCGTTGACAACCTCCCCACCATAACTTCCGCGAATTCCGCGACACGCGGTTCCTCAAGCATAAATCTCGAATGTACGTGCCTATCTGTCTTGCACAAGCTATGTTTGCCGCGCAACTCCGTTATCTATTCCTCTTCGTACTAGATAATTAGATAAGGTTAACCCACTTTTTCCGAAGTACCCCACTCTCTCCGATCCTCCGCTCCGACTTACAAAACCGCACTCACGCCGGAGTAATGTCATTGAGCCATTCAAGCAGGATGAAGAAGCGTCTAAGGGCTTCTTGTGATCCCTGCAGAGTTCAAAAACTCGCATGCGATCATGTGCAGCCAGTCTGCTCTCGCTGTGAGCGAAAGGGGAACGCTGCTGCATGTTTCTATCGCGAGAACCCCTTCAAGCGCTCGAGGCCTTCAGTCGCTTCTCAGTCGCCGAGGAGCCAGGTGTAAGCATGCGCTTTGCATTCAAGATCGTTCCGCTTTTTATAGCCCGTTCTAAAGCCCATTTATAGGCTGTCTCCTCCAACCGTGCCCTTATCCTCTCCAGCACAAGCCCGGCTATATCCCAACCCAGGCTTCCTCGGGTCGTCGTCTTTTGAGGCGGTCGTACACGAACTTAATGATGAGAATCAACAATGCATAACTGCACCTCTAGGCTCTGAAAACACAAGTCTAGCCAGAGAAGTTGCCCGATCCACCGCTCAATTCACCCAGGATCTTCAACGAATACAAAATGGGGCAGACGTGCTAACCCTTGCCTTAAACCTACGGAAGCTTAATGCGACGAAAATACTATTTTCCGAATGGGGAGGTCACAGCAGTGACCAGTTTCTAGGTTCCACATGTGCAACTCTCTTCCAAGAGTCTTTCTCCGCCGATATGGCTGAGATTGAGCAAAGCACCGATCAAGTGAATGGCGTCCTTTCCATGTCTCGCAGGTTGTTTGATAATAGCACCAAGCCCTTCGACATTAGTGATTCAATGAGTGTGAAGGAATTCTATTCTCTCTACACCGCATCAAACTTGCGCTGGGAGACCATTGGTATAATAATAACATTCATTGGGTAAGTAGCACAGTAAACCGCGCTGTTATGGAACACCCTAACATCGTTAGGATGATCGCGATAGAAAACAGACACTGGCAATCAATCGATTCCACAGAGGTAGAACGACAGCGCCTCATTTCAAAACTGGTTGAGGCAAGCGATACCTGCCTGCTATTTTGCGAGACCTTCGACAACCTAAACGACATGCACATCACGCTGCTTCATCTCAACTTCCTTCTACATTCCATGTTCGATGGAGACCAAAGTAGGAATCCACGCCCTTAATGTGGCTGTAGAACTCACAGCCCTAGGTTTCAAGACGTGGCGCCGGTTGCACGATGCCATCAGTGCGTTATTTGCGCTTGGTCTCCACGAAGAGCTCGTCGAAGGCCCCAAAACACCCTTTTTTGTGGTCCAACTCCGAAAACGCATATTTGCGAGGATATATGGAGCGGATATAAGCTTCGCGACGTTTTTAGGCCGCCCGCCGAGAATAAGCAAACGCTTCTGCTGTATTCACGTTCCGCTTGATCTGGAAGAGGAAGTATATGAGTACGGAAGAGAAGAAATAATCACTGAGATGCAGCAGATTGACAGCAATGGTTGGAATACCAAAGGAGAGATTAGGAAACATGCGGGTCGACGATGGTCAATGATACTCGCAACAATTACAGAGGATATTTTAGAAGTCCTGCTAGGTCGGCACCCGACAAACGTGCCCGATACTATATCGTAAGAAGTCCTTCACGTTGATGATACGTAGCTAAACTCATCACAGCAGGATTAGAGTAGAGTGTGAAGCGGCTTGGGATTCTCTACCAGCCATGCTCAAGAGTCCGAGAGAATCTTTATGGCACAGCGGCTATTCACCCAAACAGCTTGATACTCTGATCTTAGTCAAGCTCTTCTACCTTCATACTTTATTCCTGGCGGAGAGAGCTCTTTCACGTCATACTCGGGAGATCAGTTTGGGCTCCCTGTCAACTGCCTATGAGATGCTTTGCTGGGTGAATGATGCAATGATACGGAGAGACAGGTTATCAACATTTGCGCACACTTCGTTAGCTTGGAGAGTAGGTTACTTGCGCTCTTTCCCCGAGTTTTGCTAACAAGACACAAGGTAGCATCTTTTGCTCTCCCCGCCGCCGGTGTCCTTGCGCTGAATCTTCTGCGCCACGCCAGCAATAGTTTCCTTCAACGACATGAAGCTGTGTCCCGAATGCAGATTATAGAAGGGCTTTCCGTACTCACAGCACACCTCGATGTTTTGTTTGAGCCCGGTGATGGGAATTATCAGCTATTCTGTGAGGCTAAACGTGTACTACAGTCAATCCTAGAGATCGCGATCACGCCAGCTGCGCAGAGGCAGGTTGATGGCCCCTTTTCTGATTCTGCTGTGGGATTCAGTGAGGCGGACTGGGAAAGTTTTGACCAGTGGGGATTCGATAGCGATTTCTGGTAGGCAATATTGCTCCAAAATATCCTTGCTGTACTGATTGTATGCAGGTCAAATCTTGGGGATCACCCGCTGCTCGCTTCTGAGATGTACGATGGGTAGAATGAATGGAAAGAGGCTAGATGGCTTTGTTGTGTTGATATCTGTGCTGTTTCGTTTACGCTGAAAATTGGTTGAAGTATGTGAGAAATACGCTCAGCTTTAATAATAGTTATAATACCCACTATTATTATATATTGTTGATATTTATTTTTTACCTGCATTCTAATTTTTTTTAGTTAGAGGCAAGATAGAATTAAACTTGATCTATTCAACTGCTTCACTAAACTGCTTACAGCTGCTACGGGGTGGACGACTGCGAGGAGACGGAGTGACGGGAGGATAGGTGGAAGGAAGCAAAAATGTGATCGCATATAAAGCTGTGGTGGGCGAGATGCAGCGTGCAAGGGGTTCGAGATCTAGATCACGATCTTGCGTTGCATCTGGGCAGGAGGCCAGGAATGCATGTGTGTGTATAGATCTAGATTTCATAAGGCTTATTTTGGCGGTTTAGGTGTGTATTTGTATTACCCACCTCTCCCTACTCAATGGCCGAGTTACGTTCTTTGCGCCTCCGCGGCTATGGAGATACAGTTTCGTGATATGGTTTGCTATGCAACTATCATAGGTGGGAGAGGAGGCGGAAAGAAACCGAGGAAAAAATACGACAATACGAGTAGAAGCCAGACAGCGAGAGGTTATCGTGGGGGAGTGTAGAGCCAGGGCCAGGAGCGAGGTGACGCAGCACCGGCATCACGCATGATCGGCGCAGGGACCTACAAGCGCAGGATCTCGATCTCGATCCCCCAATCACGCGGGCGAGCACGCGAAGGGGTTGTAGTGAGGTGTGCGAATTTCTTCTCTACCGGTGCTACGAGGGAGGTGCGTGGGTTAATCTGAGACAATTGAATCTCAAACAAACATTCCACATAAAAAGCATTCTATCCTCACGTGGATTTGTCAATTCACAGAATCCACTCAATCCCAACAATTCAAGCGTGCGCGTCTCTTTTACGTCTCCTACCAAGACTCTACAAAAACCGCCGCGATCCGGCCTTGGGATCTTACCCAGATCTCCCCAAATCTCTCCAGATCGACCTCCACCGCCACCCAGATCGACCTCCACTACCCGGGCCCGAGTACCCAGAAATCCCAAACCTTACCCCAAAATCCAATAAAAACCCCAAACAATCCCGAGAATCTCAACTTTCCAAACCGAGTATATCCAATAAACCCCCAAAACGCAGGCAAACGAAAGAAATGGGGATGCGTCTGATGAATGTATGGATACTCTTTCGGCGAAGTACATAAGCCACCGAACAAAGCATAAACGCGGGTAGCCGTGGAAAATACGCCATATAAGCTGAGATTAGTTGGGGGTGCAGTATCGATGTTTCACTGCGGAGGGTAGCTGCGAGTTTGGAGGGTGGGGACATGGCGTTTCTAGGTGGGGGGAGGGGGAGGGAAGCTATAGAATGTTTGAGAATGAGACATTCCACCACACGGGGGGTGAGAGGGGAGATGATATGCAACTCTATCCTGGTTATGAGAGCACGCATGCTGTCTGTCTGTTTAGGATTCGGTATGGTCATTAACTTAGACAGCCATGCCGGGTTGAGAAGATAGAGAGAGCTATCCCTACATCTCCCCCCGCACAGCGTCTGCACTCCCCCATAAATATCCGAAAGAGCTACGACAGATGAGGTGTCGTGCCTTACACTATGCTGTGTCGATCAGCTAAGCAGTAGTCGTTTAAACAGATCAAGACACTTGCAGAAGCTGTGTCCCAGAGTGCTTGGCTGACGACGAATGGGAGCGGAGCAGCTAAGGGGGTATGATGGTGGAGTGGAAATACTTGGAAGGGGCTGGAATATAGTATAGAGATAGATACTGCGATGTAGTGACGTGGTAGCACGACGTATTAATGCTATGCATTAAGCTCAGTTTATCTAACAGCAAAGAGTAGCACATGATACTCTCGACGTTAGGGGGTAGGATTGGGAGGGTAATGAGTTGGAATGCACCTACACAAAACCAAGGCGTAGACATCTGTGTAACGACTATATAAGATGAGTAAGAAACTCCATCGTAACTAACATCTTAAAACCAACGTCTCTCCGGCCCACAAGAGCCGCCGCAACAAATACCGAGCGTGACAAATATATCACCACCACCATCCCCCATCCCCATCCCCCATCCCCATCCCCATCCCCCATCCCCCATCCCCATCCCCCATTCCCAATTCCTCCACTTCCTACCAACTCTCCCACACTGTCTTTATCTCTTTACTCCGAATACAGCTAACCTACCCACAAAGACTCGTCACCGCCCACAAAGAAACGGCGAGTCTGTCCCCCGTACGACGCGGTATAGGATACCCGCGCCGTGATACAGGTATATCCGCCTGTGCCTGCGGTATTGCGATGGGGTGAGTGTGGTGGTGGCAAAAACGGGCGTGGTGCATTAGATCCTCTCCAACTTATGGATTTGGAAGACGGTGCTGGAAGAAAGACTACAGAAGGATTGGGGGAGGATTGGAGAGGAATCGCTCTCACACACATGAGCACAAAATGGAAATTAGGTAGGGCCAATCGACTCGCTCTCCGCGGACATCGGCACCCCCTTCCTACCGACCGGGTCGAGAGTACTATGTACGCGGGCGGATTCAAGTTATGTGCATCAATGAAATAGGTGGATTTGGATGGATGGATGCAAGCAGAGCGCCGGAGATGCGAGGCGGGGAGGCGGATTGGGGAGATGAAAGAAAATTTAAGTTAATCCCTGGTGTGGGATGGAGGGGTTGGGTAGGTATAAGGAGGGGTGGGTTGCGCTGTTGGAGGGGCTGTTTTGGGGGACAAGCTTTTTGAATCATCACTTACCTACCTACCTACCAATTCATTGCTTCGAGATGATACTACTGCCCGAGTCTGATGTGCTCGATGAGAAGTGCCGAGTCGTCGTCGGCGGGGAGGAGAAGGGTGGGAGTGAGATGGCGATTCAACGACTGCCCATACTGCGACTAGCAGTAGGACACCCGCCAATCCAAGATATCCCGGCGAGTTCTCCAACAAACTCACCAACCTCTACTCTCTCCGCGCTCTCCATCTCCAAATGGTCCATACGCGGGCCAGACGCCACCTGTGCAGCCCTTACTACAGACGAGTCGACTATCACAGCGGATATCGAGCCGCCGCCTGATGGGGGGTATGGCTGGGTGTGCGTCTTGTCCTGTTTTCTGATTAACGCCTTCAGCTGGGGTGTTGTTTCCGTTCGTCCTCCCCTTCCCCCATTCCCTCCCCCCCTTTCTCCCCCACCCCCTTCCCCAACACCCAAGCTAACCCCCCCTTCGCACAGTCCTACGGCGTATACTTAGCCTACTACCTAACCCACCCCCTCTTCCCCATCGCCACCCCAACCACCTACGCCCTCCTCGGCGGTCTCAACTTCGGCACCGCCACCCTCTGCGCCCCCCTCCTCACAATCCTAACCCGTCGTTATGGACCCCGGCGCCTCATCCTCCTCGGTGCCTTCCTCCAAACCCTCTCACTGATTCTCGCTTCCTTCGCTACCGAGACGTGGCATTTACATCTTACTCAGGGTGTGTTGCTGGGTTTAGCGGTGGGGTGCGCGTATATACCTTCTGTGGCTATATTACCTCAGTGGTTCGAGAAGAGGAGGTCTATAGCAGCGGGGATAGCGGCCGCGGGGTCGGGGGTGGGTGGGGTGATCTTCTCCTTCGCGACGCAGCCGTTGATCGACCACTTCAGCCTCGCCTGGTCCCTCCGCGCCATCGCCGTCATCTCGGGAAGCATGCTCCTCGTCGCCGCCCTCCTCCTGCGCACGCGCAACGCCGCGATTCAACCACGCCAACACGGATTCGCTATCCGACTCCTCGCGCGCTACGAGGTCGTGTTGCTGCTCGGGTGGTCGTTTGCCAGTCTCGTCGGGTATATCGTCTTATTATTCAGCCTCTCCGACTACGCCCAATCCATCGGTATCCCCCCCTCGCGCGCAGCCTCCATAACAGGTCTCGTCAACGTCGGTACCGCCGTCGGTCGTCCCTTCGTCGGCGCACTAAGCGATCGCTGGGGACGCATCGAGGTTGCGGGCGTGGTGACGGCGGTGTGTGGGGTGAGTGTGTTTGCGGTTTGGGTTCCCGCCGAAAGGGGGGGGGAGGCGGTGGTGATGGGGTTTGCGGTGCTGGCGGGGGCGACGTTGGGGACGTTTTGGGTGGCTATTGGGCCGTTGTGTGTGGAGGTTGTGGGGTTGGTGGAGTTGCCGGCGTTGTTGTCGTTGGCGTGGGTGGTTGTTGTTGGGCCTTGTACTGGTGAGTTTGGGGATTTTTTTGTGTTGTGGTGTGGTGTGTCTCCTATCTTGTGGGTTGTGTGGGTTGTGCGCTGTTGTGTTTTGTGTTGGGTTTTGGATCTGGGGTTTATTTCCTGTCGTGTATATCGAGTTCGCTTGTCATAACCCCCCAAGGTATCACCTCAAAAAAAAAAAGAAAGCTAACACCCAACCAGTCTCGGAGGTAATAGCCCTCAAACTCCGCACCCCCGGCACGTCACACCCCTACATCGGCCCGCAAGTCCTCGCCGGCACCGCATACCTCGTGGCAGCCGGCATCATGCTCGAGCTATGGCGTGTTCATCGCGGGAAATCGGGGAGGGCGGCGGTAGGGGTTGATGTTGAAGAGGGAGGAGAAGCAGGGGGGGTGAGAGTTAGAGGGGAGGAGCTGATGGAAGAGGTTGTTGTTGTATCAGGTGACCACAAGAACGAGGTGAACAGACAGCAGGTGCAGGAAGAAAAGTCATAACACACACGGGATCGGTAAGAAATCACCTCGGTGACCGGCTCGGCTTGAAGCTCAGGCTCGGCATTCATCGGAGGGGGAGGTGGGGGGAAAGAGGCAGAAAGAAGGTGAATGGAGTATCGGAGTACAAGTAGGAAAAATCTGTATACCCTTAGTATATTTTCTCACCTTTTCCAACTGCCTTGATTCGTATTCGTTACTCTTAACCTCTTTAGTTTTGATACAAAAAACACAACGCGCGCCGATGTCGGATACATCCACCGCCACCTCTCCTCCTTCAGTCACCCTCACCTATCCAATTCCTCCCGTCAGCCAAGATCCCCATCATCCCATTATCCCACCATCTCGGCCCCCCATACCCGGCCGGAACCCTACCCCGCGCCTCTCTTCTCGCCAATTTATGTAATCCCAAGGGCGCGTGAGCCTGAGTGAGTCAATCCCCTAGCTCTAAAGCTCGAAATCTGGACGTCGAGGGAGTGGGGCGTATATGGGGCTAGATGTGGGGCTTAAAGACCTGGCGAGGGGAGCTAACGGATGTGACGGCTCTAGCGGGGTTTGCTTGGCGCGGACGACACTAGAGATGCAGGGAGGGTGCGGCGGCGGGTGCTGCGGGTGGTGTTCGGGGGTTGTAAAAAAAAAAAAAAAAAAAATGGATGGAGGGAGAGAGTCATTTGGGACGGGTGTTGGGGGGATGGATGGGGATGGAGAGGGGAATGGGGGATTGTGAATTAGGGAGGGGGGTTGGATGGGATTGTAGGGTGAGATGGGTGAGGGAGTGCGTAATCGTGGAGATGGAGATGGGAGTCACGGATTATCTGATGTCGTGATGTGGTGGGAGAGATTGTGTGATTGTTATGTTCGTATTGTTGTTGTGGGCAGGGCGCGAGTGGGCGTGGGTAAGTGTGGATAGGCGTGGAGAGGGGCGCGGAGAGGTCGTAGTGGCTTATGTGGAGTGTCATGGGCATGGAGAGGGCGTGGTGGCTTATGTAGGTAGAGTAGCATGAGCGTGGATAAGCGCGGTAAAGTGTCATGGGCGTGGGATGGGAAGGGGAGGGAAGGAGGGATGTTGGTATAAAGTTAGAGTAGTAATCTGAGGATATTATATGGATTTATAAGCAGGAATGTTATTACTATTGTATGTATGTTCACAGCTGATCTCTAGATGTCAGTCTGCCTTGTCTTGGAATGGTGGTATGATGAGATTGTGGCTTCAAGTTAACTAATCGCGGGATGGGTTGATTATTAATATGATGATATACGCGTATTCCACGTATACACATACACACACACGTCAACATCGTCGAGTTCTCGTATTATATGGTAAGAGTATGACAATTCTGATGGCATCATGATTGAGTAGGTATGCTTATGACAGACAGGCACGGACGGAGAGTTATTCCTCCCCGTCTGACTGTGTTAGCCCTGACTGTGATGGCCCTTCAAAATAAATCTCCGATTACAAACACGTCAGCTTCATCAACCCACAAACAGGGGTAGCACGTGCAAATAGCCGCATACCTGATAGCTGCCGTACTAGTCCTATCAGCAGCGTGTAGTCAATCCCATAAGTCAATCCCTCTTTCGCCCTCTTCCTCCCTCCATAATCTCCATGACTCCCCGTCTAGCCCCGCGGAAACGCTAGGACCATCCTGTCACGCCAACCCCCCATCCACACACCAACCGACCGCCGATCCCCTCTGCACCCCCGCTAGCCCATCTACCAAAAACACGCTAGTCAACCTGCCAATCCACGCTAAAACACGCCTTGGGGACGGCAAAGCAGCGAACAGAACCGAACAGGACTCACCGGTATCCACCAAGGTGCATGGGGGCGTGCTTGGCAGGTGTGTGGGTGTGGTGATGATGATGAAATGGGGGAGGAATGCAGATTAAATGTTAACGATGATGGGCTGCCTGAGGCTGGGGGGGAGGGGGGTGTATGTATGTGTTACAGGGAAGGGGGGGAGGGGAAAGGGAAGGTACTGTGTGAGCTATGGAGCTATGGGAGGGACAAGAGCAGGAGCTCTGGTGATGGGGGGGAGAGTTGCCATGGTTGGTTATGACCAATCACGCGCTTACCACCTATTATATTCTGCCCTCCCTCTCCTGGCTCTCTCCCCCCCATTCAAGAGCTATGGGTGATGGGGGTGGGAGAGAGAGTGTTTGCCATGGTTAGTTATGACCAATCACGCGCTTACCTATCTGTCGTCCTCCTGGCTCCCCTCCCCTCCTCGCTCCCCCCCTTCCCGTCTTGGTGCTACGCTAACCCAACCCCGCTGCACGGGACAGGCGTGCGTGCACTGTCCATCCACTGCCCACCGCCTACCGCCTACCGCCCACCGCCCATCGGCCACCACCTCCGTCACCCCCACTACCTCAAACATACTCTACTACGTACTATTTTCTACACTGTAGAGCTGTGGATTATCTGTCCGTCTGGTGACTCAGGCTCCAATAATTGGGAAAAAACTGGAAAACTCCACTCTCCGCAACTCACTCCACACACTACAGTCCCTTGTATACGTGACTATATGACCGATTATACGCGGCCTATACGTGCCTTCTTCTACTACCAAAATAGAGAGTACCAAGGTCCAGGGTATCATTTTCCGCTCAGGTAAGCAGGGACCACCACCCACCCACCACCACCACCTACCTCCACTACCATCAGCCTTCTTTTCCCATCATCCTAGTCCAGTCCAGTCATTTTTGCTATGGGCTAGTCATTCTGGTATGGACGGACGACCATCCACACACTATGGTGCAGTCCTTGTATAAGATCGCCTTTGTCCGCTTTGAAGGATGCGTTGCTTCACTTTTTACAACTATGATTTATGAAGCCGACGTGTCTATTGAAGAGACACAAGCTGCTTAGACGACTATTTTGTGGTGATATTCGGTGATATACAGAGGGATACGAAGGTTTACTCGACGAGACGGGTTTGAGGTTATATTCAGTCGTATACGGCGATATACTCAACTCGACGTCTCTGGAGTGATATTCAGTCATATACGGCGAATATACCGCGATATACTCAACTCAACGCCTCTAAAGTGATATTCACGCCCTGACTCACTCAACCTATCACTCACATTTCCAACCAGCCTCACAACCTCGCATCCACCACCACCACAACCACCACCAAAATGGGCCTCCTCCCCCTCACCCCCTCCACCCTCCGCACTATCGACGTCGTCCTCGCCTCTGACCCCCCGACCCCCTCCCCCGCCCCAAAACCGATCACCTCCTACACCACCTACGACGACATCCGGGGCCACATCCTCCTCACCTCCAGCATCCCACAACCCTTCTCCGCCGTCGAAATCTCCCTCCTCGGCACTATCCGCACCACGCACCCCGACCACATCGCGCCTATCATCGCGGCGCCGGGGACGCAGCATGTTTTCTTGAAGTTGGTTATGCCACTTCCTCCTTCCGCTTATGGCGCCAACACCTCCCCCGGCGGCGAAGGTGGGGAAGATATCCACCACCTCACCCCAGGGCAACCTCTCAAAATCCCATTCCATTTCGTGGTACCAGCGCGCCTACTTCCAGTAGCATGCAAGCACGACCTCGAATCCCCCGCCATCCAAGACTTACACCTCCAACTCCCGCCATCGATGGGTAACTTCCTCCTCCCCCGTGACGACCTCGCGCCGGAGATGGCAAGTGTAACCTACGGCATCCACGCTAAACTCATGTCCGTCCCTCCCAGCGCTACGAGCTACCCACAGACTCTCGCTTCGACGTTACGGAAGATCCACGTCGTACCTGCGTCTCCTGAGGCGCCGCCACTGTCGGCTGGGAAGGATAGCCGATATATCCTCTCCAAAACCAAATCCCTGCGTCGCGGGGTATTCAAGGGGAAACTCGGCACCTTAACCCTATCAACCACCCAACCGCGAGCTTTCTGCCTTCCCCCGCCCCCGACGGATCACCACGGCCCTACGCCATCAACACTAGCAACACTAACCCTCCGCTTCGACCCCGCCGACGCATCCTGTCTCCCTCCCCGTCTCGGCGCACTGACGGCGAAAATCCGCGCGACGACTGTGCATTCGATTAGACCAGCCCGCGGGATTCCGGATGAGGAAACTAGAAGTAGCCCGTATGAAATCCACAGCGGCGCGTATAGCACACACGTCTCCCTCGCCTCCCACGAAGTCACGGGGGTCGCGGCGCCATGGACGTACGTCATCCCCGCGCCTGCGTATGAGAGGAGGGATTCGGGGTATTCGACCGCAGAATCCGATGGCGACATTAACTTGGCGAACTCGGGGGGAAAGGAAGGGACAGGGCCATACTACACAGCCACCATCCCCCTCCCCCTCAGTCTACCAGCCAACAAAACATGGATCCCAACATTCCACTCCTGCCTCGTCTCGCGCTTCTACACCCTCATGATCGAACTTATGGTTCACCCACCCGGAAAGTCAGCTGTGCCGAGTTGTCTGGCACTTAAAGTCCCTGTGCAGGTTATGGGAGAGGGGAGGGAGGGGAGGGAGGAGGCTTTTGAAGCTGGTGGACGAGCTGTGGTGGAGGGTGCAGCGCTTGGGTGGGAGGGTGAGGGAGGGGGGGATTTGGAGGGGATGGAGGGAGTGGAGGGGTTGCAGGGGGTGGCGGTTACGGAGGCGGGGGATGAGTTGCCGGGGTATGTGACGCCTGCTAGGCGGTTGAGGGGGAGGTGAGGTGTTTGGGTCTTGATATTGGATGACGGATGATGGGTTTGTATCTGGATTTGGATGATTTATGATGGATCCTTGAGTTTGGGATGACAGGAGCGAATAGATTGCATGTGCAGCTGGTCCTGGTCAAATCGATCACTGGACTGATGTTGGAGGAAGCGGAGATACCCCATGTTTCAACACTACTTTTGGCGGGTGGGCGGGCGGATTAAAAAAGCGGGCAGTGCCTGCTTGAGCGGTTTATTAATTTTTGGTTTTTCGATGGGTTGATGAGTTGATGGGTTTATCACATTTGAGTCGGAGTTCGGGGAATTTTTTAATGGGATGACTGTTTGTTGTAGTAGCATAAAATAAATAATTAATTAATTTAAAATAGATGATTCTCTTCTCTTCCATTTAATTTTATATTTCCATTTTCTATTCCGACAACTTTTCCCTATTCATCACACTAAACCCCCACCAACACCCACAACCGCAACCGCAACAACACACCCAGTCGGGCATTTAAAGAACCGCCCGCCCCACCCACCAACGAGCAGCATTCTCCAGCCAAAGCAAAGGAACTAAGTTGAAACGGGCGCGTATCGTCTGAGCCGTCTACATCAATGACGTGTCTGTGTTCCAGCCCGTCTGTATGTTCGTCGATTCTGTCTGCTGTGTGCAAGAGGTGGGGGGTGAGAGGAGGAGCGGTGACAGGACTCCGAGGCGACGAGAACTGCCCCCTGTTGATACCCCCCCACCCCCCCCCCCCGCATCCGCATATATCCCGCAATAAGGACTGAAATGCTGGAATCGCGGATACACACCAGACCTCATGGCCTAGAGGATATATGCGAACGTCGCTTTGAGTAAAGAGAGGGCGGGGCGCTGGGGAGGGATATTTAAAGCTTCTGGGCTTTGGATCTAGCGGAGCAGGGTGTTGGTAAGTGTTGTGGATTTATTTTTTGGGGATTGGTGACGGTGTGGTTTATAGTGCTGTGGCTGAGGTGGACTGTGGGGGGAGGACTGGGGAGGTGGGGAACTGGGGGGAGAGGGGATTTACTGACTGGCTTGGTTGTGTTGGCGGGGTTTTATCGTGGTTTGGTCATGGTGGGATGGGTATGGTGATGTGGAAGGAGGCTGTGAGTGCTAATGATGTTTGTAGAGATGGAGATAGAGGTGGAGATGGAGATAAGTATGTTCATAATTTCCCCTACATATGAGGATGTCGATGGAGACGAGGACGGGAATACCTTCACTTCACCTAATATACCTACATAACCCAACATCCGCACCCACAACACAAACAAACTAAAGCCAAGAATAACACCAAAACAAACTTACGCGGTGGTGTCGACCCCTTTCGCTGAAGCCACCAGTTCCATTTCCACCCAGCTGCTGTTCTTCATGTGCGTGGTCGGTGTGGATTGTGGCTCCTGCTGGTGTGAAGGCGGCGATGGCGGCAGTGGCGGTGGCGGTGGTGAGAGGACAGCGGTGACAGCAGCAACGGTGACAGCTCTGCACCGACAACGAGAATCACAGCAACGAGAGCCCTTTTGTCGTCACAAGATCTATGCTCTTCTTCCACGCGATGTAAGTAGCGCAGCGGAATGGGTTGGTCAACCGGACCTCCTTTCGTATGTGCTTAGCGGTCTTAAGGTGGGCATGAAGGGTTCTCTCCTCGATATATGGGGGGTTACGGTGGTTCTGGAGGGAGATGTGGTGTGTTGTGTGGTGAGGTGGTGAGGTGGTGTGGTGGTGAGTGTTGTGTGGTGAGGAGTGTATGGCTTGAGGGTTGTGTAAATGGGGAATTAGGTAAGGAGAAGGGGGGTTTGTTTGGATTACTGACTATATTGCGTAGGGAGGGGTTATGATGTTTTGGTGTTGGTGGATAGACCCCGGGGGGGTGGGGATACGGATGCGGATACAGATGGAAGCCGTGATGTGAAAGGAGGTGAAGATGGAGATGTTGTTGCTGCTGGTTTTGGTAGATATGAGACTGGAATCGGAGACGAAGATGGGGATATCTGCACTGCGCCTAACATATTTATACAACCCATAATCCATCCCCACAAAAGATCTAACCAAATTGATGACAACAAATCCACTTCCTGATGATGTCAGCCCGTTCCGCCGAAGCTAGCAGTTTGGTCTCAACCTAGCTGTCCACGAGGGGATGTTCACGTATCTTTTCCGGGTTATGAAGCCGTAGAGCCGTATCCATAACACAGGGCATCATATATGTCCATGGAACTAGGTCTTTTTGTATGACAGTGCCTGCTCACATTGTTCTCTCAATGAAGACATCCATGGGCATTTTAACGTGATGGCGGAACAGCCTACTTCTGCTGCTTCCCCAAAGTCCCTGCCGCCGAACACGCCTACCCTCCGATGGGGGATGTATGCAGTCGTCTTGGAGAGGGCGGGTCATCCGCCAGTGTTATAATCGGATCTGCAACTAACTCGTTAGTGCGCGAGTTCAACCTTACGACGAGGGGGGAACATTTCCTACAATACATGTCCAAGGCACTCTTCGGCGTAAGGGCGGCAATGGCTGAGGTGGTGGGATAGCGGCAGTGGTGGTGGTGAGAGGGTAGCGGTGACAGTGGCTAAATGACAGAAACAGTCTTAGTGACAAGAAAGCTCAGTTGCAGTCTCTGCGTACTCGATCGGTACCGGCGACTGCTTCAGCAAAAAAAAGTCCCCGTTCCTCGCAGTACTTCGCATATTCAATGGGTGTAGGCACTGGGCGTGTCTTGAAAAAATTGATGCTTGGTGGTGTGGCCAATTAGATCACGTCGAGTAAAGTAGGAGCGAGGTGTTATTCGCACTGCACCTTGAATGAAGGAATCTGTGGGCATTTTAGCATAACGGCTGAGAAGCTTGAAGTCTGGGTGGTTAAGTAGGAAAGGAAGTGGGTAGAGTTGAAGAGTATGAATGTGATGAATTATGACTACAGGTAGATGGAGACTAACTACGACGAATACACGGTCCAGGCGAATGCGAAAGCCTACAAGTCGAGAGCGCTACATCCAGGACGAGACCGGCTGCGACAGGCGAAACATGTGGTAAAGGCTATTGTAGAAAAGAGCTTCGTTGCGACTGCTGGTGCTGTTAGCGTGAGGGCGGTGACTGCAGCAATGGTAGCCATGCGGAAGTGAGAGGACGGCGGTGACAGCAGCCACACGACAGCAACAGCTTCAGCGACAAGAAAGTTACCCCTGGCTCAAACATACCCCCACACATCATAGCCTCGATTTCAGTAGGTATAAATATGTTGTCCCCGGCCACAAACCTGTTACCATCTTATTCTGTTTCTCTCTGGCTATTCTTCGTTCACTTGGTAAAAGGGGGGGGGTTTGTACCTTTCTGTTCGTGGCGGGGGCGATGGGGTTGGATGAAGGGGAGGGTGTTTGGGATCGGTATATTTGGGGAGGGGCTAAGAGAGAGAGAGAGAGAGAGAGAGAGATCCTTGCGATCATCACCTCTGTCATGGTGCGAATATGATATTGTCTCTGCACTGGCGCAACGTATGAAGCCGCCTTTCCCTCCCATCCCAACAAGCCGTGTATCACCGCCCTCCAGAGACTATATAAACACAATACGTTCACGCGAGAAAGAGGGGACAGATAGGCAATCTCTTGTACCTCATGATCCATGTGGCTGTTGGTCTGTGGCTGCAAAACCTAGTAGTCAGCTTGCGCTTGGAGCTGTGTTGACTCGGGATGAGGTTCTATGTGTGACACAGAAAAGGCGCGAGATGTAAGGAGTGTGAGAGCGGTGAGAGGCGGCGGTGACAGCAGCGCCATGTTAGCGACAGCTTCAGCGATGAGAAAGGCTCGTGACGAGAATTTGCGGTGACAGTACCGGCTTCTTTGCGTCGCTGAGCTTTGCTTATCTCTATCAAGGGGGGTTTTCTGCTTGGTGGGTTATTATTTGGATGAGATAGCCTCCTTCCTGTAGCTATTCTTCTTCGCTTTCATTTGGCCGATTTCCCTTCCACGTTCCCATCTCCATGCGCTTACATAAATCCTGTGCCGAAAACGACGTGGTGAGGTGGCAGCCGCGTGCTGAAGCTTGGAAAGCTCCGCCTTGAGCCCGATGTTGGGATCCTCGCGACCCTGTGACACGGAGGTTTTAGCTGCGGCGGCGCCAGCGGTAGCTTCCCGCCCTGGACTCGAGCTTATTGTTGGGATTTTGTGACGTTGCGCCGTTCTCCATGCTGTCGCAAGGCATCCAATGGGGGAAGGAGTCGATCATCACGTCTGTCTCGGAGACAAATACAAACCGCGGCAGCGCAGCATACATACGAAGACGCCTTCTCAACTCAATACTACTCATAAGATTATATTTCGGTCTTATTTTATTCGCTCCCATCGCTTCCCTGATATCCCGCCATCCCCCTCAAAAAGCAGAGCCAACAACCACCCTTGGTTTGCAGTATTTAAAGATCGTTGGAGAACATATTATACCAATCACTCAATTCTGCGACTTTGATGGCCTTTATGTCACTGACCGGTGTGGCTAGCGTTGGGTGTCAACTCTCCACATATTGTCCAATAATCATTTCTTGCACAAAGCTCAGGTCAATGTCGTGCGCCTCTTGGTAAAGGATGGACTTTTCGCAGATGTTCTATTGACCCAACTTTGCAACTGCGCAATCAACATTACCTTTTTGCAAGTTGTTACTGGGCTGGTTAAGACAGTATGTGTTTGGAGATATGAGAATGGTGCTGTAGCCCGGAACCTGCCATGAGATCCCCAAGCAGTTACCCCAGTATTGTAGCACAAACAAGGGTTTTCCCACACCGTGGAATATGCAGTCGAGTCAATTCCAATACTATACCCAACAATGTTTAAGATCCCTGCTGCATGTATAGTAGTCACCTACATAAACTTGAACGAGGCTGGGCTGTTTAACTTAGATATCCACACGACCCAACGCCATCGTCATTCACCATATCTCCTCGTCCATTTATGTGCATATTCTCTGGCTAAGCTGGACCTCATTTTTGCCTCGGAAATGATCACTGTAACGCATATTCAATTGGGATTTGTAGGACATTCGCGATGAAACTACTTAAATGCTTCTTTGCTCCCAAAACCGAGTCCTCGAAGCAGGCACTTGAGCCTTCTGCTCCCGACCCCGGATCTTCAAAGGAGGCACTTGGGATCTCTGTCGTGACGACTGTCGCGAACGCTCAAGTGGAGTGAGCATCAACATGACAGATTCACTGTTTATATGCTGACCTTCCTACTAGCATAATATTCATTCATGGCCTAACTGGTCATCGGGAAAGGACTTGGACTCACGAAGACGAAAACGAGCCATGGTTCAAGTCACTCCTTCCCAAAGACCTCCCGACTGCCCGAATCATAGCCTATGGCTATGATGCTGATGTGGTTAATTTTACGAAGGTCGCTAGCCAGAACACAATTCGAGACCATGCGGTGAACCTGATGAATGACCTCGCCGGACACCGAAGGTGGGCACCTGGACGGCCCATAATTTTTGTCGCGCACAGCCTCGGGGGTTTAGTATGCCAGAAAGCTCTTATTCTATGTACCAATCCAACCGAGGACGCTCAAAAAGACATACTTTCGTCAACCCGGGGCATCGCTTTCCTCGGAACTCCGCATGCCGGGTCTGACCTTGCAAGATTTGCAACTGCAGTGGCAAATTTTGTCCGTTTCAGTCTAGGCAAAAAGTCCAATACGAAGCTCCTAGAGGTTCTAACCAAAAACTCTGAGGTTCTGGCTGATATCAGTAATGGATTCTTCACTATGGTGCGAAGGCGTGAGAGTACTCAAATGCCCATCGCCCTCCACGCTTTTGTTGAGGAACTAGACGTAGACTTTCTTGGGCGTGTAAGTTCATGTTGCGCCTAACTTTAATGATATGCTAACATATATCAGCGCGTCGTTGAACCTGATTCGGCGAGAATAGTAGGCTACAATTCTGACACTATTCACGCTAATCACATGGAAATGACTAAGTTCCGCTCGGCGACTGATCCGGGATATGTAAAGGTTCTAAGTAGGCTAAAATTATGGATTGACGATGATGGTACTGTATTACCGAGACATTTGTAGATAGAGCAAAATAATATAACTAACTCAATTGGACTGACCAGACAATACGATTGTATTGCGATACGCCAATTACTTCCACCTTATGTTTGACACGCTCTTGCCTGGCGTGAAGCTTGCAAAATCAGAACCTCCGGCCTCAACAATGAAAGAACTATGCAAATCATCTAGTATTAGGTCATCCGTGAAATGGCTAATTGACAGTTCGGAATATCGAGTTTGGAAATCTGCATCCTCAGCAAGGCTCTGGCTTCATGGAGAACATGGCGACGGCAAGACGGTCATTATGTCCTACATCTTTAGAAGCCTGTCTCGGTATGCCCTATATCCTGACGGTATCGCGTCTGTATTCTGCTCATGCAATGATTCAGAAGAGGGAGTGGTGGCTTCTATGGCTCTCCAGTTGCTTCGAAACAAGAATCGTGCCAAAGACTGGCGACTAACAGTTCCCCTCACGAAGTTTCAACCAGGTGATGATGGGCGGCTAGAATTCAATCGCCTACTATGGAAACTGCTAACGAGGTTGATAGAGGACGGGGGTGTGGTCCTTATTATTGATGGCATTGACAAGATTGATTTTTTAGTTCGATCATCGTTTCTAGATATATTCAACAAGCTTGAGAAGAATCCAAGAGCTGGTATACGAGTTCTAATTTCGTCAGAAAAAAGAGATGATATACAAAGTGCCCTCAGGCATTATCCAAGCATAGATAGAGAAAAGGAGAGGAGAGGTGAGTGACTATCCAAAGGTTGGTGATTGAGTAGATGCTAAGCGGCCGTTGCAGAATGTCTAAAGACACTAGAATTCCAGGAATGGAACGCGAGAGAAATTGGTGTTCAAAAGGTCGAAAGAGCAGGTAAAAAGGTTTTTCATCACAAAAAATACCGCAAATGGATCCGATCCAAACGCTCGTCCGTGTTGTGGTTGGAAGGGAAACCTGGAAGCGGGAAGTCGACCCTTTCAAAATTCATGGTAAGTAAACTAGAGAAAGAGACCCCTCATTGGCAAACGAGTCAGAGGAGCCCCTCACAAGAGAGACACCCCTCGCGAGAGAGACACCCCTCGCACAGCATCCCACAGAGGAGTAAGAGAGGATGGGTTTTCAACAACTCCAAAGACAAGAGCGTTATAATTGCAAGATTTTATTACAGTTTCCGAGGAGGCAACACCCAGACTAGTCACGAGCTTATGCTTCGATCGATTGTCTACCAGATCTGGAGCGAGAACAGTAGACTTTTCCCACTCATTCGTGATCGTTACGAGCATTGAAAACCAAGGTTAGAGAGGCAAGTGATCATAAATCGTTCTGGAGCTATAGCGATTTAAAATGGGCTTTAAAAACCCTGAATTGCGTTGATTTTAATCTCCGAGTTTTTATTATTGTTGATGGAATGGATGAGTCTGATGACGATAAACGGGTGGACATTCTTCGGTTTCTTCTTGATCTTGCGTCTCCGAATCTGAATAGCACTTGCGTCGTTAAGATTTTTATTGCGAGCAGGCCGGAGAACGATATCAATTCGGGACTACGGCCGGTTCGTCATCACATTAAACTACAAGAAGTGAATGAAGAGGACATCAGGATGGTCGTGAGAGGGTGGATTGAGCGAATGGTATCCGAAGCAAAATGTGAAGAAGAGGTTTTATCAAAAGTAAAGGACTATATTATGGAATATTCTGATGGGGTTTTTATGTGGGTGACGCTGGTCTTGAGAGATCTGGAGCAGTGTATCGACAAAGGTGGCTACACCAAATTAACCCTGCATACTAGACTACGTAGCCTTCCTAAGGAGCTTGGCGGCAAAGATGGCTTCTATCGAGCAATGGTAGATTCATTACTGGACGAGTACAAAGAAGATCAAGAGCACCAAGAGCTTGGGCAACGAATATTGGCCTGGGTGACTTTCGCCGAGCGACCTCTATCAGTTACAGAACTCAGGGATGCCCTGGCAATCCCCTCCGGGTTAGACAGAACAGACTTGTCAACATATATTCTTGAGGATAACAGACCCCATAAATTGGAGAGGGCAATATTGTCGTTCTGTGGGGGTCTAGTTGAGGTAAGCAGAGTTGTTGTCTCGTTTACGAGCTGGCTAACCAGTGCGTTCGTAGGTTAGAGACTCGCACGACGGCCGAACTGTGCAACTCATACATCAGACTGCCAGAGAATTTCTTCTGCACAAAGACAAACTCGCGGGGCCATATCGCCTCGAACACGTCCAAGGAGTCATGGAGATAGCAATGGCGTGCTGCCGGTACCTCAGCATCGTCTTTCGCCCGGATTTACCACTAGGAGAAGCTAACGCAGTATTGCCAGAAGCCGAGATTATAGAATGTCACTTGTCGGGGAAGTCACTGCTCATATATGCGCTCGTCAACTTCCAAACGCACCTAGATGACTTGGGAAGCAATGATGAGAAAGTACGAAATGAGTTTATGGATTTTGTCAAGCTTCTCATAATGCGGAGTAGCTCCTTCGCATCTCTTCTTCTAGGGCAATGGATTCAGGCCCTGAAGTGGCCATCAAGACTACACGTAGATGAGACATCAGCGAGGCTATACTTGCATTCTTTATTACTATGTGCCGCAGAGACTGGGAACAGGGAGGTCGCGGCGGTATTGCTTTCTCTTCGATCAGATTTGCTTCACATAGTAGCTTCAATTGCGGCCGCAAATGAGGATGCGTATGAGGATTCTGGCGGCCTTGAGCTGTTGCTCAACATGGGGGCCGACTTCAACGCAAAGGACACGGTTGGCCGGACGCCGGTATCGTATGCCGCTGGGAATGGGCTCAATCGTAACACGAGTCTGCTACTTAAGAATAAGGCTGAACCCAATCTAAAAGACAGGGCTGGCCGGACGCCGCTATCGTATGCGTCTGAAAACGGGCACGAGGCTAGCGTCAGGCTGCTACTTGAGAGAGAAGATGTCGAACTGAACTCGGAAGACACAACTGGACGGACACCGCTATCATATGCTACCGCGAACGGGCACACAGCTGTGGCTGAGCTGCTGCAATCACATGTCACGAAATATCAAGGCACAATCTAATATAGTAGGTAACAGGAGCTGTGGTCCGTCGCCAATGGTGGAGCGTTTGACTGGGGTTGTAGGATGTGGTAGGATGTGGGCATCCAGATCAAAGGGTTTCGCGTTGAGATGGGAGGAATACAGTCTTATCTGGGGGTTGAGCGGGTGGTTCATGAGTGTGTGGGTCTGCGGAATAAGGGGTGCGTCCGGTGCCGCGGGTGTTGGCTTGTTGGGTGTGGGACTATGGGTGTTCTGTTTGGGCGGCGGGTGGTTTAGGGCTGTGATGGCTTAGGAATGGGGTGGCACAGTAGTTTGTAGTAGAAGTGTTATACGTATAGCCAGGAAGTCAGCGAACTAACTTCCGCATATACGTACAGGTTTCTGCGCCTGTGTGACGGAGACGGGCGGCCTTCGAGAGACTATGATCCAGGGGTTTGATGTGTACGCTGGGTCTGGTGCTGGCGGAAGTATGGTGGGTCTTGGTGATGAGTCGCTGTGTGGTGAAAAGGCGCGGTGACGAGAGGATGCGGCGACAAGAAGATATGGTGATAGGAGGGTTGCGGTGAGCGGAGATGCGGCGGCGAGAAAACTATAGTCACGGTTCGATGAGAGGGCATCAAGGACCGGAAGCTTCATACAGTTGTGGCTGGCAGCACGGAATGCCGGAAGTATCGCATATGCGCTTCCATGTTATTGACATAACGAGTCCTAACGGGGTAGAGAAGCTGGACGCGGAGACATCAGAATGCTTTTAGTGTCAGGGCTCGTGTCTTTCCACCTCTTGGTCGGCAGAAATGATGGAACAAACCTGTGGAGTTATGAGAAGAGATGCCATTATAGACTACTCAGCTAATATACTATTCCATCCCACTTCCCGTGTCATCTTCGCAGCACGCCTGCCTCTCACTGGTATTCTCCCCGCGCAGTCCATGCATCCGATACATATATTCACAACAGCCACCTCCACTGTCCCAACTCTTTAGATCCCTCCACCACTACGTCCCGTGTGGACTGTATACACATTCCCCCCTCCTGCCCCGCTGCGCTCCTTAGCCGCCTCGCTGCGGGCGAACACGGCGCGCCATTTCAGGCCGACAAAGATAGCTGCAGCGCCTCCAAAGGCGGCAATAACGAGTGGTGCGCGCGACGGCCTGGAAAGGGAGGTTAGCTGGAACTCTGGCTTCTGTTTCCCGGACGAGGGGCACGGGGCGGATTGAAGGCGGGGGAGCGGTAAACTTACGGCTTGGGGTGTCCTGGTGCCATTGTGTTGGTTTCTCTGGGAGCGGTGTGTGCTTGTTGAATAGCTCTGCCTCACTTATTGGGGTTTTTTCTGGGCTCAGGGTCTTTCGTTGTGCTTATTCGCTTTTTGGTCGTCTTTTAGCTGTGTATGTATTGTCGTTCACAAGCCGTTGTCTTGTTGTCTTATCTGCCTGACACGTTCGGTCGCCCTCGGGAGTCGCGTGTGCAGTGACGTCTGCGGGTTCCACCTACTCTAGATTTATCGGTTATCCCTTCCCAACAGTTACCCGTCGCTAGTGCCTACAACCTGCGAGTGTGTTGAACGCTCGTCTTTGTCTCGAGAGGGTGTTTTTCGAAGGTTTTTCTTTCGTTATTTATCGTGTCGGCTGGTTGGTTTATCCATTCCTGGCCTGCAAAAATATATACCTTGTTGGTTCAACCATAGAAATCTTTGCACATGCGATAGCTTTTTTTAGTTGTCTCGGCTTGTCTCAATGGAGTAGCGCGGGATTTCCCCGCACTATCTGGGGTTGTTGAGGTCCAAGCTTGGTGCACGGTCCAGCATGCATTTCAATATAGTGGCACATGACCAGACGTTGAGGAATACTTTTGTAATAAAGGAGTTTCTATTGGCCTTTTCATTCTATCAGATATGACAGGAGATGTGTTATTCAGAAGGAGCTTCTATCACATGGAATATAACATACAGGAGACAAACTCCCCGTAAGTGTCTCCTATATCAAACAAAGGGGCTAGATTCTATGGCCTTCTCAAGCTCAATGTGGGCGTCATATCCAAACAGCCACGGCTGGAATATGGGGCAGACCCTATCGTTGTTGATCAGATGGAGGATACCAAAGGTAGGAGCAAAGATTTGGACGGGCCTCACCAGCTTAGTGGAAATTTTTCCTCGATTATACGCTTGGAATCAGTGTATTTGTCAAGGAGCGAATCACGCTCTTGTTGCTCAGGGCCATCGCGCATGTGATAAAATGTTCGCTTTTCTTTGTGTCAGTCACTAGTTCTTGGATCTTGCTTTGCTTGGGGCTCCTGGCCATGCTCACCATCTTGAGTGACTCTCGTGCTACTGCTTCTCCCCGCGCTTTACGCATAGTTTGGAACATCTGCAAGGCTTGGGGGAGCTGCGATTTGGACGTTATCTTGCCGAGGATCAAACCAATGGTAGCTCCATCTTCCATGGCCGAGTTGGCCCCTTGGGCTAGATATGGGATCATTGGATGGGAGGCGTCACCACTGCTCAAATGTTAGCTGGGAAGGAAGTAAATCTGCTATTGTATCGATCTTACATGAGAACAAAATTTCCTTTATCGTTTATCCACGTCTCTACTTCTTGTCCTAGAGTTGATCGATCTGTCAGCATTGATAATCCATGGACTTTTGGCAAGCTCCAAGACTCACGGTGCATCAACTTCCACGTCTCGACGACTTTGACGTGGTCCAGGAACCGGGCCAAACTATGAAATATTAGCAGCTGCCGCCTCTATTGGAATGGTGAAGCAACATCGGGTCCCAATTACGGAACAGCTCCCTCATTTCTTCGGCCGAGCCCTCCTTCTTAGAAACCCCGGCGGGAAGGTCGTCCGGGCGTACGAGACCAAGACCTAGCGCCTTGCCACTCCGAATGGAATATGACACAGCGTGACAGTCTGGCCCAAACCAGATATTAAGTTCCGGGTTTGTAATCTTATCTCTCAGTTCTCCGGCGGGGACGTCTTCCGCGTTGAGAATGATACGGTAGACAAGGTCCCCTGTCGCTTCGGGGTAGTCTTGTTTCCCCAAAAGAACTTCTCAGCACCGGGACCATATCCCATCCGCGCCGATGACAAGGTCACCTTTAAATTCTTGACCAGCTGCTGATTTTATTCGGCCATCGTCCATATCAATCTCAATCACTTTGGTGCCGAAATGAAACTCCACTCCGAGTTCCTTAGCTCGATCATAAAGACCTTTTTGAACGTCCACCCGAGAGATATTCAATGTTTCAGACCCATACTTTTTCTTCAAACTTTCGGCATAATTTTGCTCTCTGAATAGAATCGTTCCATCTGAATAACGCCGGAAGTTCATCGAACTTGGCCTCGCTGCGGAGCTCCAGAAGGACTCGGATAGGCCCCATCTTTTCAATAATGTCGAGGAGTTGGGAGTCACTTGGATACCTGTACCGGTCTGTAGTTATTGTGAGAACTTGACGGTATCACCAAAGATCATAGGCCCTCCGGAATAGAAGCAGTCTTCATAGCAACGTACCTCAGCAAGCTCGTTTGCAGCTTCGATAACCGTAACATGATGCCCCGATAGAGCACATTGGATACTGGCAGATAAGCCTCCCATGCCGCCGCCAACGATGATAACATCCAAGCGGCAACTGTTGGTAGCATCTGGCAAATAATCATGCTCTTTCACTGTCATATTTGATAAAATAGTCGACTTAACTCGCAAGAATTACAATGGGCAATAGGTGGGACGTTGGACTAAGCGGTTGCAATGGCCTGCGTCGTTTTGATCATCCAGCCTACTTTCTCCCGGACAAGATCGTCTCAACCTCCAAATATATATTTCTATCCAAGTCACCTTTAGCTTATAAGCGAAGGTAAAGCGCATACAAGCCCAGTATGAAACCTTCTATTAATGCACGGGTGGTTACAGTGCAGCGTTGTGAGTCTGTCGGTTCTCAAACGCAGCGAATCTCAATGCATAACAACATTCTTCATTCACACCAGAACGTTTATAAGGGCTGGCTCTCACTCTCTCAATAAACCACGTCATCGAATGGCGTGGCCTGTGTATCGCCACTAAACGAATTAACTCTTTCTGTAGGCTGTGACCCCTTGTGTATCCGCGGTAAGGGAGCAGCGCCGATACCCTGTGTGACAGCGTGCAACTCCCACCAAGCCCACCAAAGCAGAACAGCGTCTCTATGGGGATCTGCAAGATGCTATCTAGGGAGAATCAAGTGATACAAACCCTTTGCAGATGTAGACTATCTCAGTCTACCTTGCATGCTTCGGTTCACATACCGAGTCGCCCCTATTCAACGCCGACACCAATGTGTTCCGAAATATCACCACCGCCCACTCTCTAAACCTAATTTCGCACCCACCAACTCCTCTTCCAGCTCTAACCCACGCTTCTAACCATGTCCATCCCCATCGAATCCGTCAGCAACAAAGTCATCAGCCCCATCTCCCTCGCCCACATCGTCTTCCGCAGCGCCAACCTCCAACGCCAAATCGACTTCTGGACCCTTTTCCTCGGCGCCACCGTTGTATTCCAAAACGACACCCTCGCATTCTTCCAATACGACGACGAACACCACCGCATAGCCTTCATAGCCGATGCCAGCGCTCAACCCGAGCAAGGCGGCAGCAAGGGGGCGAGGATGTACCACGTCACCTTCACCTTCGCGAGTCTTTCGGATCTAGTGAAGGCGTATAAACAACGCAAGGCATTAGGGGTGTTTCCTACGTGGTGTGTGAATCATGGGATGACGACGAGTATGTATTATGTGGATCCGGATGGGAATCAGATTGAGACGCAGGTGGATAATTTTGAGAACCCGGAGGAGGCGACGGAGTTTATGCAAGGGGAGCTGTTTAGGGAGAATCCGTTGGGGACGGGTTTTGATCCGGAGGACTTAGATGAGAAGATACGGACTGGTGTTGAGGATAGTGTTCTTGAGAAAAGAGTTGAGATTGGGCCGAGGCTGTCTCCGCCGTGAGACGAGATTTAATGGAGCTCCAAATCCATGGGGTCATATTGTCAATATCAGCTACCACACAAAATTCATGATATCTAACGATATTTCTAGATGCATAGATAAAGTTCGAGCTACAAACTTAGATTCTACCCTCTATTGAGCGTATTCCCAGCCCCCTTCGGATTCTCCTCCACATATTCATCCCACGCTCTCGCCTTCAATATCTCCGCCTCGCCCTTCTCATAATCATCCTCATCAGGCTCGGCAATAATGCCACTTGCCTCTCCACCGCCCTCAATAATCCCTCCACGTTTCCTCTCCTCCTCCAAGTACTCATCAATACTCATCGTCGGCAGGTTATGCCCCGACCTGAAGACGCCGTCTTGAAGCTGTTTCCGGCCACCAGTCAAAGTAAACACTTTAAGCGGCTTCCCGCTCTTATCCAGTAGTGGCCCTGCTCTGTTATTCGCAGCTAGTAACTCCGAGATAGGCCGATCAATGCGGTCGGAGTAGTCGGGACCGCTTCGTGCGCCTGTGCGCTCGCGGTAATCGCGCGCGAGGCTTTCGGGGCCGGGCGGTGGCGTGGGAGGCTTGGAGGCTAATACGGACATCTCCAGGTTGAGAGACTCAAGGTTCTGGAATGTGTTGTGGGTAGATAGGCTTATGTTGGCCAGGTGGAGGTCGCGGATTGCATCGTCGTCTTGGGAGAGGTAGGCAGGGTTTCGGGAGAGGAACTTGGAGAACTGTTAGCATCATATATTGATAGTATGGGAAGATGCTGGTTCTGGAAAACGTACATCAATCTTCTGCTTCAGGTCTTTCTCCAGCTTGAAGTTTTCAATCTTCGCCGCCCGCCGCGCGGTGAAGTCTGTCGTTGATATGGTCGAGAAGGTGGTTGGGTTCTCGTTATATTCATCGTTCAGCTTTTTAGAGCTTCCAGTGAGGACTGCATAGCTATCTAGACGGTTGAGGAAACGCTCGTATGCGTCTCGTGCTCGTGTGAGGGCGGTCTGCCTGTCGGGGTTCGAGGTACGTGTGTAGAGGTCGCCGAGATGGTAGTCGATGAGGAGGTATCTGTGACACCTGTCAGCAGGCATTCCATATCAAGGCCGCATATCAATAAACTCACGGAAGATCGCCAGTAGTTATGTCTTCGAGTATCTCGTTGGGGCTGAACAGGGACTGCCTGTCTGCCAGTACACGGCACTCTTCGTAGCTTCCAACTGCGGTTGCAAGGCTATCATGGTACCCAGTGCTGTTCCTGTCGTAAGTTTGCTCAATCTCTTGCCTCTTCCTCTCTGCTTGCGCAAAGAGCGATTTAATGTTTTGGTCCTCCATGGTGTATGTATGTGACGAGGCTGAATCGCACCAACGCAGTTCTATGTTTTGTGGTGGGGGAGACGAGGCTGCGACTTTGAGCTTTGGAACAGACTTGGCTTGGCAAAGGCGGTGAAGCTGGGCACGCCACTACTGCCCATCGCGAACCAACTCAACCTCGTCTTCTTTATAATGTCCCTTCCCTAATGTGAAAATTCACAAAAATGACAGTGAATCTATAAACCAAAGCTAGGTATACCAGGGCCTTCGAAAGCCGTTTGTACTTCTTGAGACTTCAATTTGAGTTCGGGCATTTTTCAGGTCAGCGTGGGCCTGTGGTTTGTCCCCATCTTAATATTTGTTTGCTACAATTCATGCGTGAAAGAAGCATCGTGTTTGTTTCTCTGTTTTCGGGGCTTATGTACCCTTTATGGAAGCTATTAGCTTGCTATTCTCTCTTCGTTGCCCATAACATCTTCCAGCCAATTTGAGCCTTCTTTGCCCTTTACCATCCAGGGTTCACCCACCTATACTACAAAGTAGTCCTCCCATCTTGTTTACTCTTTGGCTTCTCAATTCTGATCATACCCAGCGCAATGTGCCACACTGTTGGTACAGCTGCACCACTACATGGCCAAAGTGGAGTCGATGGTGCTCCAACTGAGGGCAATATGGATCTTGATATTGAAATTTCTCAAGTGACAACACTCAAGTCACCTACAACACCAAAGCCACCTACAACCCCAGCTCACCAGGCAGATTCACCGCCTTCTATAGTCTCTCTACCTTCCGCTTTCAACATGCAAGTTCCTGAGGTCATGGTGCCAGCGTTGGCAACCAGGTCGACCGACGCCGTGATCGAGGATCTTCGTCGTCGTGGACTTCACCCAGGCGCACCAACAGTTGACAAAGAGCCTCTTACAGTATATGTTGAGGAAGTCTCCAGAACCCAAAAAGAAGATATTGCTATCGAAGATGAAGATGCAGGTGATGAGTCCGAGAGCGACGACGAATCGCCAGCACACCCGAGCGAAAACCAAGAATTATCGTATGAGAAGTCTGTTCGCGAGTCATATATCCGGAGTCGGGTTTTTCAGGCCGCCAAAGACTCAACTGCACCAGAAACTAAAGGTGACGACAAGCAGTCCGTCAAATGGTTAATCAAGGACAGTGGTAGCCAAGAGATTATTTCCAGCCCGAGAGAATACCAGATCGAGCTTTTCGAGAAAGCAAAGACACAGAATACCATTGCAGTGCTAGACACCGGTTCTGGCAAGACGCTAATCGCCGCCCTACTCTTACGCCATGTCATCGATGAGGAACTGGAGCGTCGAGCAAGTGGAGGCGATAAACGCATTGCTTTCTTCCTTGTGGACTCGGTCGCGCTCGTGTTTCAACAATACGCTGTTCTCAAGTGCAACCTGAACCACAAAATGGAGCAATTTTGCGGAGATATGGGTTGCGACCTCTGGAGCAAGGAGCTTTGGGAGAAACATTTCAACGAAAACATGGTCATAGTGTGTACTGCCGAGGTCCTATTTCAATGCCTGCACCACTCCTTTATTACTATAAAGCAAATCAACCTGCTCATATTCGATGAAGCTCACCATGCAAAACGAAATCACGCCTATGCCAGGATTATCAAAGACTTCTATGCCTCCGAGCCTGATCAGTCACTACTTCCTAGAATCTTTGGGATGACGGCTTCCCCGGTTGATGCGAGGACCAATATAAAAAAGGGGGCGGCAGAGCTCGAGGCACTACTGCACAGCCAGATAGCTACTGCGTCTGATGCGAGCCTGTTACAATATACCAACAAGAAAACAAGGGAGGAGGTCGCGTATTACGATCCACTCCCTCCCCCAACTGAGAGCCAACTGTTCAAAAGGGCCCATCAGCTGGTCGGCGGGATTAAGGAATGCTCGAAGCCATTGGAGTACGCAGTAACGGCTAGCTCTGACCTGGGAAGCTGGGTGGCTGACCGAGTGTTGTTAATTAGCTTCACTGGAGAGGATGTTAAGAGGTTGGGGGCACAGATAGAAAGCAACTTTCATAAACAAGCCCAAATCGACCCAATACCTCTGAGCAATCTCGAAGATAGAAAAGAAAAGCTTCGGAGTGCACAGCAAATTATTATGGAACATGTTTTCGCATCTCCACAGCTATCTCGCAGCCAACTTTCGTCCAAAGTACTGGGGCTCGCCAGCAAACTTCGCGAACGATTTGAACGAACTACATTTGATAAATGTATCGTTTTCGTCAAGCAGAGGTATACGGCAAAACTGTTGGCAGATTTGTTTGCAAGCCCTCAGATAGGCACTCCACATCTCCGGGTTGGGTCATTGGTAAGATATCCGCACAGCTAATTATTCCTGCGTTTTGCTTCAACTTCTCAACTATGTCTCTCGACCACATGCTAATTGCATGATACAGACTGGTACTCGAAATAGAAGTGGAGCAGACCTCGAATCATCCTTCCGAAATCAAGTGATCACCTTGAGGAGGTTCAGACAGGGCGAGATAAATTGCCTCTTTGCAACTTCTGTTGCAGAGGAAGGCCTGGATATTCCAGACTGCAATCTCGTCATTCGATTCGATCTTTACTCGACGGTTATCCAGTATATACAGTCACGTGGTAGGGCGAGACAAGATAACTCTGTCTATTTTCATTTCATCGAAAGAGGTAACAAGGTGCAGGATGCTCTTGCTAGAGAGGTCCGCCGAAATGAAAACATTCTCAAGGAGTTCTGTCAGGCGTTACCTGAAGATCGCTTGCTCTCTGGGAACAACTACAACATGGATTACTTCCTCGCCAAGGAGAGAAACATAATGCGAACGTACACAGAGCCGTCGACGGGTGCAAAATTGACATATAGGATGAGCCTAAGCGTGCTGGCAAATTTCGTAGCATCTCTTCCACACAGCAGTGAAAGCACGCCACATCCCGAATATATGATGACGGCCATGGGTGCGAAATACGTTTGTGAAGTTATACTTCCAGAGAACTCACCTGTCCACGGTGCAATTGGGCGCCCAGCAAATACGAAGCAGGTTGCAAAATGCTCGGCGGCATTCGAAGCTTGTCTCAGTCTTAGAAAAGGAAAGCACCTTGACGAGTATCTGTTATCGACGTTCAAAGATAGAGGCCCAGCGATGCGCAATGCCCAGTTGGCAATAACCTCTAAGGCCAATACAGACTACGACATGCGTACAAAGCCTTCGATGTGGGCCGCTGGTGAAACGCCATCGGAACTGTTCTTGACAATTCTCTCATTGAAAGACCCTGTCCAGTTAGATCGTCCTTCGCAACCACTTGGATTGCTCACTCGTGGACCATTGCCACCACTTCCACTGTTCCAGTTGTATTTTGGCGGCGGAAAACACACAGCAGCTGTGTCAACAGCTGTGGGCAGTCTGGCAGTCAGCTCTGAAACACTGGAATTAATTAATACTTTCACCCTAAGGATATTCAAAGATATTTTTAGCAAGGAGTATGAATCCGACCCCGCTCAAATGCCCTATTTTATAGTCCCAATATCCGACACAGACACAACATGCCGGGCGAGGTTGCCAGTAGACTTGATTTCGTGGGACATCTTGAGAATAGTCAGTGATAACCAGTGGCTTACATGGGACAAATCGACGCCAGAATCTTTTTTTGAGGACAAGTACATCATAGACCCTTTCGATGGGTCGCGGAAAATATGGGCGAGGAAAGTAACGCATGCGTATAAGCCACTGGACCCCGTGCCACCAAACACAGCTGCTCGTTCGGCGAGAAAGAATAACTTGAACATCCTCGAGTATTCATGCAGCTTGTTTAAAGTGGCAAGAAGCAAAAGGACGTTCAGTGAAACCCAACCAGTTATTGAAGGCGACGTTATTCCTTTCCGTCGAAATTTTTTGGATGATCACGACGATCCAGCTAATTCAGGTCCGACGAAATGCTATGTGGTCCCAGAGCCTCTTACCATATCAGCAGTAGGTACTCCAGGTGTTTTGGGATGACGCATACTAATCATTGCAGCTCCCGACTCTGATTGTCGCCATGGCATACACATTTCCTGCTATTATTCACCGCATTGAATCCTATCTCATCGCTGTTGAGGCATGCTCCATGCTACACCTCCCTATTTCAGCAGATTTAGCACTGGAATGCATGACTAAAGATTCTCGAAACACTGACGAGCATGGCGATGAACAAGTTGAGTTCCAAAGAGGCATGGGAAATAATTATGAGCGGCTTGAGTTCCTTGGAGACTGCTTCTTGAAAATGGCAACGTCAATCTCACTCTATACACTCCACCCAGACAGCAACGAGTTTGACTTCCATGTCAAACGTATGTTGATGATTTGCAACAAGAACCTTATGGACGTGGCCTTACAGCTGAAATTATATGAGTTCATTCGTTCCCAGGCGTTTAATCGGTATGTAGCTCGGACATCGGTTATCTATTTCTCACTAACGCATCTGTAGCCGAGCGTGGTATCCAGAAGGCCTCGTTCTCAAGAAGGGCAAAGCTGCTCAGGCTCCCAAGAAGCACAAGTTGGGCGATAAAACAATAGCCGATGTGTCTGAGGCATTAATTGGTGCCGCACTACTCACACCATCCAATGGTCACGCAATGGATCATGCGGTGAGGGCTGTCACAGAACTTGTCTGCAGCACTGATCATGCCATTGAAAAATGGGAAGATTACTTCAAGGGTTACACCAAGCCGAAGTATCAGATTACAGCTTCAACAGCGTCCCAGCGGAACCTTGCTGAGCAAATCGAAATTACTCACGACTACCACTTCCACTATCCTCGACTCCTCCGCTCGGCGTTTATTCACCCATCATATCCATTTGTATACGAACGGATTCCTAACTATCAGAGACTTGAGTTTCTAGGAGATTCATTGCTTGATATGGCTTGTGTCAACTTCCTCTTCCATCGATTTCCGACCAAAGACCCGCAATGGTTGACAGAACACAAAATGGCGATGGTGTCTAATCAGTTCCTTGGCGCTGTTTGCGTAGCACTTGGATTCCATACGCAGTTGCTGCAGTTCAACCCCATTATCCAAAGCAGCATCACAGAGTACGTGTGTGAAATCACTGAAGCTCGTGAGCAGGCGGAACAAGATGCAATCCGTGATGGAAAGCTACCTTCTGACTGCGCTCGCGATTATTGGCTCCATGCCAAGCTCCCTCCAAAATGCCTACCAGATATCATCGAAGCATACATCGGAGCAATTTTTGTTGACTCATCTTTCAACTACGAAGAGGTGGAGCGCTTCTTCGACCTTCATATAAAGTGGTACTTTGAGGATATTACTCTATATGACACGTTCGCCAACAAGCATCCAGTAACCTTCCTTCACAAGTTCCTTCAACAGAATATGGGATGTGCAAAATATAGAATAACTGCGTCGTCAATGCCAGACGACAGCAGCGGGACTCCCCCAAAAATCCTCGCGACTGTGATGATCCATAGCCAGATTCTGGTTGGTGTGGAAAGGGACAGCGCCAGATATGCAAAGATCGCCGTCGCCCAGAAGGCATTGGAAATTCTGAAAGCAGGAACCCTCACCCAGTTCAGACAAACGTACAGATGCGATTGTAAGGAGAAGGGGCTTGATGTGGAGGATTGCAACATGGAGGACGCTGCACAGGAATCAATGGAAGATCATGTGGGCATCAAAACGCTAGACGTGGAGTCGGCGCTGGGGGCAGATATTGGAGTGGAAGGCAGTCGAAATGGCTCGATCAGTTCAGCTTAATGGGGTGGTTCGTATGGACCATGCGAACTGTCGAGACCTGATCGTGGTTTGTTGTGGCACAGGTACCATTTTGCTACCAAGCACCATAGCTCAACCTGAAGGCGTCGGAATTCTACATGCTCTTATAGCTTGGCCTATGCTCATCAAAATACCAGATAATGAAGTCGCTGAGTTGTCAAGTTCTGGGAGTACGCTGGCTGGTGAAAAGGTTTTTATTTACAACCAATCCCATTAAATAGAATCAAATAAATTCGGGGAATTTTTTCGGATTGTGATTTAATTGCTTGTCCACTCTACCGAAAATAAGAATGGACAGTAATATTATATATTCGACCAGCACAGTTTACAATATAATATAAAAAGTATTCCTAGCCATCACCGTAATACTGAGATTTGAGGATATTAATATCTTCTGCTCCAAACCGCCGAGGTCTGTCTGAAGCGAGTTCGGAGACAATGCATGCATGCTGACTAATAATGTGCTAGCGCTGTTTGCAGGACGGTGAGCGCCCTTTGTGCAGATTTTCTCATCAGGTACTCATATTAGCCAATGAAAATTCCGAATTGGCCTTAAGCTTTTTTTAGCGCTTAACGAATAATGACATGGGTTCCTACATATTTTTTTGGCAGAACTTCAGCTCCGACTTTCTGACTGTGAGATTTATGCCCACCTATCTCACGCAGAGTCTTTTTCCCTCTACTTGATGTTCAATTGTGTCTAATCTGCGGCCTTGTTCTCCGTCTTGATTGACTGTGAGATACTTAGATTGAACTTCTAAGGCGGCTCTAGGGCTTTTGCCGCCCATCTTCGACGAGCTCAGAGATTTACGAATACCCCGCCATACGTCGTACACATCGGACGACGACACATAGCCACTCGCAACCATGGCCGCAAGAACATACGTCCCGGTCGCTGCTCGGCTGCGCGGCAGCACCGAGGAGAGCCTTGTCGCACTCGAACTCCAAGATGGCGTCGTGTACCAAGGGTACAGCTTCGGTGCCCCCAAGAGCATTGCCGGAGAATTGGTCTTCCAGACAGGAATGGTCGGATACCCAGAATCTGTGACTGACCCTTCTTACCGGGGCCAAATCCTCGTCATCACATTTCCTCTTGTAGGAAATTATGGTGTTCCCTCCCGCGAAACAATGGACGAACTCCTCAAGGACGTTCCCGTCCACTTCGAATCCTCTGAGATTCACATTGCTGGCTTGGTTGTTGCCTCTTATGCAGGCGAGGACTACAGCCACTACCTTGCCGCATCCTCCCTTGGAACATGGCTGAAGGAACAGGGGGTTCCCGCCATGTACGGTGTCGACACAAGAGCCCTCACCAAGAGAATCCGGGACGAAGGTAGTATGCTGGGGCGAATGCTCCTGCAGAAGCAAGGCCTTACTAATGGCAACGCTACCCGTCTGTCGGAGGACTGGCGCTCGGGTTTTGAGGCTGTGGAGTGGTCTAACCCGAACGCTACAAATCTGGTTGCAGATGGTGAGATCTCCTCAAATGCCCCCCCCGAACATTTCTGACTGTAGACAAAGTCTCGATCAAGGCCCCGAAATTATACTCTCCCAAGCCTTCTGACGCTCTCCTCCATCCTTCCGGACGCCCAATCCGAGTACTGTGCTTAGATGTCGGACTCAAGTACAACCAACTGAGGTGTCTCGTCAGGCGTGGCGTTGAGGTCCTTGTATGCCCATGGGACTATGACTTCCCCACCCTTGCCGGCAAGGATTACGACGGACTCTTCATCTCCAACGGTCCAGGTGATCCAGCTATGATGACCAAAACTGTCAACCATATAAAAGCCGCCGTTGAAGAGAACCGCACCCCAATCTTCGGTATCTGCCTTGGTCACCAGCTCCTCGCGAGAGCATCTGGCGCAAGCACCTTGAAGATGAAGTTTGGTAACCGCGGCCACAATATTCCATGCACGAACATGTTGACAGGAAAATGTCACATTACCTCCCAGAACCACGGTTATGCTGTGGATACTGCTTCATTGCCCGCAGAATGGGAGGAGCTTTTCGTCAACGCCAACGACGGCTCAAACGAGGGTATCCGCCACGTTAGCAAGCCACACTTCAGTGTCCAATTCCATCCCGAAAGCACACCTGGCCCAAGGGATACCGAGTTCCTGTTCGATGTCTTCATCAACACTATCGTCAAGACTCTGGGTGATGCCACCCAATTGAACCTGCCTGTGCAATTCCCTGGAGGCGAGGCTGCCGAGACGGCAAGACTGAACCCCAGAGTCGATGTCAAGAAGGTTTTGGTTCTTGGAAGTGGTGGTCTGAGCATTGGCCAGGCCGGCGAGTTTGATTACTCTGGAAGTCAGGCCATCAAGGCTCTCAAGGAGGAAGGCATTTACACCGTGCTCATCAACCCAAATATTGCTACCATTCAGACATCAAAGGGTCTCGCCGACAAGGTCTATTTCCTCCCAGTCACTGCCGACTTTGTCCGCAAAGTGATTCTCTACGAGCGCCCTGACTCCATCTATGTCACCTTCGGTGGCCAGACTGCGCTTCAGGTCGGAATTCAATTGAAGGATGAATTCGAGGGACTCGGCGTTAAGGTCCTCGGAACCCCAATTGACACCATCATCACAACTGAAGATCGTGAACTCTTCGCTAGAAGCATGGAATCTATTGGCGAGAAGTGCGCCAAGTCTGCCTCTGCAAGCACTGTCGAGGAGGCCATGCATGTTGTCAAGGACATTGGTTTCCCCGTCATTGTTCGCGCAGCTTATGCCCTTGGTGGCTTAGGCTCCGGATTCGCTGACAACGATGCCGAGCTACTAGAGCTCTGCCAAAAGGCGTTTGCTGCCTCTCCTCAAGTCTTGATTGAGCGCAGTATGAAGGGCTGGAAGGAGATCGAATACGAGGTCGTCAGAGATGCCAGGGACAACTGCATCACTGTTTGTAACATGGAGAACTTCGACCCTCTCGGTATCCATACCGGTGACTCAATTGTCGTCGCTCCATCGCAGACTCTGTCCGATGAAGACTACAACATGCTCCGTACCACTGCTGTCAACGTCATTCGCCATCTCGGTGTTGTCGGAGAATGTAACATCCAATACGCGCTTAACCCATATTCGCAAGAATACTGCATTATCGAGGTCAACGCCAGACTGTCTCGTTCCTCCGCTTTGGCTTCTAAGGCTACTGGATACCCATTGGCCTTTATCGCTGCCAAACTTGGTCTTGGTATCCCTCTGAATGAGATCAAGAACTCTGTCACCAAGGAAACATCTGCCTGCTTCGAGCCATCTCTGGATTACGTCGTCGTCAAGATGCCAAGATGGGACTTGAAGAAGTTCACTCGCGTCTCCACTGAGCTTGGCTCCTCCATGAAGAGTGTTGGCGAGGTCATGAGCATTGGCAGGACGTTTGAAGAAGCCATCCAGAAGGCCATCAGATCCATCGATTTCCACAACCTCGGATTCAGCGAGACTCCGGCCTTGATGTCCATCGATGATGAGCTCCAGACCCCATCCGACCAGCGTCTTTTCGCCATCGCAAATGCAATGCACGAGGGCTACTCAGTTGACAAGATCCATAGCATGACCAAGATCGACAAGTGGTTCCTCGGCAAGCTCAAGGGTCTCAACGACTTCGCCAAGTACATGAACACATTCGACACAAGCAGCATCTCAATTGACCTACTGCGACAAGCAAAGCAGCTTGGTTTCTGTGATCGCCAATTGGCGAAGTTCTGGAGCTCGACTGAGTTGGCTGTTAGAAGGCTCAGAACCGAGGCTGGCGTCACTCCGTTTGTCAAGCAAATCGATACGGTGGCAGCTGAGTTCCCTGCTTTCACCAACTACCTTTACATGACATATAATGGCTCCGAGCACGACTTGGAATTCAACGACAATGGTGTCATGGTCCTGGGATCTGGAGTGTACAGAATCGGTTCCTCTGTCGAGTTCGACTGGTGTTCCGTCAGAGCTATCCGCACTCTTCGTGAGAGCGGCCACAAGACTGTCATGGTTAATGTAAGTTCAGAGATTTTTCATTGTTTTCTACGGTCTTAGGTGGCACCTTCCCTTTGGGTCTTGATCCAAATCACGTGAATGACGGGAATCACGGGGATGGCTCAAGTGATCCACCCCGGATTTTTATCATCTCAGTCTCTACGATATTATATTGCTATTACAGTTGCTCAAAGATTTCCATCGTTTTCTACGGTCTGAGACACCTTACCTGGGTCTTGATCTAAATCACGGAAATCACGAGAATGGTGCACGTGATCTACCTCGAAAGTTTCTCACCTCAGCGTCTATGATACTATATTGCCATTACAGTTGCTAACTACGAAAAAGTTCAATCCCGAGACCGTGAGCACCGATTACGATGAAGCGGACCGTTTGTATTTCGAAACCATTAACCTTGAGACGATTATCGACATCTACGAGCTGGAATCATCGATTGGTATTCTCATGGCCATGGGCGGCCAAACGCCACAAAACATTGCCTTACCATTGCACCGCCTCAACATTAAGGTATTGGGAACATCCCCTGAGATGATTGACAATGCCGAGAACAGATACAAGTTCTCCCGCATGTTGGACAGAATCGAAGTTGATCAGCCTACATGGAAGGAGCTGACAAGCTTCGAGGAGGCAAAGGAGTTCTGCAACAAGGTTTCATACCCAGTGCTGGTTCGCCCTTCATATGTCCTCTCTGGAGCAGCAATGAACACGGTCTACTCTGAGCCGGATCTTGAGGCATACCTCAAGCAAGCTTCCGAGGTTTCTCGCGAGCACCCAGTCGTTATTACTAAGTACATTGAGAACGCCAAAGAAATTGAGATGGACGCAGTTGCCAAGGATGGTGTTATGATCGGCCATTTCATTTCTGAGCACGTCGAGAACGCCGGTGTCCACTCTGGAGACGCCACTCTTATTCTCCCACCTCAAGACTTGGAGGATACGACTATCAAGCGTATCGAGGAGGCAACTCGCAAGATTGGTATGGCTTTGAACATTACAGGTCCATACAATATCCAATTTATCGCCAAGGATAACGACATCAAGGTTATTGAGTGCAATGTCAGAGCCTCTCGCTCGTTCCCATTCGTCTCCAAGGTTATGGGTGTCGATCTTATTGAGCTGGCCACCAAGGCAATCATGGATCTCCCATTCGAGGCATACGCACCTACGACACTGGTGCCAGGAACAGTCGGTGTTAAGGTCCCCCAGTTCAGTTTCTCGCGACTTTCGGGAGCTGATCCAGTCTTGGGTGTTGAGATGGCTTCTACTGGAGAAGTTGCTTCTTTTGGAAGAGATAAGTACGAGGCCTACCTCAAAGCTTTGGTCTCCACTGGCTTCAAGCTTCCAAAGCGCAACATCCTCCTATCCATCGGATCTTACAAGGATAAGAACGAGATGCTTCCGTCGGTGAAGAAGCTGCAGGCTCTGGGCTACAAACTTTTTGCCACGGCCGGTACCGCCGATTTCTTCATGGAGCATGGCATTCGCACTCAGTATCTTGAGATCTTGGCCGAGGAAGACGAGCAAAAGTCCGAATACTCCCTGACGCAGCATCTTGCGAACAATATGATTGATCTTTACATCAATCTGCCATCCAGCAATCGCTACAGACGACCTGCGAACTACATGTCGAAGGGCTACAAGACTCGCAGAATGGCTGTCGACTACCAAACTCCTCTTGTGACCAATGTCAAGAACGCGAAGATCCTCATCGAGGCAATCGCAAGACATTACGATATGGAAATCACCACCCGCGATTACCAGACCAGCCACCGAACTGTCGTTCTTCCAGGCCTCGTCAATATCCAGGCTTTCCTGCCTGGCATCGCCACGTCCGGAAGCAATGATCTGCAGACCGTGACCGAGGCATCCATTGCCGCCGGTTTCACCATGATCAGAGTCATGCCCGTTGGCTTGGATAGCTGCATCACTGATGCAAGGACGTTGGATATTGCACAGGCTAACAGCAGACAAGGCGCAAGCTGCGACTACAACTTCTCTGTCGCTGCAACTTCTTCTAATTCTGAGCAAATTAGCTTGATCGCTGGAGAGGTTGGATCGTTGTTTATCCCATTCAACCACCTTAACGATAACATCAGCAAGGTCGCAGCCGTTACTGCTCACTTTGATTCTTGGCCAACCTACAAGCCAATCATCACCGATGCCAAGGTGACCGACCTTGCCTCAATCCTGCTCCTCGCCAGTCTACACAGCAGGAATGTCCATGTCACAAATGTCACCACCAAGGAAGATATTAGACTCATCGCTATGAGCAAGGACAAGGGCCTCACGGTCACTTGCGATGTTTCCATTTATTCTCTATTTGTTTCTCAAAAGGAGTACCCTGAATGCTCTTTCTTGCCAACCCCTGCGGATCAAACCGCCCTTTGGGAGCATTTGAGCACCATCGACATCTTCTCCATTGGCAGTGTACCATATCAACTTGCCAATGCTATTGGTGAGAAGGCCACACCAGCAATTGGTATTTCGGATGCCCTCCCACTACTCTTCTCCGCTGTTGCAGATGGAAGATTGACTGTCGACGATATCAAGACTCGCCTCCATGATAACCCAGTCCGCATCTTCGAGCTCCATGAGCAAGTCGGTGCGTCCGTCGAGGTAGAGATTGACAGGCCTTACGCAAAGGCTGCCGGTCCAGTCTGGTCTCCATTTGTCGGGAAGATTCTCCGCGGATCCGTCCAAAGGGTCATTTTCAACGATAAGACCGCCTGCCTCGATGGCGAGCCCTGTGCTGGAGGACCACTAGGAAAGGACATGTCTTCGCATGTGCTTGTCCAGGTGCCTCAATCCCCAGCTGTCAAGGGCATTCAATCTCCGCTTCTCAGCCCAATGGTTGAGGCTACGGATCGCTCAAAGGCACGACGCACATCCTCTCTACTGGGCCAACAACCCGGGCCACGAGCATTCAGTCGCCAGAGAGCTCTTGAGGGATCGGCAATTGCCAACCTGCCATCAAGGATCGCGCCAACTGAGGAATACGGTGTTCCGTTGTACCCTCAGCCATCTATCTCACCATCCTTGCAATCGCTGCTTGCCCGCTCGCCATTCAAGAACCAGCACGTCATTTCCGTTAAGCAGTTCACTCGCTCTGATCTCCACGTGCTGTTCACCGTTGCACAGGAGATGCGTCTGGGTGTTCAACGCGAAGGTGTCCTTGACATCCTGAAGGGACGCGTCCTGTGCACCATGTTCTACGAGCCTAGCACGCGTACCTCGACTTCGTTCGATGCCGCCATGCAACGCCTTGGAGGCCGCACTATTGCAATCTCTACAGAGCACTCGAGCACTGTGAAGGGTGAGAGCCTCCAGGACTCCCTGCGCACTCTCGCATGTTACGGTGACGCAATCGTTCTCCGCCACCCAGAAGAGAACTCAGTCGATATCGCAACCAAGTACTGCCCTGTTCCAGTCATCAACGGCGGCAATGGAAGCAAGGAGCACCCTACGCAGGCATTCTTGGACCTGTTCACGATTCGCGAAGAGCTCGGCACTGTCACTGGCCTGACAATCACGTTCACGGGAGATCTGCTCCACGGCCGCACCGTGCACTCCCTGTGCAAGCTGCTGCAATACTATGACGTACAAGTCCAACTTGTGTCTCCTCCTCAGCTTGCACTCCCAGCCGACATCCGAGACATGCTCAAGGCATCTGGCCAGCTCGTCCTGGAGGCTACGGAGCTTACTCCAGATATCGTGGCAAAGAGTGATGTGCTCTACTGCACTCGTGTCCAGAAGGAGAGATTCGCTGATCTCGCCGAGTATGAGAGGCTCAAGGATACATTCATTATTGATAACAAGACATTGAAGGCGGCAAAGCCAAGCATGGTCGTCATGCACCCGCTTCCAAGGAACGCGGAGGTTGCGGGAGAGGTGGACTTCGACCAGCGCGCTGCGTACTTCAGACAGGTGAGTCACATTCCCCCATTCTACAGCTCGAACAAAATACTGACTACTGCCGTACAGATGAGATATGGGCTGTACTGCCGCATGGCGCTGTTGGCTCTTGTTATGGCACCATAAATGAGTGGGGATGTGGTTTAGTTGACCATTTCTCAACACTACAGATTGAAATTTTGCGAGAGAGTTTGTTCCATAGATTGCACAAAGGTGGATTTTTTATTTGCATTTCTCTTGGCGTAGCTAGGCGGAGGTCGTAGATTTTAAAAAGTACTGCATTTTAAATAATGATGGGATGTGGTGTAAATGGGTTGTTTGAAGTATATACACTTCGGTTGTATTTTATGGGTTGGGTTGGTGGTGTGTGTTACGTGTTGTGTGTATATATGTGTTTATACCTATATGTATATATTTTTATCTTTATTATGTATACGTAATTGAAATCATTGATCTATTCTCGTTTCTTGTGCATTGTATTGTACTATTCATAATCTCAGCCAAGCTGTTGTCTCCACCCCCAGATTTGACGAACGACACATCGATGAAGGTTGGTGCACGGGCCCGTTGTGGTTCTCATTGTAGAACAACAACATCCAAAGAAATATTCCTACAACGGAATCTTATACCGTCCCCAAGTCGGAAATTGAGGTGCTATCTCAAGAAATCAATGACGACTTTGGGTCCTATCGCATACGGGCCGGACAAAGAGTTCACTATGTGACAATTCCAACTAACGTCTTTGATGATGACACAATGTGTCGTCCTCACCTGCTCATACCCCAACTACCCAACTTTCCAGGCAAGAATTGGACAACCATGGAAGTGACCCGCAAGCCAGACGGCCCCTTGGAATCCAAACTCTCACATGAGCCCTTGCCAGCCGTACGGATGACATGGCATCCGAAGACCATCGACTTGCTCTCTTTAGAGAAAGTCAAACAGCACCGATCTGGAGTCCACGAAGTACTATATTCGGGCCTTCCAGCCATTTGCAAAATTGCTTGTTTCGGTTGGCAAATTCCTAGAATCGAGCACGAGACCTACACATACTCAGCAGTCGAAGAGTACCGCCAGCCCCCAGATCCGGTCATCGCTCCTGCTTTTTTAGGCCATGTGACGGAGAATGGACGAGTAATTGGGATGCTGCTTGAGAAATTAAAGGGCGATTCCGCGTCGACGGATGATCTACCAGCATGTACAAAAGCCCTGGGGAATTTTCATCTCATGAATACGGTTCATGGAGATGTTAACCGCTACAATTTCATCATTGATCGGTCGAAGGAACCTGTGCATGTTCGGCTCGTCGATTATGAACATGCGGAACCATATGAGGAATCAAAGGCGCCTGAAGAGCTCCAATCATTGTTGTTGGAGCTGGCAGAAACGACTGGGAGAGGTGGATCGGTTGTAATAGTCGGTAGTTCTTGAAACCACTTATTGCCACGCTCCTCATCTTCGGACCAGTCAGGTCGTGCTAAAGGTGATGACGAATCCCGGCCGATTAGCAGATTAATTGAAGCGGGCCCTGTATGTTTTGCTGTTTAGCTTGCGGCAGTGGGATCTGTGTTACTCTTGCTTTTAAGAACTAAAGTGAAACTTGGTATTCATTCGGTCCGTTAACTCTCCTTCACCTCTTCATGTAGGCTAAAGAATTCCTCTGCGAATAACGAAGTGATCTAAGGTTACTTGATTAATAGCTTACCACTCAAATAAATGTCTCAGTTCCTGCATAGTATACCCATCGTTTAAAACCGTCATGATTACGTCGACCACCTCCCAAGGTCTAAACCAAGCCAAGCACAATTGTATGCTCTTAACTTCGGACTTCAAAACAGTTTATCGACAGGAGATCTAAAATGTAGCTTTATAGTTTCTAGTAACGTTTTCCATTGACAAGTAACAGAATAATCAGAATAATATTCCCTAGTTGTAATCGCCCACATCCAATTATTAAATCCAAATTACACAACTTCAATCTCCCCCGTCAGACTTGACCTGCTTAAGACATGAAACCAGCCTTCCCATCCTTGTTAGAATCCTTCATGGGGTTCAGCTTGTCAATGAGACTGGGCTTCTTTCCCTGCTGGTGGGCACCCGACTCCTCGCCTCTCGCGCCGCTGCTCTCTCCGCTCCTGCTCCCTGTCAGCTTGTTCATGCCGGGAATCTTGTTGGCCGCAGTCTGGGCAGCCGAGCCACCGAGTCCTCCACCGCCACCAGAACCAGCGCCTACGCCTGCAGCTGCACCAACGCCGCCGAGTCCGACTGCGCCGGCACCCGCTGCAGCGTTGCGGTTCGTCGTGCTAGACGTGGTGGTGGTATCGTAACCGCGCTGGGTAGAGTCGGTAGTGTCATACTGGCTGCGCTGCGCCGTCTTACCAGCGCCTGTGGACTCGTAGCGTCCGGAAGTACCATAGTCGTATTCTTCGTTGTATCCGGTCCTTCCGCCGGCGCTGGTGCCACCGATGCCGCCGCCGGTAACAGAAGTTGTATGGGCAGCGCCTGGGCCACCTAGGACGTTGTTGTGCTTCGAGTCAGTGACAGCATCGTCAATGGAGCGTGGGGCACCGCTGAAAGAGTCCACGCGCTCCTCGCGACCATTGAGGGTGCCGCCCTGGCGTTGGAACTCAGCGAGCGTCACTTCTGGAAGAGACGAGGCAGAGTGATGCTTGGCCTCATTGATGTGAATCTCGTGGATAGGGAACGTGTTGTGGATAACATGGGGCTCGAGGATATCCCTCTCGACAACAGGCTGGATAGTCTCGTGAACATCTATGCTTATTAGTACGGAATTAGGCCGGGTATGACCTTGGTATTTGCTTACGATGATGGATATGCTCTCCAGCAACAGTGGGGCCAGTCGAGGTTGTGGTGCGAGTTTCAGCAACATCACGAGTATTACGGAACTGGGCACGCTCGGCGGCTAGACGCTCAAGCACGTGCTTCTCGTTGCCATGCTTGATCTCATGAGTCTCAACGGGGGCAATGTTGGTCTCATGGGTCTCTGGCAAGATTTCCTGGTCGCGGACAGGCTGGATCGAAATGTGGTGGTGGTCTTGGTGGACCTCCCTGTCAATGATCTTTTGTCTCTCCTCGTGGTTGGTTCTTTGGACGTGCTCCCTTATAACGGCCGGGTTAATGATCTCGTGGACCGTCGTGTCGGCTTGGCCATCTCTTCCCAGGAAGGAGGTGATGGTCTCCTTGGTCTTGCCCGTGGGGTCACCGTGGCTGATGTGGTGAGTGCTGGACTGAGTATCGAGCTGCATCTTGTTCTTGGACGTACTAAATTGGGTGTTTTAATTTCAAAGGAATATGGATTTAAAGAATTAGGATAAGTTGAGGAAGGGACCTGATATAAGGCAATAGGCATCTGTGGAGCTTTCTCCTGGTCTATGGATAGTGTATTCATCATTAACGCCCCTGGCTTGGGGTAGTACTAATGCGGAGAATTGCACTAAATCATAGGGACCTTTTGAAGATATCATGATGACGACAGGAAGGAAAAGGGTAGAATAAACGAAAGGGAGCATGTCGAAACAAGCTGCTAGCTGTATTCCAAAGTAAAACCAAGTCCAGAACTATGTGAACCAAGGTTACACTGAGACATTCGTGCACTCACATCTCGTAATCTGCTCTAGGAATTCAAGTTTTCAAGAGGATGCCAAACTTTCTCAGGGACATTATGAGCTTAGATGTTTACATTGTTCCGCACGCCGAGAGAGATTCCCGTGACTCCAAAGAGTGCGGTCTGATTAAGGTCGAGCACCTGTTCCGGATGTGGTTAGATTTTAGCATGGTTATGTAGAATTCGTCATGTGACTGCACGACTTCCAGCCGAAAAAATGCACTGTTTATCGACATCAGAGATCAGAATGCCTCTTTACTCTATAACTTTTCAACGTCTCACATCATCAGCATGTCCATGTATGTTACCGCATTGAAACGACTTCACTAAAAACAGGTTTAAATTGTGGGTATTTCGCCCCTTTCGAGGGCAATTGAGCTAATGTCAACCATAGATCCTTTACTAATTGACCTGCCCTAGTCCTCCCCAGATCCAAGTTCCATGATGGAGTTCAATTAAGGGCAACTGAGTTGGGTGGGGAAGAGCTACTGGTCGCTAATTATGGCCCTTAGATATTACCATCGCTTGTTGTGGCGCTGACCACAAATCGTTAATTCCGATGACGCATCCGACTGCTCATGATCTAACTAAATGATATATACTGACGACATTTTTCAGCCAACAATGTGAGCCTTCTGTAAGAAATGCCCTATCATTGTGATGATATCTAGCATCTAATGTACGATGTCCATACTTTACAAATGCTCACATCATGTGATACTCGCGCGACTGCCCATAAACCCGAGCGACTGCTCGTATTATCACTTCCCCACAACATCTCGACATAATTCCAATTCTTATAGCATCTTGAAGCTTCACTAAATCAACTGCTTGAATATACGAACATGTCGTCTGAAATCCCAGTCAGATCCTACCTGTCGGGCACCACCGACAGATATTCGGAGTCTCCATCCTACACTGGCACATTTACGTCAGACCAGTCTCCATATTCAAAGAGGTCGGATGGCGTCGCTTCAGCGGCGGCAATGGCTGCCGTCTCAAGACAGCCTTCCGAAAGATCTAATGCTCCGACTCCTATTACAGTAAATAAATATCAATATCGACCCCGTAAAACCCCACTTACGCCACCAATTTCACCAACTCAGGCTTCCCAACAATATGTGAAGAATCCAGAAAAACAAGAATGGCCCGTTGAAAGGTACTTCACTTCCCCAAGGGAACCACCTTCACCACCAAGACACGAGTTGAATGGTACGTGCACTTTGCAGATCTGTCTATATAGGTTTTTAATAGTTTTCCAGGCCAAGAATCAGAGTCCAGATACCACGTAGACAGTAACAATATTGTGTTTCCGAAGACCCTGCGGCACCAACAAGACACGGAGGCCCCTCTTACTGAGAGCCCAACGAAATTTGGGTTTCTAAGGAGGTCTTTGACCGGAAAGAGGCAGACTTCTCCATCGCCACCCCGACATGAATTTAATGGTATGTAGATTCCACCCGACAATCATACGCGCAGATATTAATTAAACTATAGTCTCCGAACCTGCGTCTACCTATCACACAGCCAGTAATAATATTGCATTTCCAAAGACGTTACGACGCCAACAGGAACAGGATGTGCCTCGTGCAGAAGCGCCATCTGCGCAGCAAGCTGAAAGTCAACCTTCCAAACAGGGGTTTTTTAGAAGATCTTTAACGACGAAGAGGCAGCAGCCTCGGGCGGTATCCCGGGACGAACTACACGGTACGTGAAATTCCGCAATATTTGTTTTATGAATCATTTCTAAATATGCCTTAGGTGAGGAGGAGGAACCCAGATATCACAGAGAGAGTAACAATATCTTCTTCCCGAAAACATTGCGGCAACCATTGCAAGAGCCAGAAAAGACTACGGAGGCACCCCAGGCCGGGGGAATGCCACCAAATCCGCCTAGCAATATGCAGCGTGTTGGCGGCATGCAGCAGCAGCCGCCTCGCTCACCAGAAACTTATCGGACTTCCCCTTCCCTCGGTAGGCAAGTCGGGTCTCCCGCCATGGGTAGGCATACTGGGTTAGCAAATAAGACATTGCGGCGCTCGAGGCCGCAACAGCAGCCTCAACCAAGACCCCAGTCTAGTTACATGCCACTTTCGGGAAGGAGCCTCCGGCCGGAGGAATCAAGGGGTCTGGGACCTAGGTCCATGCAGACAGCACCTCGCGAGATACCGCGGCCCACCAACATGGCTGAAATAACACCATCGGCATATGAGCAATTCCAAGGGGAAGAGGGCCGTCCTCGCAGAACAGTGACAACAGATGTCCGAACTACTCAACTTCCTGGTAAGGGTTTTTTCTAGCTACAAAGTTATCATTGCTAACCAGAGCACAGCTGTGACACACGAACATATCAAGCCAACAGCACACCACATCAACACTAAGGAATACACTCGGGAAATTCACAACCATGATGTGTACAATCGCATCCTACCAGTTAGGGACACTGAAGTACGTCCGACTAGGCATTTTGCTCCTTCCCCAACAGAATCTGGGAGGCTAGTTGAGATCCCAGCTCCGGACGAGAAGCGCGGTGGCGCCCAAGCTACAGTAGCCCCAATCAGTATGGAAATGGCAAGCAATACAACCTGTACCAAAGATGTCTCGGCAAGACTTCATGACCCGAGCGACAATACAATTCCATTTCCCTCCGTTACGCATCAATCACAGGAAGAGGCCCTAGCTCTATCTCGGCAGCATAACCTTGAGATGGAGCAGCAAGGGCGTCAACTAGTAAGCGAAAAATCTTACACCTTGCCTGATGGTACTATGCGGACGGAGAGTGTATGGCGGTATCAACCTACGATGAAAGCCCCAGTTCAGGAGATAACTGAGACTATTTCACGTCCACCTGGTGCGGCCCGACCTATGTCACCCGCGATAGCTGATAGGGGTGGACAGAGGGCTGCTCCTAGCCGCGCCCCAGGACCGTCGGACTATACCATTGGAAAAGGCCGACAGGAGCAGTTTCATCCGTCAGTCGTGTCCGAATGGGACCAAGTGTCAAAGCCCAGCCCGTCTCCTAGTGTAAAGGCACAAGCAGCTCGCGGCTATGCACGTGGTATCCCAGATGAAACTGGTGTACAGGACTATCGACGAGGGAAGGAACAGTATACTGAAACTGAGCCAATAAGCCAGCGCCCTGCTCGGCCGTCCCCTTCTCGCGCCAGTCCAAAGCCCGGCAATCAACGTTCATTGCTTTCTGCTATTACTAGCACCGTAATGCCACAGAAGACGGTCCATCGTGGGACGCCACAGCCACCAGGCCAGTTCGAAGATCTAGACAGTGGCTCGGATTACAGCTCAGTACAATCTGAGCAACCCACTCCTACTGCCGCCCCTGAAAAGAAACGCAGGCCTTCTGGAGAGTTACTCCCTGGTGGAATCTGGCGCCGCCATTCCCTTGTCATCCCAGCGGGTATTGTCAGGAATGGGAACTCGCTTATGGGAGCTGGAATGCTAATGGCAGATCGCGAAAGGGAAGAGGAGTTAGCTATGCACCGCCTGAAAAAAGCTTCCAAGGCTGAAGCAGATCGGGTCAGCGCCCTGGAGGGCGGGCCACCAAGCCTTCAGAATAAGCATGAGATGGAGAAATTGACAAGGCGTAAAACTGAGGAAAGACAACGCGAGGCAAGTCTTAACGAGGATATACAAAAACTACTCGTGGCCGAGGCGACACTGGAACAAGAAAGGGTCGGGGCTAGTAAGCTTGATGAGGGTATCAGTAAGCTTGAAAGACAGGCGGATGAAATTATCAAGAAAGAGGACGAGCTTGAAGCCGAAATTGATGAAAGTAGGCGTCGGCGCATCTCCCTCCTCAAGGAGGCAGAGTCAGAGCATCAGAAGGCCCAGGCGCTCCAAAGCTCCAAACAAAGAGGGGTACGCGAGCCTAGTCGTGTTTTACAGGCTCACAGACGTCGACGCTCAAGCCTCCTCCATCATGCCGATGATGAGCAGCAGAGAACCATCAGTCTTCAAGAGAAAAAAGAGGATACCTTGGCAAAGATGGATCAAAGAAATGCAAAGGCCAGACAGGACCTTGATACCACACTCGACGAGGCCGTGCTCGCGGATGAAGGACGCCAAGAAGAAGTGCAGGTGAATAAATTCCTAAGCGACGAGGTCCAAAAGCAGAAGCAAAAGGAAAATCTTGCGCGGCAAGGGAAGGCCCCGGCAGCGAAGGGGTTTACCATGGCTCCTCCCAGTTCCGACTTGCAGGGCACGACCCACTACGATTCGAAGTATCATGCCACAGAGCCAGAGGCAGAGGATTCGGGGTGGACTGAGGTTGTGAAACCCAGGCATGGGCATGCAAAAGAGGCAGCTAGGGGAAATGGGACTCAAAAACTTCCTGCCCAGCGTCAGAATGGTTCAACAAATCATAATGGACAGGCGAAGAGAGGCATTTCAACAGTTCAGCAGAAACTGCCAAGTCCGCCGAATACCCAATTGCCCCAGCCACCAGGGAGCGTGGGTACAGGATACGGGGCGCCTGGAGGCAGTAGCAGCTCGCAACCGCGTAGCTGGGCCAATATTGCGGCATCCAGGCCTCTTTGAAAACGGACTGGGATGAAAAAGGTAAGTCAACAGGACGAACAAAATATAAAAACAGCTTCTATAGTGCATTATCTATCACATATTATACACAAAAAAAAAACCATGACAATTCAGCATATCAGTATTTTTCGCATTACAAGTATAGATAGTGATTGCTTTGATTATATACGTAAAACATAGACTCCAAAACCCTCGATATGATATCTTTACCGGCCCCTATATCCCAACATATCTCCATCCCTTGCGTCCAAATATCCCATTCAACGCCAGTCCCGCCGCCGTGAGGCTATCATAACCATATAATCATCCCTACATTGACACAAGCCCCTTAATGCTTTTAAATCCTCCGGTTCCGCCTTTCTTGTCCTTTTTGTTATGCGTTGGACTTTGCGATCCTGATTCTGCCTCACTCTCTCTCCGTTCCTTCTCCTTCTTCTCCTTTTCTTTCCGTTCCTTCAAGCCAGAGTTCTGTACGCCACCTAAAGAAGACCTGTCAGTTTCCATGCGACAGTCAAATTACCAGCGGACAGCTCAAACGTAGGAAGGAGGGTATGATATCGTTGGAGACCATGCTTTAGCTGAGAAAAATTAACCAGTGGTGCTTACCTCGTCCATATGCCCGACGCTCAGGCCTAGGCTTTGGCATCTCTGCTTCAGCACCATTGTCCAAACTACCACCTTTGAACAGTGATCTTGGATCAGAATGGGTACTACTGCCCGTCCTTGTCGGAATCATCACAGACCCCGTGGCTGCTGACATCTTTCTCTGTTCATCAGGCGAAAAACTGCGTTGGCGACTGCCATCATCGGCCCCTCGATGACCTAGCCTCTGTGGGTCCTCGCTATCTCGTCGCGGCTGCCTATGTGGCATATTTCGAGTATCGGTGGGGCTACGACTCTCGAAGCTCTCGATTTCGTCGGAATCGCCCAGTAAAGGACCGGGGGTGCTATGCTGTTCTTGTAGCCGCAAGTAGTCCTCCTGCAAACTAGTGTATCGCCTCAGGAGGTGCGTGTGCGCTTTGTGGACCTCAGCAAGTCGCAACTTCGACGCCGCTAGCGCACTATCAAGCATCATCTTAAAGTTTTGAGTCGCCGTGCTATGCGCGTTCTGCGCGACGTCTTTCATATGGAGTTTCAGGTCCTGAATCTCCGCTGCGTTAGCCCGTTTCGTTTTGAGCAGTTCTTCCTCGCGTGCGGAGAGCTGCATGTTGAGAAGCTCGATTTTCGAATTCGCTATATTTTCACGTGCTTTGACATCCTCCATCTCACTCTCTTGATTTTGGAACTCGCGGAGATGCTCAGTCAAGCGATCGACATCTGAACGGAGTTTAGCGAGGTCGTCAAGTTCGATTTTAATCGCCTGGAGCTTCCGGCTTGATTCCATTTCGCGCGCCTCGCTTTTGATAACTAGTTGTTTTAGCTCCTCGCTGTTTTCTTTCGACTCTTGGAGATCGCGTCGTAAGAGCTCGCCCTCAAGAAGCCATTTCTTTTGTTCTTCTTTTATTGCCCGCAGTTTCGCTGATAGGTCCTGTTCCCATTTCTTTGATTGGGCTCTACTCTTGTCGGACTCTTTCTTGGTTTGCGTAGTGAGATTCTTGGCCTCCTCGAGCTTGCCCTTCAAAATCTTGTTGGCATTGATGAGATTTTGCGTTTCAGCTTCGACAGTCGCTTCACGGACTTGCATCCGGCGAAGTTGGCCAATGTGCGATAGATGCTGCTGCTTGAGATAGCGCTCAAAGTTAAGATCATTACGCAAGAGCATAATTTCGCGGCGGAGGAACGCCATGTTGGTGGTGTCTCCCAGAGATGGCCTTAATGATGGTGAGCGAGGAGGCAGTTGGGCGAGAGACTGCAGATATGTATCTACATTAGCTGAGGAATCGGTATTTCCCCCCACGGAAGATAAAGTGGTGGAGCTTTCGTTTGGCAATGACTGGTGCAAACCTCGGTGGAGTGATTGCTGAGAATTGAGAATATCGTGCAGCGGCGACATTCCACGTTGGTTTAATATCCCGGGGCTGTCAGAACGTATATCTTGGATTTGATTCGTCGCTATGTGGACATCAGAAGATACCGAAGGATTTGCCCTCGAAGTTAATCTTCCCAGCGCGCTCAATTCAGGTGGGCCGCCCCCTGAACTCGGTGTTTCATGTGAGCGCCGCTGAGCTAGCAGTGCCTCTTCGGAATCCGTTTGGGTAAGCAGCGTCTGAGTTGGAATATCTTGGTTGCTGTCGCGGTTTGGTAAACTAGAAAACCTTGTCATAGGAGGGGCGCTACCCGATCCATGATAGACAGGTACACAGAGAGACATGCAGAAGGTGACCACATCAGATGCAGCGCTATTCATCCATCTATGGGCATCCGTAAGTTCAGACTCGATAGTTAGAGAGAAAAAGTTGGGGTGAAGTAAATGCAACTCTCTGAAGGGTTCAGATCGCTTCCGAATTTCGTTCGGCTCCACGTCGATATCATCTGCTCCTGGGAAGTTGGCGTGTCTGAGATATCGGCTTGGCTTTCTAATGTAACTCATGAAATTGATAGGGTAGAGCCCGTACAAGAATGTAAAATAATGTAACAATTCGGGCAATGTCTCGTCGTCTGATTGAAAGGAATACGACAGCTTCTCCCACGGAACCTTCTCTTCCTGTCCTTTCTCAGATGATTCGGGGTTGTCATTTTGTTCGTTAGAATCTAGCCTCAATCTTGGGGACAAGGCTCTTTCTCTTTCCCAAAACAGCATGCGGGTGTAAATATTGAATAGCGAAGGGAGGTGCTTCCCAGTCGAGACAGGTATATGTGGTAAGATCATAGTCAGAGCTGTCATTGCTAGAGCAACAACAGTGGTTGAGGTATCGATTTGTAGGCACCGAAGAAGGTTATCGAATAGTGGGGTTTGCAAGAGAAGATGTAAATGAGGCGGGCCATGGCGAATAAATTCGCTGAGAAGAGACAAAACTTGGCCACGGTGCTCTCGTTTGATAAAGTACTTATCTATAGCCGTAAGGAGGATCTATTACGCAGTTAGTGCCTATCGTAAAGGACCGGTTAGGTAACTGACCTGAGGTCTCTTCTGTCCAAATGCTAAGAGAAGGGATTTAATTTGCTGGTCAAGATAGTGTGCCATGGCGTCTGCCTCGGTTGTCGCAACTCTAGATTGATTAAGCCATACCCCCAAGACTTTATCTGACAGCATGGTGCAGGTCTCTCGTACTGCCTCGATCCTCGCGCTGTCACCATCGTCGGCCTCAAATAACAAAATGTCGAGCAGAAGCTGCCGGGTCTCTCTTGCCAATCCCTTCCCGTCCCCAATATTCCCCAGTACCGGTACTACAAACATCTCCCACCATTGCAACCACTGAGTTGCACTCCTAATGGCAGGTATTAACTCCCGCAAAATAGCGATGAAGATTGAGTAGCGTTCAGGCTTATCCTGAGCTTGCTTTTGCCAAATCGACAGAAGCTCCTCTTGGAGCTTCTGTGAGTCGCCATCTTCAATCGGTAGGTGCTTATCCAGATATGCTTGGATGTGGTCGATCAGGTCATTTGACAGAGGAAGGATACCGCTTGAGACCTGGTTATGGATTGACTTCACGACATCTTTCAAGGATCTAAGGGGTTCGTTAGCATCGCTCTCACAGCCAAATCAAGCGCCTATCCTGACATACCCAGACGACATCCTAGCTATGGGCTTGGTCGTTGGCCCAGGTCAATGGTGATAAGGTAATCGCAAGGGATCGTCAGTCCTCAGACTCTAGTAGGAAGGGGGCTGCTCCCGTCACAGCGGAAGCAATTTATGACATTTGGCGTTGACGAGATCCTCGTCTGGCGAAAGGTTTGGCTTAGGTTTGCTACTGTCGCTGTTTTGGAGGAAGTTTGGGAGATCTTTGGGTTGTGCAGCCTCGCGGAAGGGTTAATGTTGTTGCGTTAATCTGCGCTCCTCGTCGTTTTACTCGGTACAAAAGATAAGGACGTGATACATGGCTAATCGCATCATATCCTCTTATCTTTTCCAGAGACCGTTATCTCACCTGCCTAGCAAAATACCCTGCTCATACCAATATTCATCTATTGATTCTACGAACGCGATAACGATATTTGCTTATTTCGGAATATATAAATATAAACCAGGCCAAAAACCCAGCCAGGTATTCCACGTCACACATCCCTGGGATGCTTATGTAATGAAGAGGGCGTCATTCAAAATGCATCCACTAGCCGAGTCCTCTTTGGGAACTGAACTTCGAGCCTCGGCAACATCATCAGCCTCGTGTGAACGACCGGCCCGCATATGCCCTTGCACTTCTTTATTTCACAATTCAACCACGATTCCTCCAACGACCGCTGAAACACCTCCTCCCGATGCTCCAAAATGGAGTTTATGTCGGCCCTCCAGGGCACCTTCGATGACCACAAACCTTCGCTCTTTGAGCTCCTCTCCGAACAACAACTCGCCTCTCTCATCCCGCCGTCACTCCGCTATCTCCTCACCATCGCCACCCACCGTCACCCACGCTATCTCCTGCGTGTTCTGAACTCTTTCGATGAGTTATACGCATTATGTATGCTCATTGTTGAGCGGCATTTCCTAAAAACCCACGGCGGTGGATTCACCGAGAACTTCTATGGCCTCAAGCGTGAGAAAGCGCTACGGGGCGAGGTGCCGCGGGCACAACTCGGCGCACCGGCCCTCGTGAGGGAATCTCTGAAGCTCTCCGAGAGAGATATATGGAAGAACCTGGCTGTGATGGTCGGGTTACCATACCTAAAGGCGAAGCTCGACGAAAGCTACGAAATCAATGCGCCGCGAGCGCTCCTCGGTTCGGCATATACGCAGATGCCGCAAAACCCAACACTCAAACAACGATTTATGCATTATTACCGCTGGTTCTTACGGAATATATACCCAAGTGTAAATGCTGCATACTACTTCTCAATGCTGGCATTTAATTTGGCATATCTATTTGACAATAGCAAGTTTCACTCACCATTTATGTGGCTTATTGGCACACGAATGAGGCGCCTTGGTGAGGCCGATTATAGGGCAATTGCCGCACTGAACGACCCGCCCAAACGAGGACCAGGCGCCAGGCCAGGGACGACGTCGATATTCAACCCGAGGACACTATACCCGAGGTTATTGTCGAGCATGAGTATACTGCTACCAACCAGCATATTCGCCTTAAAGTTTTTGGAATGGTGGTATGCATCCGATTTTGCGCGACAACTAAGCAAAAAGGCCAGCGAAAGTTTGGAGCTGCCACCGCCCATAATTTCGGGGATCAACAGCGTGGCTCTTGGACGGAAGACCCCAGCAACTTCGTCGAGTGCGGATACGAAAGACACAGAGCCTTCTGATGTCCCTGAGAACCCGCCCATTGCCGCTTTATCATTGCTGCCGATCTATACTGTCCAGCTTCCAGAAGGCTCAGATTTATGTCCTATATGTGAAGAGGATGTTGAGACGCCAACAGCATGCCAAACCGGGTTCGTGTACTGCTACACGTGTATACATAAGTGGGTCAATGGAGATCATGAAAAACAGGAAGAGTTTATGGCTGGTAAAGAAGGGAAGTGGGAAAGTGGGCAGGGCCGATGCGCTGTCACTGGAAGGAGGGTGTTGGCTGGAACTGATGGGCTGAGGAGGGTGATGGTATAGAACTTGGTGCGATAGAACTCGCTGAATTGCCTGTATATTTCCCCAGCGACAGGAGTTTGGGCTTGATGATATTTTATAAGAAGGGGTACAGACTGTATGTACTATATTTATAACCCATCAGAGTTGAATATTTGAACCCGTCCGACGGCACGTGACACCAAATTTCCACGCCTGCGCTGTAATTCTATTGAAATTGACAGATGGATTATACATTCAAGTTGATATCACAATTTTCCCACTGTAGATTGTATGTATATTTTCTAGTTATATATGTTAGTTTCGCAATATCACATGGCGGTTGGCAAGGCTGAAAATCCCAATATATAAGCGCGCCTCCGCGGCTAAAAAATCCCAAGCGCCGCCATCTCTGGACCTCAATCCATCTCAATCCATCCTCACTCAACATCACCGCAATGGCGACGTCAGCCGCTAGATTCGCACGGCCACTGCGCCTAGGCACAAAGCCTGTTTTCCTGTTCGTCTACGACCCTCTACTGGAGACTCCCGACCCCATACTGACCATTTTCTCCTAGGCCAAACTTCACCATAACCCTCACCCGCAACCCCCCTCAAACTCCCGCAACCCACGCCTCCTTCATCGTCCCCCTCAACCTCAACAAGCTCGATCTTCGCGACTACCTCTTCAATGTCTACTCGGTGCGCGTTTTAGGCGTACGCTCATACATCCAGCAGCAAAAAGTTCGACAGGACAAGCCCGGAGCCCGACGCCCGGCACAGCGCAAGTGGTACCGTCCGCGGGCCATCAAGAAGATGATTGTTGAGATGGAGCAGCCATTTGAGTGGCCAGAGGAGACGACGGATCTGGCGGCCTGGGACAAGGTCACCTATGATGCGGCAAAGGGGGAGCAGAAGGCGGACCAGGAGCTGAATAACCCGACGTTTAAGAAGCAGCCCAGCAGAGAGAGGGAGAGCATTGCGGAGCAGGCGGCGAAATTATTGGATGGGACGGATGCGTGGAAGTCGAAGGATGAGTGGGAAGATGTTGGGGAGGCGGAGGAGGTGGAGCAGGATGTTGTGCTGCCAAGGCAATAGGGGGATGGTAGAAATGGCGCGTGGATGGACGGAAGTGTTGTATTATAAGTATTATATGGGAGCATTTGTAATTCTATGTTCATGAAGTCTTGAATACGCAATACATGATTGCATATACTATGGTATATATTTCCTTGCCCAAGTTTGTGACTTGTAGCACCCCATGCCATCTCTCCTCCACTCTCCATTGAAGCCGGTGCCACCTATTATTCTATATTCCCGGCCTCCTGATTAGTGTTGGCACATTCAGTCCAATGCTCTAAGCGCTGAAACTTCAGTACTTCATTGCCCCACGCCCAGCTGTGTGCCGTAAGGTTACGTGCAAAAATCTCCAAGCAGTGCGGTAGAACCAGGGAGGATGGAAGCAGGGGTGCAAAGAGAGCCATGAGATTTGGCTTCCGTGAGTGCATGTCGGGCGCGGCGATTATGACTCGGCGTTTGACTGGCGTGGGCTGAACACCGGGCTGCTCTCCTGATTTCCCAACCTCTTCCTCTTCCCCTCCCTTCCTCTCATCGAAGACTTCGTCAAGCTCGCTTTTTGAACCAACCTCGCACGGGTCGGTACTTATTTCTGCCCTGGGAATTTTTCGCCCAACGAGCAGAATCTCAAATGGCTTCCTCCACGTTCCATCAATTGGTGACATCGGCTCCCCGGTCGCTGTGATTTTTAGCCACACCCATTCCTCCACAAGCTCAATGCCCCATTCACCAAATAATCCTCTTTCTCCATCTTTTCCCAGCAGCAAGTCTCGAAATATCTCTTTGTTCGTTATCCACACTCCAACCAAGCCGTTTTTCTCAAGCTTGCTTCTGATGGGAATACCAGATAACAAAGTGCTAATCTCTGATAATCCATAGGATGTATGATAATTTCCGGCGCGACGTGCAGAACGGTTGGGCCAAGGGGGGTCAAGAATAATGAGAGGAAATTGGGGCGCCTTTTGGATGAGGATGGGGAGGGTAGAAATGATTTCGCCCTGGATGTGTGTGCTGTTTACAGGAACTATGGCGGGGATATCGCTCCCTGGAAGAGAAAGGGTAACTGTATGTCCCATAAGGTTTTTGAAGAGTGGAAAAGGGGACAATGGTAAAGAATCAGTGGCACCTCCTTGGCCGGTGCCGTTCTGGCAGCTAGGTACGGACGATGGCGGCAGTGGGGATGAGGCACCATTGCTTCCTTCTCCCGCTTTGTGACTTATGTGATGGCGTTTCTCCGGCCTCCCATCTTGCAAACTGGACTGCTTGTCATCATAACATGAACGGGGCAGACACCAGGCTTTTGGGCCGTCGCCATTACTCTCTATCGCGTCTCTTGCTTCTTCTAGAGCCAACGCAAGAATCCGGTGAAGTATCAGGTCATTGATATCTGTATCTGGATTTACCAGGGCGGCAATCGCTTTCTGGGACTTCAGGGCGGCAACCGCTTTCTCGGATTTTGGCTCGAGAGATGGATACGGTTGTTCCAACGGAGGCGAAGACCACAGTTTTCTTTCACCGCCATGTTCAAATTGCTGCGCAACCTCTATAGAGCAAGGGACATCGAGTAGCGTGACTGTATGGTCTTCATTTTGCCACAAAATGCACGTCTTCTTCTCGTTGGAGTTGGGGATTGCATCGTCTCCCATAGTTGTTGCCGCCATCGTCACAATCGTCGAAGCACGTGCCTCAAACATGTTCCAGGCCATTCGCCAACGCCGCTACTTCCTAGCGCCTAAAAGTCTAAATTGTCAATGATCATGTGACCTAGTCTAGTTCACGTGCCCAGACATGTTCAAGGCAAACAGGGTCCCAAGCCACCGTAAGCAGCGCTAGTTAACAATACTCGTAATAAACATGAAGACTCTTAGTCACTTAATATTATAATTGCCATATTAGTTATATAGATTTAGAGCTTATAGAGTGGCGGGAGCGGTATAGATCGTGTGGATAGATAGGGTTTGTATAAAACGTCATACATGTCGATTTACAAACTTGAAAGCTCGGCAATGGGGGCGAAAGGATCCCTGCCGAAGCCGAGCCGACGGTATGCGGGGTGCGAAAACGTAACGGGCTCACATTTGTTCCAGTTCCAATCCTCCAATTGCCAATCAGACCACAGCCAAATGGGCAACATAATTCATTATAGTTAACAAAATTCGCCTCAAAATCTTGACATGCACTCCTCATAACCCTACAGAGAACATCTATATAAACCTCTTAGCGGCGGCGAGGCATGCCACCGGCTCGCTAAGCTATGCCCCCGGCCTTGTTAAGCCATGCCTCCCTCTCCGCGCCGACGACACTCACGACAACGACACCGCCGATGAATAGACCTCGAGAGATAGATGCGCGTGGGGAGCATGGACCTAGAGGTGCTGCTGTCTGTCCCACCGACGACGAGGCTGTGACGCCGAGGGCGCGCCCGAATAAACAGAGCCTAGACTACCTTTGGCGAAGTGGGCTCGCCGGCGGTCTTGCAGGATGTGCTGTTCGTGACACTCTCCCTTCTTCCTCCCAGTCGCAATTGTGCTAATAGTACCCCCCAGGCTAAATCACTTGTCGCGCCGCTTGACCGAGTCAAAATCCTCTTCCAATCCTCCAACCCACAGTTTGCGAGATATGCCGGGTCCTGGGCTGGCGTTTTCGCCGCGATGAGCTCGATATACCGAGATGAAGGCATCGTCGGACTCTACCGCGGGCATTCTGCTACGATCCTCCGTATCTTCCCTTATGCCGCCATCAAGTTTCTGGCGTACGAGCAGATCCGATCCGTCATTATCCACAACCCCGAGCACGAAACACCTATCCGACGACTACTCTCCGGCAGTCTGGCAGGCGTGACGAGCGTCTTCTTCACGTACCCTCTCGAAGTTATCAGAGTGCGCCTGGCATTCGAGACGAGGAAAGACCACCGTAATGGCTTCACCGACATCGTCAGGACGATATACCACGAGCAGCCGGCGGCGCGCCGGCCAACCCCGTCAATAACCTCAACTTCTGCGCCTGTCGCAACCATCCAAGCAGCTGAGAAGGTTGCCGTCGAAACGCTTCACAAAGTCGCGCCCCGAGGCGGCCTGATAAACTTCTATCGTGGGTTCTCGCCGACGATGCTGGGGATGCTTCCGTATGCCGGAATGTCATTTTTGACTCACGATACTGCGGGAGATTTATTACGCCATCATTCTATTGCGAAGTATACCACATACGCCAGGCCTGCGGGGTATCCTGAGGGAAAGCCTGATCCATTGAAATCTTGGGCTGAGCTATTCGCGGGTGGTATTGCGGGGTTGGTGAGCCAGACCTCGAGTTACCCGCTGGAGGTGATCCGGAGACGCATGCAAGTTGGTGGAGCAGTGGGAGATGGACGGCGGTTACGTATCCGTGAAACGGCGGGGATTATATTCAAGGAGAAGGGCTTCAGAGGGTTCTGGGTGGGACTGAGTATTGGATATGTGAAGGTTGTGCCCATGGTTGCTGTGAGCTTCTTTGTGTATGAGAGGGGTAAGACGTGGTTGGGTATTTAGATTAGATCTGCTGATAGCATAGCTTTGCGGAAGCGTTAGATTAGAGGATACCCAGCGGAAGGAGTTGCGGTGGGAGGCAGCATGCATTGGTGCATTTGTTGGCGTTTCGTAAATACGTGGTTGGACAGCGGCTAGATTTCAAATAACAAATATATATATCAGTTCAAAAGATGCAGTCTAATGAGTGTTCGCTTCCCCAGCCCTGTCAGGATTCCCAGTGGGACTAAATGGATTTAGAGGCAGATTGACCAGTAATGCAGTATTATATTACAAGAATACGAGTATTATCTATTACTAACTATGATACCGCCTTACTCCATCGCAAATCGCCTGCTTATCCCGCTTGATACAGCCCCAAGGCAACGACATGTGGATTGATAGAGCTAAGGTTAAACATCGAGAACGGATCATCCGTATCAGTAAGTCCAATGAACATAGTCCCATTAATTGCCGGATCGCCTTCAAATGTGCTGATATCGGGCTGCAGCGTCGTCCCACTGCCCGTTCCGTTCGGCACCAGCTTGATGTCCTCTAGCGGCGAGTACGTGACGTTGAGCTGCGATACCCAAACCACAAACTTGGGATCCTTGGCCAGCGTGCTCGTCACGTAGGAGTTGTTCGGTCCGACAGGCTTTCCGGGGGCGTCCCAGGATAAGAAGACCTGGCGTCCTGGGAAGGACAATGGGATCGAGTGGTTCTGGGAAATAGAGCCCCCGCAGGAGTCGCCGGTCTTGTTGGTCAAAGTACAAGAGGCATTTCCGGCCGCAGCTTCACTTCCCGGAGCAGCAGGACCCCAGCCCACAGTCTCGTTACTGGAGGTCTTGGTAGTGTTCCCAGCAGATCCCCCTGCGCTGGCGCCCTGTGAGGCGTTCACAAGGGCCGCGCTAGGTTGGTTTAGGATGTGCAGTTCCGGGAAGTTCTGCCAGGCGAGACGCTTCGCGTTGGATGGGCAGGAGGCAATGTATGGCGCAAGGTAAGTCCATGCCCATGACTGCGGGATGCCAGTCTCGAACCAGACGGGCATTGGGAAGAGGCCGCCGAGCTGGCGGAAGATCATCGATTGGCGACCTTCTGTTGCGATGGACTGGTCGAGGAGCTGGGCTGACTCGCGCGAGTCTAGATGTGCTTGGAAACCCCAGACACCAGATTCACCCCACTGAGTAAGCTTTGCGGCGAAGTCGAAAGCTTCGTCCAGTGTCTCGTACGGGTAGTGGTAGCTACACTGTGGGGTCGATCCACCGGGGCCGCCGAGCAGATTGCTCACGAGAGTAGCGTGGCCATTCTCTTGCTCGGCCATAAACTCGACCAGGAAGCGGTCGCTGGCGGTTAGATTCAGCTTGGCAAAGTCGGCTTCGGAGAAGCGGTTCAGAATATCTTTGAAAAGATCCAGCTCGATCCACTCCTGATAGAGGCCAAGGAGTAGCGACTGGTAATCAAAATCGGACTGAACGCGGTATACCGGCTCGGTGCCATTGGTTCCGAGTCCACCGGCTGGCTGGAAGGGGATCGTCTGATTGCTCTGGAGAATTCCGTTCGCTTTAAACACTGTTGCTTCAGGGTTGGGCGGGAGGGCCGAGATAGTGCCGTTCAATGCTCCCTTTGCAATTGCACCCGTTACGGTAGCACTGCCGGTGAAATTTCCACGAGTTGTCTCCGGGTTGGGGCTGACAAGAGGCTGAACAGGAATCGTAGCACCAGGGATATCGGTTGCGGGAGTCCCTGCAATCGACGCAGCTGAGGCAAGCGCTTCAGAGTTGACCGTCGCCGCCTCGTTGAATGAAAACGGCTCTGGTGAGAAGTTGGTGTCGATGGGAAGGGAAGCACTAGTAGTACCAGTAGCTTCCGGCGAGCCACCCCCCGAACTGCCACCAGAGCTTGAGCCAGATCCGGATCCCGTGCTGCTTCCACCCAAGCTGCTTCCTCCCGTGGGCTCAGAGGTAGGGCTGGGGCTGCCGACAGCCTGTCGCATATGGAGGTCCGGAATGAGTGCATTTGCAACGGCGAGGCCAACAACAAATGTTATTCTGCCGTACATGGTGAAAGATATCCCCGAGTAAAAAAAGGACAAAACGGGTGTGGTAAGTATGAGAAACCAAAATGTTCAAGAACAAACCCCCAATAGTTTTATATCGATCCACCATGAACTTGATGTCACTACTCAAAGGAAACCATGACGCCTTGATAGTCTGCCCTACCCTATTTATCCGAGATGTGATAAGAGTTGATGCTTTATATCCAGTGCCCCTAATTCGCTATGAGGGGGTAAGTTAGTGGGATTCGGAAACGCCAAGGGTCTGTCTAGTATGTACTGTATGGGGTGTCGATGCCCTCCCTCCATTATACACTATGGGACGATTCACGTAAATATACCCCTCGAGTCGTTGTAATCCAGGCATCTTGAGGGGGTAGTGAAAGGGTCGTCGCACACCAATCATAGCTCAAGGTCCCGAGTTATATATGACCCTATCTTTCTTCTGGTTGTGATCTAAGGGGGACATTTGACATAATGAAAGAGATACGCACACCAATCGCGATGCACGTCGAGATCTTTCAACGCGGCCACTAGAATAATAAACCGTCTTAGACCACGCACTAATAGATGATGTAGATAACCTTCATTTAGTGCTTGGATAATGCTGATTTGCACATACACTGCATGCGAGTAATACATATTACCTGTCTAAGAGGAGATTTGTGGGGAGTAGTTCCGTTCTCTGGTTCTCTTCCCCACCAATGTCGTCAAAACCATTAATATACTCCGGCAAAAGATCTTCCCGTCCCGTCCGGGTCCAAGCATAAATCAACATCACATCTCCACAATATCAATCGACCTACCTCCTCCACAAACAGACTGCCATTCATTTCCAGCAACGATAATTCTTACAGTTTCTAGCAACGATAGTATTAATATACGTTATTAGCTTCATAGGTTGTAAGCCAGTAATTAATCTTCTTATTTCCATCCACAGAAATTTACTATTTATTAGGATTCTCAACTGGAGATCTACTCTAACTTCATATATCAATCACCAGTCTGCCAAGAGCAATCGCAGCCTCTGCCCCGGGATCTGGGCCAATGGTGCCATCCAAACGGCGATAGAGGCAGCGATCCCGTCTGTTCCTCCGGACGCACGTACTGCAGAATGGCCTCGCTTTATCACACTTTGTTTTCCCGACCTTGCAGCACTCACACCTGGGGTCGTCTGCTGGATCCCTAGGCCGCGCCTTTGAGGGCCGTGTGGGACTATCAGCGACAAAGCCGACGTTGGTATCTGTTGTTAAGCTTTTTGTTGGCGATAGCGTGTTAGCATGTTGTTCCACCCCCATCATTTGTTCCAGTATTCCAGGCCTTCGAGTGTCTGACCTGAGCGCGACCCTGCCATATGTACCGTGCTGTACATCTTTGCCATGATTGCGATAGTTACGAGGAGACTTGGTTGGAGTGTCTTTCTGTCTAAGCCTAGACATGGCATATGTGATGCCATCTTCATAATCGCTATCACTCAGCTCCTCATCATTATGAATCTGGCGATCGCGCCGATAAGGAGTATATCGGACATCAGGATAGTCGTCCTCATCCGCATCCTTGCGTGCGTTCTCCGCCTCTGGAGCTACCCAAAAAGCAAGCGAAGACCGGGGGACATCTTGCATCTGAATAGAAGGGGGGCCAGCGATGCTGCGAAGGTTCTCAAAGATTCTTATTTTAGTTTCTTCGAGAAGCCGGACAGTGTTCTGGTTTTTCTTATCAGCTGCCGCGCAGACATCTAGTTTATAGTCTGGAGCATAGTACTATATCTGCAATTAGCTTCTCGATGTTCTATAAGAGGTTTTCGCTGACTTACTTCGTAATATTCATCATTCACGGGAAGATCTGAGGGTTGAAGGTCAGTACCCACAAGAACGCCCGTCTCATAAGCCCAGGTTCGAGCAACATTGCGGATGGTGTACCCGCCGCCACCCAGAACCAGGGTCGGAACGGAGAGCCGCTTCACAAACTCAATGCAGTTTGCATGGCCCCGCATACTCAGATTGAGCCCGCCAAGCTTGTCCTGATTGAGACTGTCTGCACCACACTGGAGAACAATGACTGAGGGGCAGAAACGAGCCATGATGTCTTCAATCACTGGTTCAAAAACTCCTTTGTAAGAGGCATCGTCAATGCCTTTACTAAGTGGGAAATTGACTGAAAAGTTCCGGCCTTTTCCGCGTCCAACGTCGCTCAGTGATCCTGTCTGAGGGAAAAAGCCGGCACTGGGACTATACTGGTGAAAACTGGCCGTCATGACGCGATCAGTCGTTAAAAACGCGGTTTCAACTGCGTCTCCATGATGGACATCGATGTCAATGTAAAGAACGCGGGGATAGTGGCGGAGCAGTTCCAGGATGCCTAGTACGATATCTGCCACCTCGTAAGCTGATATGATCAAAGAGAATTGGATCCACAAATTTACCATTGATGTAACAAAATCCGGATGCTTGTGATTTCATGGCATGATGAAGCCCGCCAGCCCAGTTAATAGCAATATCGCAGTTGCCAAGACCAAGTTTTGCAGCTCCTTCTAAGCTTCCTGCGGCAGATATGGCGCTGAGTCTGAAGACTCCTTCAAAAGCAGGACAGTCGTTCTCGCCAAGGCCGAAACACTCTTCGGGGGGTGGTAGCACGGTTTCTGGCGTTACCCTCTCCAAGAAGTCGACATATTCGTCGGCGTGGAAGGCTTTCATCTCATCTGCAGTCGCAGGCTTTGCGCGCTTTAATGGGCGTCAGTATGTTACCAGATCCTTTGATAGTTGACGCCTACAAGGATGGATAGTTTCTTGTATATCCCGGTGTGCATGATAAGACTGTGTGCCATCTTGATTCGTTGTGGCTCCATAGGATGTTCCCCGCGATAGTAATGGTTGGCTACCTCCTCATCATAGTAGTATGAAATCCTCTTGGTGTTTTGGGACTTGAGAACCCTCAGATCGAGGGGAGGATACGAGACGTTGTTGGAACTCATGGTTGCTCATCTGCAAACACGCAACATAACAGAAAGATTAAAAGGGTTGCTGAAAAAAGAGTGATGGATAGATCCAGGGTACCGGCAGGGTGCTTCTGTGGGAATGGGGACGTGAAATCAAAAACAAACTTGTGTGGGGGAGGGGCGGATCCAACTACAATGCCAGACGTTTTCCCCGGGACGTTTAAACACTTCTGCCATTGCGGCGGACACTTTATGCATATTTAACTCTGCCTGACAGAACTGTTCAGGTGGCTGTAAAATCCGAAGAGCAGCGTTAACATTACGCGTTCGACTTAACTTATACTATGTTACTAAATATCCCATTGGATTCGTATTTCAACGAGATTCAATAAATAGGTCTCAAAACGGCCACATGCACTTCGTATAGGTATGTTCCGCGTGAATTATCTTGAGATTTGCCGCTAAACTAACATACATAGGCAATCTATTTTTGGGAAACTAAGCCATCAATGATCTCTTGGGGACTCTGTCCACTCCACCCCTTTAACCTTTCCTCGCTACAGGTATCCACAAGTCGTTCCAGGAGTATCTGCGCTGTAAGTCCCTTCTTGCCCTCCAGGGCAACTTGTGCCTTCAACCAGCTAACCACGCCGAATCTCGTGAGAAGTGTTTCGGATCCCCCTTCGATTTCCGTCGCTCTCCAGACAATTTGTAGAATCTTTTCGCGTAGGTTATCAGCCATGTACACGTTGCTATAGAGGCCCAGAGCTTTCTCAAACACTCTCCTCTTGTGGAAGATTGCTAACTCCTCTGTAGTCATGAGAGATGATAGCAGGTAAGAAAGGAGCCAAGTAAGCTCCGTATACCGAGCATCATCCAGGGTCGGTGGGCTGGAAATTACAGCATGAACGAGAGGTAGTTTGTCTGCCTCCCAGCTTGGGCCTAATGTCAAGAAGCTGTTCACCTTTGCGTACAAAACGTGCAGGGGGTCAATGAGCACCCCCAAAGCCGACGCAGCAAAGACCGTAATCGTGCACGGCACAGGTTTTACGTTGACGATAGGCTTCACTGTCTCGAGAAGTTCGCAGAGAAGCAGCCAGAGTGGTTCTTTCTCCGGGTAGCTGGAAGATTTCAACGTGTGGTTGATCTTGGAAAGGGCGGTGAGAGCTTCGACACGGGCGGAAAGAGTCGGAGAGCTGAGGAGGTGAATAAGGGAGGCAATCTGGCCTTCTTCGATTAGAAACTCGATTTCTTTGCCCGGCCAACGTGACAGCGGCGTGCGGTCGTCTAGGTCTGGTAGCGACACGGCTGAGAGTGTAGCAGTAATTTCAAGTTTTTGGGTGTCTGTGACAGCCGAAGCGCTCATAGTTTTCTTAAGCGCTGGGGCGATTATGGGTGAACATTCCGGGATATCAATAGAATCGACGAGTTTCTTAGAGCGGTCGATAACTTTCTGTATCTTCGGGTAAGGCAATGCGGCAGCTGAGAGGGATTTGGTGATGGACTTCAAAATCTTCTTGTCTTCGGAAATTTTCAAAGAGGCCGCCAAGTACTGCGAAATAAACGAAGAAACGGCCGCAATCTTAGCTGTATCTGCGGTTTTAACCACAAAGGGGTACTGCTCTGCAACAGCAAAATGGAGAAGGCTGACTGGAAGATTTTGTATGTTGGTTTCGTCATCTTTGGAGACAGCAGCATACTCCTGCTCTAGAGCATCAATATACTTGATGGGTGTTGATGAGCACCGGAGAGCACAGTTGTCAACAAACTCGAAGACCAGCCCAGAGTCTTCATCTTCAATCGATGCCTTGATAGAAGCAATAAGGGCATCAACTGACGACAATACAGTCTGTGACTGTAAAATCCCATTCTCTTTGACCAAAGAATCCACAATAGACCTCATCTTTAGCAATGGCATATCTGAAGAAGCTTCGGCAAGTAGACGAAGCATGGACGTGAATGGAGAGATCGATAGGCCTTCCGATTTGTTGAACCACCTCATTCCTGGCGAACAATGAGCGATTCGGAAAAGATTTTCGACTTCCATCACCCGCTGAGACTTATCTTCCGCTGAGGTCTCTTCTGATTCCAGTAGTTGTAATGCCTTTGATAAAGGCGTGGATACATCAAATTTGGACTCTAGCGCCGCCTGGGGTACGACTTCATAGTACATAACCAAGAGTCTACTGGCAGCTTGTTTTTGTGCGACTTCAGAATCATCAATGCTTCTGAAAGAGCTAATAGCATCTTTCATAGCAGGGCATCTTCTGCAGAATTCATCCTTGAGGTTAATGGCTGCCTCGTTCCAAAGAGGAGACATCTCAGAGGCCTCGCGATACATAGATAGAATCTTTTGGAGCTTTTCAAAAGCAACTGTCAGCAGGCGGACCACGAAAAAGGTGATTAGAGGATCTTTTTGGCCCAAACATCTCGTAAGGATTTTCTGGTTGGCTGGTTGAGGTAATATGCTTTCAATAACGATCGATGATGGTGGCGGGGTTCGTGCGTATCGTTCCAGATGTCCAAAGAATTTTGGAACGGGAAGTTGGAGTACGGAGAAGAGGAATGCCGAGTATCCCATCCACGTCGATGTGGCTTTCGGGTCGAATGGAAAGCTCTGCTTGTTGAAAAAGTAATGTGCCACCAGTTCAGGCGCAACCTTGAATATAGCAAGTAAGAGGTTTGATTGATTGGTGCTTGCCCAAGGCCGCAGAGTTTGTATGAACTCAGACAACACAGAATTGCGGACAGTGACTTTGCCATTATATCGGCTTGCCCAATCAAGGCTATCCAGGCCAAGATCGACGTGTTTTTCGGGGCCAGCACGTCTGCCAGTGTCATCTGCGTTGGCGTCCTTCGGATAGAATCCACTTTGGCGGTAAAGCAATCCCATGTCTGGGGAAGTGCAGGCTAGAACAAGCCACTCGTTAACCAGAACATCGATGGGTTTCTTATTTTCTGATGCTTCATCGTCTTCAAAGGCATATCCATACAATTGCGCAATCCGCCCGAGATTGACTGCGTTCAGAAGCTTCGATTTGCCGTCGCGAGGGAGGGCATCATCTTGAAGTACATGGATTCTAGTGGTATCCAAAAATTCCACGATAACATGTGGAGGGTCGCGGTTGATATCTCGCGTGGCTCCTGAAACAATATCCCGTTGCCTCAAAAGTTCCTTCTTGGCATCCGTTGGAAGATACTTGACCAGAGAAAGGAAGAGGCGAAGAGCATTCGTTCGCACCGAGGGTTTCCTACGGTCTTCCACACCTTCCCCGGAATACCTAATTCCAAGGTTTCGGGGTAACCCTTTCAAGCTCAAATCTCGGATACGGAAAAGTTGGCTCGCAAGTGCGCCTCCGTCAAATATCGCAACTTCTCTTAATAATCGCAGTGCGGGCGAGATAACAAAATCTTTTGATTTATTGGTTGTCGTTCCACGGGAGATCAGTTCCAATTGTCGCTTCTGCAGCAAAGTTCGGCCCAGTCGAAGGCCATATGGCACGAGCTCGAGTTTAGTCGATATAATTTTGAACAGGAGGGCTAAGACAGCAGGTACCGCAGAGAGGAGTGAATCGTTGTTTGACTGGGCTGCGAAGCTCCATGTTTGCATAATATCCGATAGATATACTGCAGCCTTATCCTCTTCGTCCGTCGTAATTTGCGCTTGAAGATATTCTTGGAGAATAGGAAGGCGGTTGGATTGCTCCTCACCCAGGAGGCCATCAAGGAAAGCTTTGAAGGATTGAATTCCTGTCGGATGTTAGGATGGTATTTTAAGTATTGACGGGGCCATGAAATAATATGGTGATGGGAGATACAGCCGTCAGAGTATCTAAGGGCTGCCAAACGAATTAAAATATATCGAGAAATACGTACCATGCTTTCCTCTTGCTAGATCCTGATCGAAACCCAGCAATTGCTGCAGTTGCCTCCCAGATTGAATTTCTTGCTGGGTATTCACTGTTTTTAGTCCATGGGACAATTTCTGGCGCTTCAGATAGGCATCATGCCCATCTCCGATGTCGACTGGTGCACGTTTTGACATACTTGCTGAGATTCCCACAAGGTTGTCGCATTTATTTCGCGCGCCAATTCGAGAAAATCATATCGATAGCGGTTTTGGCTGGCAGAAAGCAAGCTTCTAGCCCGATATGGTGACTTATTATTCTGCCCGGTATCGCCGCTTATGCTAAATCAAATTTGGTTACAGTGGTTCTGTGGGGACCCAGTCCCCGAAACTTGTACCATGGAACTGTTCGGATTATGTGGGATTAATTGTTGCAAGGGGAGGGAGAGAGGCACTGTGTCGTCTCGATACTCAAAACAAAACTCATGGATTGGCAATAATAAGGGTGCTTGTTACTCTAAAATAAAGACACTGCGCTCGTTAACTTGTTGAATACAGTTAAAACTACAAACCAGAACCCTGGAGTCAGCTGCTCCATCTCCAAACCTGAACGCCCAAGCCAAATTTCGCCCTCGTAGTATCGCCCGCGTAGAATATGCTGCTTTCAGCCAATGCATTTCGACCATCCAGGCAGGCCGCATCCAAAGCCAACAAACAAATATATCAAGAAGATGGCTACCAACACAAGCAGCGCCATCAACTTGGCATTCTTCCACCACATCCTCCTCCTTAGTCCCTTACTTCTAACCCTGAAGTCGTGTGCGCTTCCCCCAAGCCTGTCGGTTTTATCAACCAAGAGATCAATTCGCTCGCCTCTCTCCAGGACCCTCTCAATGTTCTCCGTCATGATGCCTCTCACATTCTCGATTTCGTTGTGCACGTTGCTTATCGCATCTTGCTTCCCACTCTGTGTCGTTCCATAGTCCACCATCAACTTCTTCAGCTCGCCATTGAAGCTCGCAGCTCCATAGTTCGGAAGGGAGGCGAAATCGGTTGCTGAGGGCTCGAACTGAGAGAGAAAGCGGTTCTTGATCTCCACGAGGAAGCCAAATGGGATGCGACGGCCAACAGATGAGTGTGCGACAACGAGGTAGGTAAGGCCACCTGCCGTGGGGCTATCTGGGTACTCTGATGGGGCCGAGGCTATATAGTGGACGAAGTTGTCGTTATGAGTGTAAGTCAATTTCTGTGGAGTTGCGTGTGATATTTTCGGAAGAATAAGTGAGGCTAGAGATGAAGTTGAGGATGCGCCAGGTGTAGTGTGTTCTGAAAGGATGGTGGTGTTATGGGCAATACAGGCGCTGAAACGGTTAGAACGTTCGACTTGGGGTTCAAGAGACTCACTACAAGAGAGGCGTCGGGGGGGTAGATGAAGATGCCATGGTTCCAACTCTGGCTTCCGCTATTTAACCATGCAATTCTTAGCTTGTAGATGTCTTGCCTTGTTATTCTGAACAGTGTTGTGATTAACCTAGTCTGGTTTCTGCCTGGTAGAGTAAGTCGATGCGAGGTTGCTCATGACGTCCATGCATGGAAATTAGTTATTCCGCCCGAACATTGACCTCCCTTGGTCCCTTAACTTTTTTACCACTCTGGCTTGCCTTTTGTCGTGGGAATAACATCTATTGTACTGAACGGAGAAGAACTGCCAGATGGTACTGGCCACACAGAGAGGCGGGGCTTGCTTCTTCTGCACTTTTCGCTCTGCTGAGTTACGATTTATCAGGCCAGCCACAACCAATGTCAAGAGACACTTTTCGACTGGGCGCGTTCAATCGGGCATATTGGACGACTTATTGAGCCCCTCACGAAACCCACCACCCGTCACTCGCACTGAGAAGAGAGACACTGAGCGAAGACTTAGGGGCAAGAGAAAGGGAGACCGTCACGCAATTTACGATGGTTCGAATTCACGGGGGTTTGCGCCTGCAAATAAGGAAAGAAAGAGAGAGCCGAAAAACGATCCTGTGACAAGAATTCCGGGCAGAGGAGCCCATTCTCTATTCCTCGGACCCGATGATGTTACACGTTCATCAGATAGGCGTCAGATCCCGATCCGCATTCCCCAAGCAGCATCGCACAGCATCTTCAGCGGTAGCTCACACCGTCGAGGTTATGCTTATATACCACTCGAAACTATCCACAAGCGCATCTTAGGAGAGTTTAAAGACTTGCGATATGAAATCTCACAGGCGTATGACCCGCAAGGTCCAGCGGGCTCGAATTCGGATGGATTTACTGGACTCGCAACCGTGGAGGAATTTAACAAAGTGGCGGATGATTTTGCTGCCTCTCTCACAAGAAGTTATGTTGCTGCAGATCCAAAGAGTCAGCAGAATCCCAGGAAGAATCCTACAGGCAGAGACAAATTATCCAAGGCTAGTAACGCAGAAGGCAGTGGAGTCAATAATTCCGATGAAGCATCATTGTTTAATGAGTTGCGGCAAGTACTTATTATTGACCCATATGACTTGCCCGGTCGACTTAAATATTTGTTTACAAAGTTTATTTGTGACGCCAAAGTTTCGCCACAGACATTAAGACAACAACAAAAATTCGTGGATTTACGATACCCCATTGAATGGTTCCCTGCTACTCGAGCGTTGCAACGCAAAGTACATCTACACGTTGGGCCGACCAATTCCGGAAAGACCTATCACGCCCTTCAACGTTTAGAGCAAGCCGAGTCCGGCCTTTACGCCGGCCCTCTTCGACTTCTTGCTCACGAAGTTTATTCTCGCCTCAACGCAAAAGGGAAACCATGTTCCTTAATAACCGGCGAAGAACGGCGGTTTCCAGAAGGCCCGACACCCACCATGAGTAGCTGCACGGTTGAAATGGTTCCACTGAACACCGAGGTTGAAGTCGCAGTGATAGACGAAATTCAAATGATTAGCGATGGGTATCGTGGATGGGCTTGGACGCAGGCCTTTCTTGGCGTCAGAGCTAGAGAAATCCACATTTGCGGTGAATTAAGGACGATTCCGTTGATACAGAACCTATGCAAGTTGATGGGGGATGAATTGACGGTACACCGCTACGAGCGTCTTACCCCCTTGGAGTGCATGGGGAAGAGTCTCCACGGGAAGCTAGACAAGCTTAAGAAGGGAGATTGCATCATTCTATTTTCAAGAGTTGCCATACACGCAATGAAAAAGGAAGTAGAGAGAGCCACCGGAAAACGATGTGCCGTTGTATATGGTTCTCTTCCTCCAGAAACCAGGGCACAGCAGGCTGCATTATTCAATGACCCGGACAACGAGTACGACTATCTCGTTGCCAGCGATGCTGTCGGCATGGGGCTGAACTTAGCCATCAGGCGTGTCATTTTCGAGACGTTATCTAAATTCGATGGGAAATCCCACCGCAACATTCCTATTTCTGAAATCAAACAGATTGCTGGACGTGCTGGCAGATACAAGACTGCGGCAGAGGCTATTAAAAAGAAAGATGGCCCTGCTGGCGAGGTCTCTCGACAAGTGGAAAGGAATGTTGGCCTGGCTACGACACTTGATGCCGTCGATCATTCTCTTCTAAAGTCAGCTATGGGCACCGACGTGGAGCCCCTCAAAACGGCAGGGATTTTCCCTCCATCAACGATACTTCAAAAATTCGCAGCTTACTTCCCAAAAGGCACGCCCTTAAGCTACATAATGTTGCGGCTGAACGAGTTCGCGACTCTTAACCCCATGTTTACCCTTTGTGATTTCAATGAGCAGCTACTGCTTGCTGATATGATCGAACCGTTCAACCTGACACTCCAGGATCAGCTAGTTTTTATAGCAGCTCCTGCAAATGTTAAACGGAGAGAACAGAGACCGATTATAGAGGCACTGGCAGCTATTATCGCAAACCGGAGTGCCACAGACCTCCTTGAAATCCCTGCTCTGAATCTTGAACTCCTTGACGAAACTCGGACAGAAGGGAAGGAGTACCTTTCCAAGTTAGAGGCACTTCACCAGGGCATCACACTCTATCTCTGGCTCAGCTACCGATTCGCTGGTGTTTTTAGGAGCCAGGCGCTGGCGTTCCACATCAAATCTCTGGTGGAAGAAAAGATTAATGAGTCTTTAGCCAACGTGCCATTCGAAGAGAATCGGAGGCGTATGCTTCAAGCTCTTAAATTAAAGGCGCTTCAAAAGCAGGCTGAAAAGGAGGCCTTAATGGCACCAGCTGTGGAAACGGAAACTCCCACGCCCATGAGCTATGAAGATGAGGATCGCCAAGAGCCGTTGATAGACGCGGCAGATGAAGAGGCGATTTCTGAAGAAGCAGTTGCCGACGAAGCAGAAGACGATGATGAATATGTGGAGGAGCCATCGAATATACCCAACGCTGAAAAAACCGGAGGCGACAGCTAGACGAAGGCAATACGCCTGGCCAAAGATCAAAGGTCCAGTGTTGGCTTTTATATTAGGTGTATGATAGTGAGTGTATATTACTGTATCTGTTGGATTATATAGCGGCATCTCCGGAAAAGGAGCAAAGGACATAGAATATAAGATAAGGATGGATAAAGGCTATGGGTAGCCATGTATTTCTGAAAGCGGACAAACTTCCCAATTATTATTAATCTACCTTACGCATTTTCAGCTTCTTCATAAGATTCATTCAATGAATAATGGAATGTGAGTATAATTCATAATTTCCAATGTTACTATTCATCACAAATTTATCTCACTTCAGTAACCCACCGCTGCAGATTTCTCTTATTTAATAAATTGCTGTGTGGGAAAAATGGATACAAGTGGTGTTCACGTTCCAGTTAGTAGTATTCACGTTCCTGGGTTGTGTTCTTTGTTTGTGGACACAACTTTACTCATAACCAGCTGTTACGGCTCTCTTCCACACCTCTACAACTTTACTCTCATCACCTGTAACAGATACTTCTTACACGTCTCATATAACCTCAGCAACAGCCTTATTTATACAATGTTATGCTGCCATCAATAACATTATATCTACAACACAGGTACTACAGAGCATTCTGTCAGCACAAACCCTGAGCACCACCCACCCCCCTCAAACTTTTACTCAATTTCACTTAAAATGTGGCCAAGGTGCTAAAGCCGACTCCTACCACCTTCTACTGCGAGGATCAGAGCAGAGGTAGTGAGTAAGACGTTTACAGGCATATTATTATCCCACGCTGCATCAAGTGAAGTTGTACGCATACCCGTGTTCTTTCTTTGCAAATCAATCAAGGTGATATTGAACTAACTTGTCACAGCAGCCCAAAGTAAGTTCAGCGGGCTCCGCCAACATATTCGCTTTGATCAGTCCTAATTGATATTAAGCACAGTTCAATACAGACTACACTTGCTTGATACTCACAATATGGCTGGGAGTACTATTTCAGGCGAACCTGGCAGCTCGCCCCAGTCGTCAAAGACTCCAGGAACAACAAACAGCAACACAAAATCAGTCCAGGATGCAGAAGAAGAGGCAATGGAGAGGCGAAAAAAGGCAGCTGCAAAAGCTCTCGCTGAACAGTCCCGGTTGAGAGCAAAATCTTCACAGAAATCGACCTCTTTGGCGAAGAATTCGAAGCTTCCTGAAGACAGCCTAGAGCCTCGAAATATCAGCCCCACCAAATCTCCTCGCACATCCCTCAGTGGATTCGATGCAGTACCTACAAGACCTGTCGATTTGCACGCCGCTCCCAGTTCGACTTCACAGCCGAGTATACTGCCTACAGCCTGCCAGGGCGATAGAGCCTTACTCGAAGGGACCAGCTCCACCAACAATTCTTCACAAGCAACACATACAGACCCTACAACAAACAGTGCAGAGTCTACTGTAACCGTAGCTACACCTGCACCTGAGCCGCAAGCAACAGATGTGCCTCCAAAGAAACTGTCGCCAAATAACTATGCAAAGAGAGATGCTCGATTCGAAGTTCAGGTTCTGTCAACGAAAGACGAAACGATAAAACGCGATGATCCCAGCTACACGTCAAAGCAGATGTTTCTTGAATGGGATGGCATCGATCGGGAAGCTTTAAAGGTTGTCAATGGCGACAGAGAGTGTATTTTGGTCGAATTCAGCACTATTCGGAGGATTTCGTACAACCCTATCGGCCAACGCCTTCAGCTCATATTCAACTCCACAGCACAAGATGAGGCGCAGACAGTTGTCATAGCTATGAATGCCCTTCCACGTGAAGAATGGGTACAACTTCAGCAACTATTCCGACAGGTGGAGAGAAAGTGGCGTGTTAGATGTGATCAGGAAGAGATGAGCTTCTTCGATGATGCAATAAAATCTATGAGAAAGAAGCCATACAGGAAGATGGAAACTCCTTACGTCGACAGATCAAATGCTTCTGGACAGAAAATTGCAGAAAAGCTCACACAAGCACCCCGACGGCAGTCAGTTCCCAAAGCATCCCGAAGGCAGTCAGTTGGACCAACCCTTAGCACCGCTGCCAAAATAGCCAAGACTCCAAAAAATAGAGTTGAGCGGCCAAAAGCGCACTTATCAGTTGAAGTGAAAAACATCATGGCCGCCAAGGTTATTGATCAGCCGCTCCAGATACCCCGTTTGTCGACGCCCTCAAAGCCTCCTTCTGTCACAAGCAGTCTTTTATCCAGAACAAGCCAGTGTCCTCTAAAAGAAGGAGCCGAATCCCCAAGAAACATCTCTAGAGATTACGGCAACAGAGACTCACCAACAAAACACGGTACTGGGACCCAAAATAGAAGCCAAGTTCCACAGTCATCGGCAATTCTCAAGCGGGATATTAGCCCCCATGGCCTTTCCAGTCTGTTTGGTTCCGACGACAGCGAGCATGATTTTTCAGGTTTTGAGCAGCCTGACAGGACTCCTTCGCAGCGATTCAAGGATCGGATGAACGAAGCCAAAAAGATTTCTAGTAAGAATCCACCCCTTTTAAATCCAATTTACCTTAGACTCACCTCGGAATATAGGCAGGCAACCAAATGAGAGTCCAAAAATTAGCCCTGGCCTCTTTGCTCAATCGCCTGCTTCTACTCTGCGTGATGGGAGCACTCAGGAGCCAGAGAAGCCAGAACATGGATTCGAAGCGTTCATGGACAGTATTCAACGTTCTAACCAAATTGAGAATGTCTTGATCTCATCGTCTCCGAATATAAGGCACAAAAGGAATAGGTCGCCATCGTCACCAAAACTACCACAGCTATTGAATTCACCGCCTGTCAAGCTAGTAGCCAAGGGCCTGCAAAACGCCGACAGCATGGCAGAGTCCGATCGCCCCCCAAAGAAACTCAAGGAGTCACATGTGGCGTCAGAAAATGAAACACGTTTTTATTACCAGTGCAAATCAGGTCAGGATTTCCTTCTTCCAGTTGCTGTTGATGATACAGTTATTCGTCTCCGAACGAAGAAAGAGATGGAGGAATCTGGAAAACAGTCAAAATACGACGTTTTCGATGGGCCTTGGAGGGTCCTTGGCATCTCAGAAACATCATTCCCTCTCAGCCCTGACTTCTTTGATCTTGAGGAGGAGGATTCTGATTCTACAGTATCTCGACAAGCTAAGTGGGACAAAATGCTGACTACTCAGATAAAACTGAACTTCCCAGAGGGATCTGAGGCAAATCAATGGGTGGAGCTCTCAAGGCTTCTTCCAGCCATTGATCCAAGTTATATAGTGACTGGAACGCCCATTCCATCAAGTTTGGAAGTGTCCACACATGCGAGCTACCTTGGTCTTGTTGACAGACTCCGCATCCAACCTTTGGCGCCAGGCTCCCACAATTCGTTTGTGAAGAAGGTCTCAAGCGCAACAGTTGGCGAACTGCATGTTGTGGAAATCCGCAAAGGTAAATTTGCTGTATTTGTGGACATCGATCACAAAGCTATAGGTGATTCATATGAGGTTGCTAAGATCCGGCAGAAGCGCCTTAGATTATACACCAAGGCTGAAGCCAAGCAAATAGAGGCTACGCAATACGATGATGACAAGTGGGTAAAGAGGCTTTTGATGGTATGTATTCAGAACTCAAATACTGCAGCCCAAACACTAACCGTTGAGTAGCAACATGGCGATATTGCGCGAAACAAGATCATCGTTGACGAGTATTTGTGCAGTTGGGCTGGGTGGGCCGTGGAAGATCAGACTTGGGTTCCGAGGGGAAATTTCGGCAATGATGAGCTCTTAAGACTCTTCGACGATCAGAACGATCCATTCAGAGATATTCCTGGCGATATTGTCTTTCCTGTCGAAAACCTTGTCCACGAAGATGATTTAAAAAAGGCTCGAGCCTCACTGAGGAAGACTAAACCGCCTGGGAGTAGTTGTCAGTCATCCAGGGCCAGCGCTCGAAGAACGATTACGAAGCGTGGCACGGCAAGGCGAAGCACGAGATGAAATGCAACATTTATTACAGTCATGATCTGGTTATCGGGCGCAAAATCAGGAAGCAAAATGCAGTGTTGGCTATGAGTTGCTGGATTCGAGCGAAGGCTTCCTAGGCACCCACCCGCGACGGCGTTCGCAAGGTCTCGTAAAGCAGTAGCTATGAGGCGGAAATTATGACAGCTTGGAAGATACAGTTTAAGAGATATTCTGATCAGCTCATAGAATGGTATCTGGTAGTGGTTTTTTTTACTATGGGGAGCTGATACCCGTTTGTTAGTTATATTGAGCATTGCAATTACACTGGGCCGTTTCTGAAATCCACCGACGAATTCTTCTTTATTGGGATCACGAACTGAGTATTAGGTCAAAAGAATACTCGGAGACCTAGTTCTTCAAATCATAATTTCTCGTGACAAATCAACAACTAGTAAAAGATTGGTGAATTTTTTTTTGTAATATACTGGAAGCTTCATTAAAAAAAAGTTTGTCATCTGTGTATGTGGGTGGCGTCGGGCATAGCCTTGTACCCAGCCTTGCAGCAATCTTGTGGTCGGGTGACGGGGTTGGGTAGCGGCCGAGATGGCCGAGACAATTTGATGATGTGAGCTGGTGTGATTACTATAGTTTTACAATCCTTACATCGTTCCTAGGAACTTCCTCGGTGTCGCAGTGAAAACGCTACATTTATAAATTGATTCTTTTCCAGCGTCCCCTTGTTTACTCCCAAATCAGCCTATCACTCGCAATGTCGGAAGGCCCAGTTCACAGAGTCATTTCAGCCGCTGAGGTGTATAGTTTTCCTCAGGGGCACTTGGGGCATCTCAGTGACCTTGAGTCCCATGCTCTGGACGAGTTCAGAACGCTCTGCACTGAAAAGAATCTCTACAGTGGAACTAAGAAATATGATTTTGGTTCCCACGATGACACGACTCTGCTGTTTGTCATATCCTTTCCCGATCTCAGGGTTCAACAAACTAATCTTTTCAAAGGCGCTTCTTGAGAGCAAGACGTTTTAATGTCCAGGATGCTTTTGAGCAGTACAAGGATACCGAAGAATGGCGCGCCGCGAATCAACTAGAAACACTCTATGAAACCATTGATTTGCAACATTTTGAAGAGACACGGCGACTTGTAAGACAAAACCTTCTTAGCCTCCAGCATCCTATAATCCGTTGAATAACATACTAACAGCTGTTTCGTGACAGTACCCACAGTGGACCGGCCGACGGGACAAACGCGGAATCCCAGTGTATATATTCGAAGTGAAGCATCTAGATGCGAAGGCCATGGCAACGTATGAGAAGAGTGCAGCTCAGACGCACAGCAAGGCGAAAACAGATGGCAACACGCCACCGAAACTGCTCAGGCTATTCACTCTATATGAGAATCTGACACGCTACGTTCTACCATTATCGACAGCAATGACTGACCGTCCACACCCCACCACGCCGATCACACAGTCGAACAACATCGTTGACATTTCTGGTGTGGGATTGAAGCAATTCTGGAACCTCAGGGCGCACATGCAAAGTGCCAGCCAGTTGGCAACAGCACATTACCCTGAAACCCTCGATCGCATTTTCATCATCGGCGCACCCTACTTCTTCCCAACAGTATGGGGCTGGATTAAGCGCTGGTTCGATCCAATCACCACATCGAAGATTTTTATCCTCTCGCCGAGCGATATGAAGTCAACGCTGGAATCATTTATTGAACCAGCTAATATCCCCAAGAAATATGGCGGCGAACTGGAGTTCAACTGGTGCGACCCACCTGTTTATGATCCGGCGCTAAACGATGTCATCACTTGGAAGAATGGCTATAAAACTCTCCCTACTGGTCCTATGTACTGGCGCGACAAAGGCGACCACATCGAGCTGGAAGCGGTTGGTGCCGCCGATGGCAAGCAACGACGAGATATTGTTGCGACAGTACGCAAAACCGCGGTAGTGGCCGAGACAGAGGAGGCGGACAAGACGACCGAGGAAGTGCTACAGACACTTCCAGCTGCAACGGCTGAAGCCATCAATGCAGCCTCTGCAGGCCAACCTAAGCCCGGCTCTTACGTCGTGGCCCCAGAAGGAATTGCAACGCTCTCGCTGCAAGACGATAAAAACTACACGGATGTCAATGAGAAGCAAGATGCTGCTCCAGATGCGTCAGCACCAGAGGAAGTGAACAAGGCTTAGTGGTCGATCGCACGACCTATAGAAGCATTGAAGAGGCGCATATAGGAGAGAAGCGGCAATGAGGTGAGCAGCGAGGTGTCAGGCGGGAGGTATAGCCATAGAGGCTATATGGCGCATATATGGATGTTAGTATAATATACCCGATATCGTGCTGCAAGTAGAGCTGGAAAGACGGATATAAAGAGCAGTTGCGTGTCAAATGTGACTGATAAGCCAACCGTTGGTTTTATTTACTAGACTAGAAGATAAACTAAGAGCCTTTTTATTCCACTGTTGAGCTTCATATCACTCAATTCATTTTCAAGCCAAGCCAAGTTAGTGTGATGGATGTTATCGCCATAAGTGTGAAAGTAAACATGCTTTATAAGCAGAGATTAAGTGGTTTGCATCGCACGTGACAGCGCGATGCGGGCGCGACATTTCGTGGATCCGAGAGGCGAGCGATGATGGGAACAAGGCATGAAATACTCGTATTGCGATGACCGCCTGAGAGGCCGCTTTGGAGGCTTATTTTCTCGCAGGTTCCAGCACCAACATTGTTTATGAATAACCACTGCCTATGCTTAGGAGCAGATTAATCTTGATGACAAATGTCCACCTCAAGGAACCAGATCAATTGAGTTGAGCGTGCAGTTATGCCTCCGTTCCTCCCGCGCAAGCGCCTGAGGTCCGACTCCCCCAATCGTGGACCAGAACTAGAGCTCAAGCCAGAGGCACCGAAACCGAAGCGCAGCCGAACAGGAAATAAGGACAGGACACAAACGAAAGAGGCAGGCGGGAAATCTAATGCTGCCATTGCGCCACCAAGGAAGAAGACTCTATTTGACGAATTAGATACGGGGACACAACGCTCATCGCCGCGAACGCCGAGCGAGTTGTTGAGGAGTTTGGGTGGAGGAGAAGAAGACGAGGAAGAGAGTGATAGCGAAGATATTGAATTCGAGGATGTCGTAGCTGGGAAGGAGGATGAGGATGACGACGATAATGTCGAGTTTGAGGATATCCCGCAGGCCGGCCCCTCCAACGCCAACCGACCATCAATATCAGCTGCGCCTGCGGGGGAAGAAGACCTTGACCTTACCCTTACAAGAGAAACGAGGATTAGCCTTGTGAATCCGCACAACAAGAAGCAAGGGCCAAGTAAGATTGAACGAGCTATTCGAGTCGCGACTCATCAGATGCATGTGCAGTTCTTAATGTGGCATAATTCGGTTCGAAACCGATGGTGTTGTGACAAGGCGTTGCAGGAGATCTTAACGGGGGAGTTGATGAAGAGGACTTCGTTCGAGAAGGACCTCAAGAGGTGGAAAAGGGATAGCGGGTTGGGAGGAGATGAAGTTGAGGAAAATGAAAAACCGAAACGAAAGGGGAAGTCGAAAGAGGAGAACGATGAGAAGGAGAAGGTGAAAGGGGCCAAGGAGAGAAGTCAGGCCGATTGGAGTAGCTCTGCCCAGCGAGCGGAAGTTGGATCTGTCAATATGAGCCACGGCGATCCACTATTTGCTCTTCTAAACCGGCTGTCGTCGTATTGGAAGAAGAGGTTTACAATTACGGCCCCGGGATTAAAGAAGATTGGATATATGACGTTACAGCGCATAGACGAGGAGATCAAGAGCAATAGAGCTGAATACGACTTTGAGAGGCATGGTGAGAGAATTGAAACTAAAGACTCTTTCAAGGAGCTAGCGAAAGAACATGAGGGTAGCAGAGATGTAGGTGCTCAGCTATTCACGGCGCTTTTACGCGGCTTAGGTCTTGAGGCTCGGATGGTGGTTAGTCTGCAACCAGTGGGGTTTGGATGGAGTAAAAATGAGGAAGCTGTTGAGAGGAAGGAGAAGAAGATTGTCCCGGAAGAGCCAGCTCTTCAAAGCTCCGACGACTCTGATGATGAGGGATCGACGCCTACTTTGAAAGAAAAGGCCCCGGTTAAACCTAAACAGAAGGCATCTCGATCAAAAGAAGTCAGAGCCACATCTCATATATCGAGCAATAGCACACGCCGAAAAGGAACGAGGGACCTCCCAATTGATATATCTGAAGCTGAGCAGAATGATGATCATGGCGAATCTAATGGGATTGCAGTCGATGCCTCTCCGAGCCGGCCACAACGCAAGCAACCATCAAAAGTCTACGAGAAAGACCTTGCGCCCAACTATTGGATTGAGGTTCTATCGCCGGTGACAAATATTTGGGTACCGGTTAACCCGTTTGCACCAAGCGACCCAGTAGCAACGAACCCAGAGCTTCTCCTCGGGTTTGAGCCTCGTGGCGCTAAGGCAGAGAAAGCAAAACAAGTCATGGCCTACGTTATTGGGTTTTCTTCAGATGGCACAGCCAAGGACGTTACCGTCCGATATCTGAAGCGACATACATGGCCGGGTAAAACCAAGGGTGTGAGAATGCCGGTTGATAAAGTGCCAGTATACAATCGTCATGGGAAGGTAAAACGCCATGAAGAATATGACTGGTTTAAGACCGTCATGAGCGGATATGAACGGCGCGAACAACAACGCTCTATCATCGATGATCAGGAAGAAGCTACCGACTTGAAGGCTGTCAAGCCAGAGAAGAAGGAAGTTAAAGAGGGAGAGGAAACTCTACAATCCTATAAGCAATCTTCAGAGTTTGTGCTAGAACGGCATTTGCGTCGAGAGGAGGCCCTACTACCAACCGCCAAACACGTCAAGTTATTTACGGTTAAGGGCAAGGCCGATGCTCCAGCTACCCAGGAGAAAGTATACCTGCGAAAAGATGTTGTCAGCTGCAAGAGCGTGGAGACATGGCATAAAGAGGGCCGTGAGCCAAAAGTCGGAGAGCAACCATTAAAACGAGTGCCATTCCGCGCCGCGACTACTAATAGAAAACGAGAACTTGCTGAGGCAGAATTGGCGAGTGGAGGACAGAAGATGCTCCAGGGGCTATATAGCCTAGATCAGACGGATTGGATAATCCCTCCACCGATCGAGGACGGTATTATCCCGAAGAACGGGTTTGGAAATATGGACTGTTACGTCCCGAGCATGGTGCCAAAAGGCGCTGTCCATATCCCGCTCCGTGGCACTACAAGAATCTGTAGGAAGCTAGGAATTGATTTTGCGGAAGCGGTGACTGGCTTCGAGTTTGGCGCGAGGATGGCGATACCAATTATTTCAGGCGTTGTTGTGGCGGAAGAGAACGAAGAAATGGTTATCGAGCATTGGCGTGAGTATGAGGCAGAAAGGTTGCGGAAGGAGGATGACAAGAGGACAAAAGCTGCATTAGGGATGTGGAGGAAGTTTTTAATGGGGATGAGGATTATGAAAAGGGTTAGAGAGGAGTATGGGGAGCACGGTGGTGAAAACCCAGATGTGCTCAACCCTTGGACGAATAAGAATACGATGGATAATGTCAGAGCAAACGTCGAGGGGGATATGTCGAGGCAGCAAATGGAGCAGGCTGATGAAGACATGGCTGGTGGTTTCTTCCCCGAAGGCCATGAGGAGGAGGAAGTACCCCAGAGCTTTTTCCCGACAAGGCATGAGGAAAGCGAAGATGAGGGCGGTGGCTTCGTTATTGAGCAGGAAGAGCCGGACAAGAAACCTATCAGAAATATTCCGAACACGTACCCGACTTCGCTCTCGATCCAGCACAATAGAGCTGGCGAAAGTACAATTGACGTTAGTGATGGAAGGGAGTCCTCTCCATCATCCAAGCCGGTTACACAAGTGGCACCGCCGATAAAGGGGGCTACAAAATCTACCACACGACCTTCGAACCGTATGGGCCCAGGCAACACGAGAGATCCAGACTCTGACACCGACACCCAGCCCAAGCCAAACCAACGCAGCTCCGGCCGACATTCTCTTCGCCGAGGAGGACCGGGGAAACGCGTACCGCCTAGTGATGACGAGACAACTGTCCCAGGTCTAGAGAGTGACCACGAGGCACGCGATGTGCACATTCCGGAGGCAAAAACTCCTGCATCGAGAAGAAAGGGAAAGTCTACAAAACTACCAGCTGAGAGTCCGGCTACGAGAGCCATGCCAAAGAGGAAGGCTACGAGGAGAAGTACGGGAACTAAAAGTCGATACTTCGAGGCTGACGACGAAGACGACTTTGAGTACACAGATAGTTGATGTTCAAGGTTGGTAGGCATAGGTCGGGCGTAGGTTGGGCGTAGGTTGGGCGTAGGGTCAAGAGCGAGGCAAGAAATACATAGCACCTGTTTCCTTGGATTAATAAGCTGCTGTTTTCAAGGCACATATCCGCCTCCGTTGTTACATTATACAGATTGTGCCATCTACAAGGCTGAGGAAATGATCATATATTCACGAGATTAGTGTACTGTGACCTCCTGTGGTGCTGTGTTGAGGCGCATGTCGCGCAGTTCAAAAATCACGCGCACTACTGCAACTATCCCTGTGATGTGGAGATAGCCTGGACTCGGCAGTGGCTCAGCCGCAAAGGCTGGGATGGGCTAAAGAGGGTCAAAGGCATCATCCTGTTCTTAATTCCACCTGGATATTTAAAATGTTATATGCTTTATTCTAGTTTGATTGTCTGATATGTGACTTGGTTCTGTTCAGCGTCGCCTAGATGTCTAAAGAGAGACTTTCTGACTACCAGTGGCCATCACGTGCACCCCGACCAGATACGCGCCCAGTACGTTTTGATCTCGATTCGGAAAGAGAAAACGACCGGCGACGAGCGGAACGGTCACTGAGGGGATCGAGAGATGCATCGGGCTTTGTGGACGAAAACTTTACCTTTGTTCCTGCGAGGAGCAGAATAGGTCGGGACAGGAACAAAGATAGGATCATCGAGGACCGAGAGAGGTCTCTGAGCCCGAAGTTCACTGAGGAACCCATCGCGAGTGATAACAGTGATATTATTATCACGGCAGGCCCTGATTCAAATGATGATGAATATGGTGTCCACGCCCATTCATATCGGGGTCGCAGATCATCGAATTATAGCTTGTCGCGCTTCGATGAAAGGGAGAGCAGCCATTTTACGAGACCGCGGCATCGACGGCGCCTAAACCGTTTTTTGGGACAGAGGCGAGACAGTTTGGAAAGTTCAGCTTCGTGCTCCGCATCAGATTCAGACATCAGTGACGATGCTTACTCATTCACGTTAACGCGTCACAAGCGCACTATATCGGGAATTGAAATAATATCGGACGCTGCCTCCGAAGGTTCAGAAGGAGATGTCGGCGGCGTGGAACCCGAAAAAATTGTTACTCAGTCCCTCCTCGCTCCGAAGATACAAAATGTCTTCGATAGTAGGTATACAGGGGAGGGATCAGTAGGAGGTGTACAGAATGCGCGGATTACTGTGCTTCCTACCCCACCCCAAAGCCATGGCCAAAAAAAGAATCGCCCCCCATTATTCAAATGGATACATTTTGAAGACTCGGCTATGAACTTTGACGATTTTCAGAACGGGGTAGCAGCTGTGGCGGGACTCTCAGATATCGAACGTCAGGCCATCTCACGTCTCCTAGCGCGTGTAGGGAAGCGGTTTGACAAGCCTTTTCAGACATCGAGCGGTATGAAAGCCAAATTTTTGATGCCGTCCTTGACCGCGGAAAATATTATCAACCAGACGGGATCCAAGACCTCGAAGCCGAGGGTAGTGACATGGATGAGTCTCCCGCATTTCACGTTACAAAAATATAAGGCTGGTCCCGCTACGGCAAGGCCCGCAGACCATCCAATTCGCAGTCTCATGCAGGCGCGTTTCTCACTGGTCCAAAGGGGACGAGATATGCAACAGGCAGTTTGCCACTTGTTGGATACCCCGGACGATTATTGTTTCCATATTGCCCAGACATGGTATTTAATTCTTGATGACTGTAAGTTAACACGAAGTGCCATGGACAGAAGTAAATTAATAGATACAGCTCTCCTCATCACCTGCGCCGGGATCCGCATGTCTTCTCTCCAAGGTGATGCGATTAAAATCGCCCCGGAACCTTCATCAAAGCATTGGCCTCCTTTTATCTTAGTTTCATCCGGGAGATGCCTCCTCTGGTGTTTCAAGGTGGATGAGTGCCAGACCTGGTTTGTAAGTGCTTCAACATATACCATTGTATGAGCTGAGCTAATGTGACCTAGGACTTTGTCCTGCTCTTTGGGGAGTTCTGGCCTCGGAGACTGGAGTTCAAGCATAATGGCAAAACCATCAGGGCCGCTGACTGGCCGAGAATTATAGCCCTGGCGAAGAGGACAAATGTCAGACTTACGGTCGATCACAGGTATGATATCTCAGTGGACTCAGTATTATGTGAATACTAAGTTGATCAGGGCTCCATTGAGGGACAAATTTGAGGCACCTGACAATTTCATACCAGTTATGCGGGATTATGGAAAGGCTACTTCGGCGTCAAAGCCGACTGTGACATTGAAAGAACAACCAGGCGCTAACACATCGTCAACCATTCCAGGCTTCGTCATTCATGAGTATGATAAGCCGCCCAAACAAAATATGACGGGTCCACCACCAGATAAGGGGCAACAGCAGACTGCTAAACCGGTCACTGCTGAAGATGCCCCTGAGAAATCCAGTGCCCCGTCGACAGAGGGCTATTTTGATAAGCCGAAACCCAAGCCTGCAACAGCCGCCAGGCCAGAAAACAGTCTCAACTTACCAGCGGTTCAAAATTCTCCCCCTAAGCCTGACAATATTTTCGCTGGGTTTTATGTGTTTGCTTGGCTAAATTCGCATCCAACGACCATGTTATCTCCCCCCCTATTTGCTTCACCCTTAGAGCGATCTCAATCACGAAATCGCAGCTCTATTAGCCCAAGCGGTGTTCGTGAGGAAACTCCAACTCCAAAAGCCACTCCTGATATTCAGTGGAGAGTCGAGGAGCAAGATATAAGAGCTGACCTTGGGGAAGTCGACGATTTCCTGAAGGCTAGGTCGAGCGTTAGTGACCGCATCGTCTATCAGGAATGTCCTCTTAGCTCACGAAACTCTATTGTGGAGCAATTGACGAGAGTAAAGACGAAGCTTATGAGTTCAGAGAAGGTAAATCCAGAGAAAGTCAAGATTCTGGGGACGAAAGAAGCAATAGCTGCAGCAGCGGATCAGATTTTCCAGTTCTTCCTACCTGTTACATTTGAGGGACCTACAGTACAGAAATACTGGGGCGCTATCGACAGCTTAATTTTGGTAACAATATCCAACCAGAAATATATGATGCAATGGCTAATCTACTCAATAGCCCGATAAATCACAGAAGGTTAAAGCACAAGAGAAAACTTCTCAGTATTACCAGGGTCGGCAGTACTGGCCAAAAGAAAGGAGAAAGAGAAATTTCGGTTGTCGTAATGAAGATGTCCCATACATCGCCGAGTTTCTCGGTCAAATTGCCAGGCAGGTTCAGCCATTCAAAGAATTCTACGCGGAGGCACGCCCCGCGGATAGACTAAATATTCACCTACCAGAAGAGTTCCCAAAGGCTTGGCTATATCTTTTGATATCTGTGGCCTCGACCACGAAAGACATGGCGGTTTTTGAGGACCAGAATTCTGTAGTTCATGATTTGCTCGATAGGGGGATGCGGAAGGTGGTACAAGAGACGTCGAAGAAAAGCTTACTCGACAGCCTCGTTTTCACACCGTTTGAGCTCGCAACTCTTATCAACTTTCAACTCCTAGAGGGCGTAACTCCTTACTCCCAGGATATAATCGAGCCATATTGGCAATATCTTCGGAGCCTGGTACGTTGGATATGCGCCAGCGAAAACTTACCTATACTAATTCACATCTTAGGAAGCCGATATTGCCGCAAATCCTGTCGACCGCAACCACCAAGACCGTATTGCGCTATTCAAGCAAGAGATATATGTCATTAACGATACACTAAACCAGCAGCGACGCCTACTCATGCTTGCTTCTCCCTCTGCAAGTTTCAGGAATAGCGCCGCCGCCTTCCAGAACACTCATCTCAACAAGATAGCAAACGATGACTACCGTTCAGTGGTACCTAATGTCTATACCCAACAGCCAACAATGCACGCTTTTAATAACGCTACCAACCATACACGCTACGAAGCCGCAAATATCGAGCCCTTTGACGTGCCAATCGTCGTGGACAACCAAGGCCGCTCGCGTACAAGTCAGCTCTCACCCACCCACCCGAACGGCGTCCTCGGGATTTTGATCTACGACGCGATCTCCCTGGTAGACCACAAACTACGCGACATACGGGAGATGCACGACTGGGTATCGCATCTTCAGGCCAGCAACCTGCAGAAGATCGACACGAACAAGGACCGGCAGGAGGCCGCCATCTACGCCTTCACCATCGTGACCATTGTGTTCTTGCCGCTCTCGACCGTCGCGGGGATAATGGGCATGAACACGGTCGACATTCGTGATATGGAGTTTGGCCAATGGGTATTTTGGGCTTCTGCCATACCCCTCATGATTATCGTCATAACTTTATGTCTAATTTGGGCGGGTGAGCTGGGGAATTTCTGGAAGGGCTTCAGGGACTTGTGGAGGAGGAGGGAAAGCGCGGGGAGGAAGAAGGTAAGGAAGGCGGCAGTCAACTTTGCGCCTACCATGGCGTATACCCCGATGGATAGGTCGAGTATGTATAACACTGGAGCGTCACCAGAGCGTGACTTCGACCGTCACTCTGTGGTTATAAGAGAGCGCAACCGACCCGAATATCTCCGCGGGCTTTAAAAAGGTGGTATTTATGGATATATGTCACAATATTTTATATAGTCGATACCCGTTACATTTTGGATTTGTTCTCAACGAAATAAAAGACTTCATTCTTGCGCTAGTGTATTTCCCATGCTCAAAAGTAGGGAGGAAACGGCAGTGATATATAATAATGCTTGATCATCGCTCCCAGAACGCCTTGTATATGCAAAATCCCTGGAGTTCAAGCTAACTGCAACAGATGTCCATGGTCATCTTCATACCTCGATCAAATTCGGGATCGCAGGTCCGACACCCCGTAACAAAACAATCGTGTTCCCACTAACCAAAGCACCGCCAACCTTCTCTCCGAACTCGAGAAGTCGGCCACCTTCCACATGGAAAACCCGTAGTTTCTCCCTTTCATCCTCGCTCTGGTTATTAACGTTCTGCACCTGCAGGCTCTTCGCCGCCGCATCCAGAACCCGTCCTATAACCCAATCTTTGCTGTAGAAGAACTCGCCCTTCGGAAATTTCGCTTTCGTGGTCGCCGCCTCCGCCTCAACATATATATACACCCTCTTCTCCGGCGCTAACTTCTCGTCCCCCTTCGCGGTTTTCTTCAGCGTATTCACCGCCACCAGCCTTGCCGCCGTACTCGACGGCTTCGGCTTAGGCAGCACCCTCGTCGTCGCCTTCTCCGCCTCGATCTTCCTTGCCGAGCCCCACGCCTTCAGTCGCCCAAATGCCAGCTTCGCTTTCTCAGTGGTCGCCGTCGTGTCGAAGCGCGCAGGCCGCGCCCCAATCGGCACAAGGTTCTTGCAGTCGTGGTCCTCCTTCAGCCGATGCTTCAGGCAGTATGTGCGATTGCACCCGGAGCAGTGCACGCCCGGATTACGACCCGCGGCGCTCGTGACGGTCTTGCAAACCGGGCTGGCGCAGGGTTTCGGTGTGTCAACGGCGAGGGTGGTGTGGCCGTTGCTTGTAGACGAGGCTGCAGTGGCGGCTGCGCGACGCCGCGCCCAGTCTCCAGCCTTGGGGCATTTGTGGGCAGTTTCGGAGCGGTGGTCGAGGCAGAATGTGCCGAAGCAGGATTCGCACCGGAAAGGGAGGAAGTCGAGTTGGTTGCAGTAGGGGTCCTGGCAGTGGGAGCCGATGAGGGTTGGGTCTGATGTGTCCATTGTGGAGTAGGAGTCGTTCGGTGGGGTTTTGGAGTCGGCCATGGCGGCGGTGGCGGGGCGAGGTCTTAATATATACGCTGGTGGGGTAGAATAATAGATCGGGGGATAGACTAAGGCAGGGGCAAAGCTGACGACGCAGGGCCGAGGGCTGGAGAGAGACGCTGTGATCGAGAGATGCTGACTTGAGGTCTTCGAGAAGGGTGTAGAAGGTAGCCTTGGCGACTGATGGGGCTTAGCGGCGGTTTGGGGCGAGGCTGACAAAGTTACGAATCGCGTGGCCTGACGCTAATATGGCGGGGAGTTAGTAAGCGGCAGGGGCTTTTAAAGGTCACGTGGTAATTCGATATCAATTCTGTAAAACGAATCTGGACTTGATAATCAAGTGCCGGAAGAAGGGAAAATATTAAAAATCGCGTAAGTAATTATCTTTCTTGATTTAAATCTTTTCTACTTATACTAGAATGAAATATCGAGTGTTGTGGCAGACAAACATCGCCGTGAGGTTCTCACTCTCACAACTCTCTGAGAGCCCTCCTGGACATTGTGCTTCGAGGAGCAAATACTGGAGGTATTGGAGGGCCATTTAACAATGTGGAGTAGATGATAGTAGGATATCATCCTGAATTAACATGCTGAACCAAACTATCACTGAACCATACGATTATTCTTACGGGGTAAATATCAATTTCATTCATATATTGTTATAATAAATTCATTCCTTTTTATTTCATTATATACAATTTTCACCTGTCATAAGGTCCGTCAAGTGTCTCCTCCCGCATCCATTTCATCCATCGTCCAGCTCCTCCCCTACAACTGCAATACCTTATTCCCATCATCCATCGACCACAAATCCCACTCATCATCCCCCTCCGCAATCTTCCCCGACAACTTCATCCTCAAGATCTCCTTCTTCAACGCCGCCCTAATCAGCTGACACGCCTCAATCGACTTCTCATCCTGCATCTTCGACGACAACGCCTCCTCCAGGTTATCCCGCCTCTTCTCATACGACAACATCTCGCTCGGATCCCGCGTCTCCCCATACACAGACTTCATCTCCGGGCGCGGCCGCGGGATGATATGGAAGTGCACATGCTTGATTGTCTGCCCTGCCATCTTGCCTATCCGCCACGACATCAGCATGCATCCCTGGCACCACAACTCGACCAGGGGCTGAGGAATCGGGGGGACTCACCATTCGCCTGCAAGATATTCCAACTCTCATCATGATCCCTCCACTTCGCTCCAAACAACCCCGCCATCACCCCTCTACTAACAATCGGCAACCAGAACCCCAGCACCGCGCTCTCCCCCGACGAGAGATCACTGATCTTGCCCGCGTGCTCGCGCGGCAGCAGCACGATGTGGCCGCGGCTCATAGGCGCCACCTCGAGGAAGCCCACGACGCTGTGCGTCGCGAGGACGAGGTAGGCGGAGGCGAGAGGGCTGGCGGCGATGGTGGGGTTGGGGGTGGGCTTTGCGGTTTTGCCGATGACGCAGAAGTGGCATTCGGGGTCGTAGGTGTCCTCCACCTCCTCTTCGGGCATGGTGAGGTGGCGGGGGGGGGAGGGAAGTAATAGGGGTATGGAAGGAGAGGTATGGTAGGTGCTTCGGATGAGCAGATGGAGCCAGGCGGGAGGGTGCGCGGAGATATTAAAACCTGGGGAAATGCTTTGGTATCTGTTCCCTTGGGGGGTTAGATTGTTATATTGAAACCTGGGGAAGTTGCTTTGTTATGCTGCTCCCTTGGGGTATCAAATACGTCAGCGTGATCTAGGACCCTTAGATATTGACCAGTCGTCATAGACATCACCAAAAGCGCGGGAAAGCACGTGAACACTAAGTTATAAACCCATCATCAACAGAATCCCATCTCTCTCGCAGACGCCCAGTGCAAATCAAGACACATATCGATTGTCACTCCTATTCTGTCGACTGCGTATAGATTGCGGGAAATGTATGTCACACCATCACCACCTCTAGCGCGAGGAGAGATTCACGGAAATATTGTAGACACCCTTCTATGCATTCATGAATACAGCTTATATGTACACATCGATTGGTTCCAGTCGTCGGACGCATCGTCGGGCCGTAACATCCTCTTTCCAATCCACCACCCGTCTAAGCCTTCTGTCCCTTCTTCTCCGAGGAATCGATATCGGCTAAGAAGTCCCTAGAAACAACCATCAGTATAAACTCCACTAGAACCCCTCCTTCGTATTCGAAGTATCGCCGCAGCAGTATAGGACTCACTTGATGAACTTCTCCTCATCATTGTTCTTCGCGTTGAGCGGGGGAGTAGTGGTCTTCTCGGCCTTCTTTCCGCCCATAGCGAGGGCAGCACCGCCAAAGGTGATCGAAAGCGTGGCGATCGAGAGCTGTACATCAAAAACCTCGTCAGCACAATCCTTCAATTGCCCCTCTGCACTCCAATTCCCGCAATCCTCCCCTTCGTAGCCAATTGAAGAAATTTGCCCTCCCTCGGCATCCCTATTTTCCTCCACCCCCAAACGGGATCACCTACCCAGTGAGACGCGATCTGGCGACCGGCGATATTGTACATAACAACCATCTTGACGGTATTTGCTTGAATTGACTTGGAGAGAGGTGAGGTTGATGCGTTTGCGGTTGCGGTAAGTTGACGATGTGCTGGGCCGACGTTGGCTTTCCGAGCCCACTGCACAGCTTCAATATGCTTAGCGCCTTGGCAGTATTTTTGGTCGGTCGCTCGCTGTTGCTGCTGGGCTTACCCGGGACTTTTCGCGATTTCGTTTCCCCGAACGGGTCCGCGGCCGTCCGGTGGTTCCGTGCTGGGCGTGTAATCCAATGATATGCAAGTATCATAAAGTCATTGCACATGTCCTACGTAGATAGTATAGATTACTTTCTGAAACTGGTAATTGTAGGCTGCTGCTATCTCTCGCGCGCATCCAAACTGTCTTCCTCTCTTGTCACTGTCACTGTCACTGTCAAAATACCATTTCTCTATCTCATATACCTCATACGATTCTCAGATTTACCTCTCTTTCCACTCAACCCCATCGTTCGAGTGAAATAACCACCTTATCATGGCCACCACAGGCCCATCCAAACCCGACAATGACGTTGTGAAAATCAACCCCAACCCCCCTCCCCCCGCCAAAAAGCTCCCCAAAGACCTCCAGCGCCTCGTCGACCGCGCCGACAGAGACGAGACCATCTACGACGAAGTCCGGAGCGGAACGTGAGCTCTCCCCCATCTCCCCTTCCCTCTGCCCTCTCCTCCCCCTCCCCGCCTCTATTATCTCTCCCTTCCACCAAGCCCGAACCGCAGAACCCCCCAACTGGAGACAAACCTATCCTAACACCCCCCCAGCGCCCCCGAATCAACCGAATCCTCCATCCGCTACGCCGCCTACGCAACCCGCATCCGCACCGCCCTCCTCTCCGCCCAACGCTACGTAGCCTACACCTCGGACGTCGGTGAATCCTTCCGCCCCGTCGCGCACCCCAACCTCGTGCGCGCCGCCTACGGCATCTCATGGGCCTATCTAGCGGGAGACGTCGCGCACGAGGGGTATAAAGCTTATTGTGCTAATCAGCGCACTTTGCATCCTGAGGGCGTGCTGTTGGGGGGGGGTGTGAGGGCGGATTCCGGGGAGGGGTTGGGGGTTGCTGCTGCTGCGGCGGAGGGGGGGAAAGAGGGGGTGAAGACGGGGGGGGGATTGGTGACGCGGGGTGTGGTGACGCCGTTAGAGGATTACCGCACCGTCATCGTGCAACGCGCTCTCTTCCAAGGGATAGCATCCATGGGTCTCCCGATGCTAACAATCCACTCCATCGTGCGCTACGCCGGACGCGCGATGAAAGACGTCAAGAACCCGCGCCTGCGCATGTGGGGACCCGTCGGGCTGGGGTTGAGCGTCGTGCCGGTGTTGCCGTATTTGTTTGATAAGCCTGTGGAGGGGGCGGTGGAGTTTTTGTTTCATGAGGGGTTTAAGGCGATTGGAGGGCAGGAGGCGGTGGGAGATGCGCCGGTGGTGGGGAGGGAGAAGAGGTTGGAGGAGGCGGGGGGGAGGGGGAGGGGGAAGGGGGGGAAGGGGGATAAGGAGTTGTAGAGGGGGGAGAAGGGGGGGGGGGGTGGAGAGTTGTTGGGGAGGGGGGTGTTGTGTATAGAATGAGGGCTGTGTGTATACTGTATATCTAAATCTCTAAATCTCGACCTCAATATAGACGTCTCAACTTCTACTTCCATGGTATTGGTGGCATGAGGAAGTAACAACGTGATGGAAGGTATAAAACCAAAGAAAAGGAGGTCGCAGCGCCAAGACAGGAAACAGCACAGGGTATGAAAAAGCATATCTAATCTTTCTATAACCTCACAAACAGCACTAGCACCAGCAGTAAGCACGCATGCAATGCACCTCCAAGCACCAGAGCATGTTGAAAACATCTTTTTGATCTCCCCATTCCCCACCAGTCGCCTTCTCTTCAAGCCAAACCCCCCCTTCCATCATCTACGAACTCCAAGTGTGTTTCAGCGTCCTAGCAATTCCATCTTCTTCATAGCATCTTAGATATCATCCTCCTCCT